CAGCATTCAGAAACACAACATAGGCCCCACATACTGATGAGGGCACATTATGCACAGACAGTTGTCTGCAAAGCACTGGCACAGCACTAAACTGGGCTTTCCTCTCTCGAAGCTGATCTACATATTTGACTGTGTAACTCATTTGGGCTCTGTCACCAAACACTTTCAGCGGGGGCGGCACGTCACACAAACAAAGAGCATGAACCCAGCAGATGGCTGCCAGTTCTTAGAAGATGACACATGTTCCTGTAGCTGGCACTCAAGATGCATTAAAGATCATTTGATTTCACAGAAATTTGGTCTTGCCTTGTTCATTAGGCTGCCATGGATGTTTAGTGCCTCACAGTTGACTGCAAACAGCTTTATCCCACAGTTGTGTTCCATAATCTCACTTTTCCTTTCCAAAGGAAATTCTCTTCCAAAACAATCCAAAAACCTTAGCTATATATAACACTGAGGAACGTAGAGCTATCACATGGCTACTTTGAACCCTGTAAATTCAAATAAATTTGGAAGTACTACCTGTTTGGAAAGTATTCATGCCAGAAAGCTCTAAGCCACAGAATCCATCAGCCAGTCCTTCTCTAAGAAGGGAAATGATTAGGCAATATTTCAACTTCCTTATCCACAGGAAAATTCTTGATTTAGATTTGCACATGACCAGATTAGTGTCATATGATTTTTAAAAGAAGAGGAAACCAATTAAGATATATTAATAGCTCTCTATACCTCTTAAGCATTCACCATTCTAAAGCTATAACTTCAAGAACCTTGTGTTGAAGAACTTTGGGACAATATCCCTGAAACAGATCTCAGAGAGCAGGGCTTTTTCTGTGGAAATTGGCCAATTTTAAGAGTTTTTTTAAATAAGCTTTTTAATTTGTGTATTTTTTAAATTCACTCCACTAACACATTTGATCATCACTTGTGTACTAAAACAAGGTACCATATCTTAAGCCAGCACGCCCAAAGTTTTCTAGAAAACTGAGTAATACTTTTTCAGAGAGAAATTTCCAGCCAGCTAGTCCTGGATTTGGCATGGTTATGAATCTGATGAGCTTCATTCAGAAATATTCATCCTTGCTGAACTGAGGTGGCCATTCATCTCTCCCCACCAAATAACCAGCTGATTTTGTTATATTACCTACTGTACATTTCTGCTTCCCATCAGAAGAGCTAAACTTGCCATTGAAATAGAGGTACTCAGTAAAAATCAGACACATTGTCAAATGAGTCAGTGCATGGCCCATTACAACGGATGCCCTGCCTATCATTTCACATACTGAAATGTAAGGCATTTTGTGCTGAATATATTTAAGAATATAATACACAATCAAATCTGAATCCTGATTCATGGCAATAATGGCAGCATCCTTTTTAGTCATTTCAGTCAATCAATTTGCATATTAAGGGCTCTTTTCAAGTTTTTAACAGCAAAAAAACAGGGTGAAGAGACATGGTCCCTCAAGGTAGCACTTCAGTAAGCATATTCCTATACTAAAAACCAACCCACACTGTCCCTGTGCCAAAACCCAGGCATATGCATGGTCAAAAAGGCTATGGAGGGAACAAGGACTGGGCTGCATCTGCCCTATCTGAAGCTTGACTTCTAGGTTTTCCTTCAGGGACTGCAGGAGTATTTTCTCTGTTGTCTGAAAGGTTTTTTTCTTTTACCAGCTACCAGAGCCAGCCTGAGCCAGTACTGAGGTGACTGCCCAGGCCATCACTTAACTGGATCAGACCACAATCCATTACTGAAACAAATATTGCAAGTGAACTTGATAGATCAGCTGTTTAGCTTGTTGCTTCCACTTTCCAAGCAGCTGCAGCTTTTCCCAAACTCACCATATTGACTTTCTGACAACAAATGTCACTACAGTGAAATCATGATGAAGCAGCAGATAAGAAAGCAAGAGTGCCAGATCAGCAACACCAATTCCCACAACGCCTTAGAAATAAATAGGAGTGTTCAAGAAGCCAACTGCTTTTATAAAATATCTCTCTATATATAAAGTATTCCTGGAAATACAGGGCAAAATCCCTCCTTTCTTTCACATCAAGCACCCTAGTTTCAGTGCATGAGATTATGCTAAATTCCTGCTAGGACCAGAAGTGTCCCTCTGACCCTAAAAGCTTCATTATAAGGCAATTTGTAAACACTATCCTCACTGCCTGGACACAGGTTGCCATAAAACTCTAAGTGAGAGAAACTGTGCAACAACTGCCTGCCAGAGATGTTGCTGGGATGTGGCATAGTTCCAGACTGGTGCAAGTGCTGGGGCACCTACTGCTCTATACTCAGCTGCAGAGCAAAGCATGGAACTTACAGAGGCATCCAGGGCAAGAGGTAGTGCCAATGACTGAAGAAAGCCAAACCCAAGAAGCAAGGCAAGTCTAAATCAAAATACAAACACACCTGGAAGCAATTATTAGGGATTCCAGTTCCACTTTAAGAAGTGGGAGAATATACTTCAAGGACTGCTCAGCCTAACAGAAGGGAAGAAGTGTTGTTACAATGCAATATGCTTTATTAGAACAAGACATAAAACCCTATATTTGCACCTCTTTACCTAGCCTCTACTGTAAATCTGTCCTGCCATACCTAACTCCCAGTCCTAGTTCTCAGAAATTTATTTTGATTCTGCTGCCTGATAAGCTCTTGCTATTAAGTGTAAAAATGAAAGTGATTTCCATTTTTGTTCTTCAGACACCATGTCTTCTGTGGCCTGCTCATGCACCACTTGTTCCCTAAATGCCTGACATAAGCATAAAAAAGGCTTCTTCTTTCTAAATTACCTTACAGCTCCTTTTTTTACTTAAGAGAGGTTTATCTGAAAATTAAACGTCTATGAGTTAAGACCATATTCTAATCTTAACATAATTATATTTTTAACTAAGCATAGATTTTTAAATTAATAGTCTGTTAAATCAGCGAGCCAAACTGCTCCCGTGCCCAACCATGTCCTGATCCTCCAGCCACTGAACCACCTCTTGTACCACAGCACCTGCCTCTGTATATGTTTATCACACAGCCTAAACCTGGATAGCTGAAATACAAATGTATATGCAATTAGCAACATTGCTAGACCATTTTAAAAAAGACTTACTGCAAACATTTTCTTAAGTGATTGACTATTTTTATGGCTTTTTTCCCCACAGCCATTGGCTCAAAACACTTGATTATTCTTAGGGGATCTGGACAGAAATCAAGAACTCTTGGACACAGGCTCCCTATCAGGCACAGTGCCATGTAGGCTGCCCATGGCTGTTTTAAGTCCTAATTGGCCCCATCTGGGGTTGTCCAAAACCCCCAGAGTCATCCAGGAGCAACATGATCTCCTCCACCCATCCTCATCATAACCTCTCTCTGTAGAGAAGCTTTGCTCAGGTTAGAATGAAGTGTCCCACACAAGACATGAGGTGCCTCTCCCAGGTCACACTGCCTCTAGAAGAGTTACCAAGACTTTATGGCTAAGTAAGTGGATAATGGAGAGGAGTAATCTGCATCAGTGATGTATCCAGTGGCCTGAAAACAGAGTTCTGCACATACATAAGGATGCCAGAGTGCTGCATTTGTGTCAGTATTATAGTCCAATAAATGCCAGAGATACATTGCTTTCACTGAAGTACCAGAGCTGAGTTAGAAACAGTAATAGCTTTGTATAATGAGGTATTTACTGTTTGTGTTAGAATAGCCATATGTCAAGCCTTTCAGACAATAACATGGTCATTGTGCCACACATCTCCTCACTGCCCCCCTTGTTCCTCAATTCCCAGAGTACCCAGCACAACCTTGTACCAAAGATGCTGGTGCACTAATAGGCAGTGTGAGTACAGGGAGTTTATTCATCATCTGCATATCATGGGATACCCACCCATCTCCCTCCAAGTCCACCTGCATAACATGGAAGCAGAATGCCCAGGCACTAGCAGCCTCCAAAGAGAGCCCTTTGCTCTCCCCTCTGAGCCCTTTACAGATGAGTCAGAGAAGAATAAGGGTAGGCATCTTGATTTAGCTTCAGTAAGCTAATGCAGAACAACTGCTGAGAACACTTGAGATAATTGTCTTAATTATAGAACAGAAGTACTAACTAAATAGTTATGAGATTTTTTTAAAACATAAACCATTTTAAATGCATCATCCGCCTGTGCACTTAGCTCCTCTTTCTCTAAAATTATGTTTAGATTTTTCATTTCTTCCATTTCACCTTCCCACAGGAATAAATTCAGCAGCTATGCAGAAGGTTGTTACACATTGCCTGTATACCAAAGGCAAGAAAATCCAAGGTTTACATGTGAGAATAATTTATGTCTATTGTTTTAGCCAGGAATTATAGATTATAGGGACACATATTCACAGGGCTCAGAGCAGTCAATAGGACTTCAGCTGTGAGCCCACACACATGCATTTTCTCAGCATCTCCTATATAGAGACTGATAAGAGAAAATGAGGAGCCATTACTAGATGTTGTACCAAGATCTGAAGCCTGCAGTGAGGAAAAGGCCATTGATTTCTTGATAGGATTTAAGGCATCTGTCTAAGTATAGTTTATAGGCTATGCCACAGCCAAAGCCAGCAATTGCAAAACATTAAACTTCAAGATAATCATTCAGATAGAAGGGACAAAGATAAATGGCTGGCTACCCTTCAGAGCAAAGCACTTATCCAAATTATTCATTATGAAAGGACTAATTAAGCGACAGGGAGTCTGATCACCTCCAGGTTCTGAATGAGACAGAAGCGAGGAGACAAGAGCTCACCTGTGCAAGAGGGATGAGAGGTCAGGGCAGCTGCATCCAGTTCAGAAAGCAGAGGAAGAGAAACAGACACTTTCTGTAATTCATCAGCAACTGCAGGCATGGGACAGGTCTACCACTAGATACACTAAAGGACTCCGCACTGAACCCCAACAAGACTTAAAAATGGTAAGGCAGCATACACAGATTTTTCTGTCAGTACGTGTGTATAATGAATGATCAGCTCCAAAGCCTCCCCTTACCTGTAGATTTGTCTGAGCGTTGCAGTCCCTGAAGAGGTGAACATACACAGGAGTGCTCGGGTGCCCGGAGCCCAGCAGAACACGACGCCTGTGGCACCAAGCAGCCCACAGCGGTGTGCCAGCGTTCCATGGCACAGACAGGAGCCGAGTGACCTCACAGCAGCAGAGCACCCACCCCACACCCCAGGCACAGCAAACCTTCCCCTTTGGCTGCAGTCAACAGCCCCTGGGCATCATTGCTCCAGAAAGCCCCTTCACAGGCTCCAGTCATTCCCCAAAATACATCTGGGGCTCCCCAGCAGCAGCAACTGGGCTGCCAGGCGGGAGCTTACTCCCAGCTTCCCATCACAGTTCACCCACCCTGGGCTCCCAGTGAGCAGAGCCCTTCCCCATATCTCATTTCCCCCTCAGAGCCTACTTGACTAAGCATGGGCTTTGTGTTCTATTGACTCATTTATAACACCTCCCCAGATGAGTTTTCTTCAAGATTCAGCCTCTCCCACTGCCAGCCCAAAACAGCCCTCCCAGAGCCCTGTTGCCAGTGTCCATGTCCTCAGCACAGTTCAGCAGAGAGCAGAGGCCCCATCCCAATGCCACAGTCACCCCCACCCTCCCCTTTCCACGCTACCCCCACAGCTCAGCCGCCGTCAGTGGCTCACCTTCTCATCCTGAGGCACCTCATGGGCTGCAGCTCCTGCACAATGCATGGCCACCTGCATCACTTGGGAGTCTTGTTTCTTGCTTCAATGCACTCAGGAGCTTCCTCAGTCCCAACTGATGCTCTTCCATGTGTTTTGTCAACTCTTTACACTGAAGAGTGTCTGAGCACGGCAGTCCTGCCACCTCTCCCCGTTGCCCAGGGCACAGCAAAGCCTCTGCACTGAAAGGGGCTTTTGCTCGGGCAGCTTCCTGCAGGCTCACAGCAGCCCTGGGGCTACAGACACCCTTCCCCTCAAAGGTACCTCAGGCAAAATCCCATCAGCCCAGAAAGCACCTCCCCTGCTGCATTTATCCTCCCTGAAGGCCACCCCAGGAGAGCTCCCTGAGTGCTGCCCCACCTCACCCAGCTGCGACCCATCAGGCTGATGGCACATGGCAGCCCTGGACCCACGAGAGCCGGAGAGCCGGCTGGGCCTGGCAGGGCACAGGTATAGACAGAAATAACGGGGGGCAGATCAGCCCTGTGGGACCTGGTAAGGCAGGGAACACTTCTGCTTTGATCCTGTTTTCCTGAGAAACTGTTACCTGTCTGTGAGGTGAAAGGGTTGAGCAGTGCAGCCCCCAACCGCTTCCAGGTGTGCGTTTTCTATATCAGGTGTCAGACATTCCTAATTAGCACCTGCAGGGCACAGCCTCCAGAAAGGCAGTGGTTGCCTCTCTGGTGTGGCATCAGATACAACGTTTCCTATTTAAAGTAAAATAAAAGGGCGGGGGGGCCTTGTATGTGAGTTGTGCCCTGGAACGAGAGCTCCTGGGTTAAAACAACACAACAGGTATTCTCTGGGCAGTAGCCACATTACTGCACTTTTATATTTTTACCTCTTCTCAGTAGGAAAGAATGTGCAATTAGGGACCAGATATTAAACTCTTACAAAATCAAAGTGTTGTGGTCAGCACTGGCTGTTGCATTCCCATAGAGGAGCAGAGAAACACAAAAAACTGTTTCCCACCACTTACCTGTTTCAAAGAATTACAGTGGTGAAGAGTATCCTTTACCACTGACAGCTCTGACAGTTTGCACTGGAGCTACAGCCAGTGAAGCAAGTGCAAAGCACATAACCCCATCGAAGTCAGTGTGATTCAGCCCCAAGCTCTGCTCTGGGAGTCAGATTTTTTCATTGCTTCATGAGTTGAAAGACCCCCAGTGTCTCTAACCACCCCACTGTGGCATTGGCAGGGGCTGATGTAGCCATCTCACTGCAGAACCATCTAGGTTGGGAAAGACCTTTAAGAACTTTAAGTCCATGTCCCTCAGCACCTCAGCTACGGATCTTTTCAATACCTTCAGGGGTGGTGACTCTACCACTTCCCTGGGCAGCCTGTTCCAGTGCCTGACAACCCTTTCAGTGAGGAAATTTTTCCAAATATCCAATCTAAACCTCCATTTATGCACCTTGAGGCTATTTCCTCATTTCCTATCACTTGTTACTTGGGAAAAGAGAGGGTAAGGAGATGTAAGGGTGTTCTGAAGAACAAAACAGGTCACCACTCGACCAACTAAGGTAGTACACCTAAAAACACCTGCTCACTGGGCATGCAAAGTGTCTGATTTTAGCAAATGGACCAAATAATGTGAGATCTGAAGGGCTGATCCCAGACCAGTACAAGAAACATCCATAGGAACCACCAGTGGCAAATAAGCAAATAATGAAAGCTGCCAGAAGTGATTCTGGAAGTTACATAAACACTAAATATGTCACTTTTCCATTTTATGTCTCCCATGATAAACTGTTATGAGACATGCACATGGCTTGAAACAGATAATTGTTGATAACCCTGACTGGTGGGAGAAGGAACCATCTGGCAGATGGAAAATAAGAAGGTGCCAAGAATTTAGCAGACTAGGGGGCTTGGGAATTTATGCACAGAGGTCTGAAGAAAGGAATATTTAGACAAAAGTTCAGCAACTCTGTTTATCTATACACAAAACAAATTGGAACCTCAAAAGTATCCAAGTAATTGTGAAAATGATTCCTGTTTGAAATTCATCATGAATTGTGAGCAAAATCAGTGAATCTAAAACTGTGAATTTAGAAGTGAGGAATTCTTTGTGCATATCATGATTAACCACAAATGCTTATAGCACATAGCATCACCACATTTTATCTTCTATCCTTCAGGTTTCTATCCTCGCTGCTTTTAACATGCAAATGCCTTTATTCATCCTCTCCTGACCTTGCTGCGTGGTATCATTTGTTTCTTTCAATTTTCCTTAGCAGCATTTCTTTCTTCCTATAGCAGAGAAAGAGCAACTTCTGATAAGCTCCGCTTTGTATTCCTTTCCTTTCTTCTAAGTGAATTTCTTTTCCCTCTGCTCTCCCCTTTATCCCTCCTGGGTAAAACAATGGACATTGCTGGATGCAGCATTCTAATTGTGAATCCACATTTTTCCACTTTTCATTAGCCATTTTGCTGCTGACCCTTCACAACAGCTGAGCTGCAGCCAACATCTATTGCAGTCAAGGGGAAGTGAGGACATGACCCAAGTCAGTAGTCCCAGGCAAAACACGAAATTAATGAATTTATGTAACATAATTAGTGATTTGGGGCTGGTTTTGCTGAAGCATCGTGGGTCACCATGAGGACCGTAAAGCACTGCAACAGATTGCTCGGGGACATTGTGCTGTCTCTGTCCTTGCAGGTTTCCAAGACCCACCAGGATAAAGCCTGGAGCAACCTAGTTTGATCTCATAAGCTGGCCCGGCTTTGGGCAAGAGGTTGCATGAGAAACCCCCAGAGGTCCCCTCCAATTTGAATTTATGAGGCCATGATTTCCAGAGGCACCCTGAAATATAACTCCCACTGACTCACACATAATACTCCCATTGCAATGAAAATGGCGTAGGAAAATATTCTTGAAAATCTCACTTAAAGCTAACTAGCATCTTCAGAGTTCTTAAAATTGTAGCTGCAGAGCCCCTTCCAGTCAGCAACTCCCACTTCAACTGATGCCATTACAAACAGGTTGCTCAGCAGATCCTACCAGCCTTCCTCACTCAGACTGCCCTGCTAATAATTTTTCGTTTGGGGAGTTCCTGCAACCCAATTTTCATCTTGTTTTTCAGCACAAAAGTCCCATTTTCATTCAAACCCCATCAGAATAATGCCATTATATCCAGGTAGAAGTCTGTGGTACCTCATATTAAAAGACCTGCAGGCTGTCCTGGCTACTCACCAATTTTTTTGATAGGAACAATGAAATGGTAACTTACCACTCAGCCTCAAGTCCCTTCTCATCACCCTGTTTATAACAAGCACATTTCTAGCTCAGACACTGAAATGGACACCAGAGAGCTCACCCACATCAGTGGCTGTAAATGGGTCCCTTGCATACAAGGGAATTTTCTTCTGTGAAGGAATATGCCACATATTTTTACACACAAATTTACAGCCTTATGTTTCACTGCAGAAGCAGATGATTCTTTAATCCCAGTTCTCCCATTTGCAAGGCCATTAATATTATGAATTTTTTTTCATAGTTTTCGTGGTATCAGTGTGTGTGAGGAGTGCTGGCTCTTCATGAATTGAGGGAAGACAAGACACCTGAAGTTTTGCGCTGATTCTCTTTGAACTTGCACTGATCCAACTCTAAATACTCAACAATGCAGGCCCACTCTTGTGATCCTTTCACGATCTCAGGATACAAGGAACCCTGAGCCTCAAATTAAAATAAATGCAAGGAAATTTTCCAACTTGAAAACAATTCTGTGTTGTACCAACTCTATGCATTTTTTTTTTTTTTGCAGAAATGACAACTTACACGAAGAATCATGGATGTCATGGCAGCCAAGAGCCGTTATTTAGACACATTAACAGAACTCATTTGTTGCCAGGGAATCCAAATAAAGCAGATAAACCTTATTTTTTTTACTTTAAATGTGTGCAATATAATGAGTATTGCTGAAATGTTATTCCATGTATTTTTTAATTATAAAACTTGCACGGTTTTGTAAGATCTTGCTCAGGATCTCTGATTCAAAATGCAAACCACATCTACAGACTGCCAGGGTAACTAGAAGAAAGCACTGACAATTGAAGTTGGATACATCAATAGAAAGCAGTCTCACACTCAGAGCCTCCAAATTAAATCTGCTTACCTTATTCATATGCATAATTCCAGCAGAGTAATATTTATACAACACTCTTAATTGAAATGGCACTAGAATAAGAACATTTTTGATCCATTTGATTAAGTAACATAATACAGGCAGCATTTGCCTGATGTCTGTTCGTGTAAAGCAGCCCCACACACTTTGACACAGTTGCCACTCACCACCCCAAAGAGACCCAGCCATTCCTGCATTAACGGGTGGCACAGGAGCAAAGCTGAGACACCGACTCTTAGACCACCTCTTGTGGTGTGCAAGGGCTCATGTTAAACATCTTTCACTTTCAAGGACACAGCAACTGGAAATGAAGGGGGAAATACAGAATAATCTCACTACTCTTCTCGTGGCCTGTGGGATGAAAAACACTTGTTTCAGGATTGATTATAATCCCCAGTATTTCATCTCTAGAGATCCAAGTTGTAATCATAATGGGAGAAAAATGGTTTGTTCCTCTTCACCGTCAGGGTATGAAGTTTGACACCTGACAAATTACAAAGTGATCAGACAAATAACGAATTTCCTCCTTTTGTTAGAAAGACCGAAAGACACTTGATCTAATGATTTTCTCATTGTCAGCTCTGAGCTTAGAGGCAGCAACTTACACACTTCTACACATCTTGTGTTTTAGTTGATTCAGTGGAGGACAGAGGGTTTTCCTGTGTTTTCATGCACTGAGTGGTCCTTGCCATTTTACCATACTTGTACAATTTTCTGGCTTTGTTCACAGCAAAGGCAACACATAGTTGCCCACTGGCCTTTCTCTTCCATCAAACCAACGTGTCGTCTTCAGAACAGTCTCACTTCCCATGCAACTTAGTGCACCCTGTACCTTGTGTATGCTATTGATTCTTCACTAAGCATTAGCTTCAGCTGAAGAAACACACTGTAATTATTAAATCAGACAGAAAGCAAACCCAGGCACTATTTTTAAGCATAAGAGTCAAGTTTATTTAAGTATTCTGACCTCAGCTAGCTGTCCCTCTCACAAAAGGAAAAGCTCTTTTTTAATCATGTCCATCATCTTTCTCATATCCTATTTTTTCTATAATTTTCCACATTTAAAACTTTTTTTCAGCTATGTTTGTTTTCTTAATTCCTCTAATCCTCTTTTCTGAATATAAAAAAGGACTAAAAATGGTCTTTTAACAGCCAGTTGTTCACATACTTATTTTTTAATACAGCAGCATGAAACATAGGGCTTAGCCCACCAGCATTTTCCACAAGCAGGGTCCCATTCACTTCTCCTGAAGCTTTACCTGAACAAAATTGCAGTCCTTTATTTTCACAAAATGAGCATTGCATTACTTCTTCTGTTCACCCAAAAAATGCTGAGGTACAACTGTACAGTACGTTGGGTGATTCCTTGCTGCAATGTAGTAGGTGGAGCTCAAATTATGGACCAGAGTCAGATGTTGTAACTCTACTGGCACAGTGTTCATATCAGTAAAGTGAAGCAGATGCTTGCAATGCACCATTATTAGAAGAGCAGCGAGTGCTCTCGTGGAATGACAGGATGAGCTTTTTAATATAATTAGAATCCAAAGGAGATTTTTGGAAGCTAAGTCAATTGGGCTCATCTGTTTCACACTCCCAAAGGCAGTTAATTCCTGCCCACTTTACTCATCCCGAAAACTTTTCCAGAAGAGAGCAAGGAATTCTGCACACAGAAAGGACTGTGCTTCAGCTTCCAAAATCAAAGCAGCTTATGCTGTAACATGCTATCATGAAAAAGCCCCATTTAGAAATCTCAGCAAAGTTCCACGCCTAAAGAGAGCGGGAGCCGAGCTCCCGGCGCAGTGTCCCATCCCCGAGGGAGCTGGACTGGCTCTGGGCAGCTCCCTGCTCTGCAGAGGGGCTCCACAGCTCCCACCCGCTCTCCTGCCGGGAGCAGCGCTGCCAAACACGCGGCTGCCACGAGCACAGACAGGACAGTGCGGTGGCAGCGGGACACCTTCATTGAGCAGTGGAGGGATGAAAAGCAAGCGACATGCTCCATAAGCAGATCAGATTTTCAAGCCCTGCCCCAGGACACACCGACTGAAGAAACGAAAAAAACCCACAGATACAGCCCAAACCCAAACATCCAAAGTCCACTCAGCACCACACTGGAACACGTACAATGGTAACACAAAAGACCTCAATCCACAACAACACAAGTACCTTTGTATATATTTTAAACACCAAATAAAGTATCCCTCCCATTCTTAGCACTGCTGTCTGGAATTTGGGAATATATCCTAATGGGCCAATTAAAAGATCTCCCATTGCTAGATTTTGTGTGATTTTACTGATGGTGAAGATGAACTGAGGGAAGAAGATGTGTAATGCAGTCATTCAGCAAGTGTATAGGCAACCTTATGCAATAATCTTTGAACTAGTTTATTAAATGTGTTTCCTTTTCAGGATAAGTTTAACATCTAATGCCAAAATTTCATCGAGAACTCAAAAAGCCTAGTAGCCAGTTATCAGCTCTTTAACTGAGAGTACTAATACAAGAAATAGACATATATACACATCACTAGAATTTTCACACATACACACACATACCCACATCAGCATCCTGTTTATATCAATTTATTTTCACAAATCAATTTCCTTTCTCCTACTCATACTCTTCACATTTTCTGAAGGCACAACACCCAAATAGGCAATGTAAAATGTACTTCCTGTAGAAAAGTCTGTAGTCTCCTAAGAGAACAGTTTGGCAAAACCACGTTTGTTTAAAAACCTCAAGTTGCAAAATGAGCCTTCAAAGAGCAGCAGAGAACACCACCAAGATTAAAAATTACTTGAGGTGTCTGCACTTCTCATATGCAACACACCACTTAACCTTTAATAAATGAGGACTTTTTCCAGGAAATTACAAAAGCAGAAGTAGCAAAATCTCTCTCTCTCTTCTTTTTTTTTTAATCATCAAGTTTTAACGATGGGACAAGTCTCTAGGCAAAGCTCCCAGAAAGAGCCAGACCACCATCTGGCTCCATCATAGAGCAATGACAATTCACGAGCACCGAGTCTCCAACCAGCGCTCTGAAATCAAATGCTAGGCTGGCTCCATAAAAGCTTTGTTACAGCTATGAACACACAGCTGTACGCTTCCTCCCTCTTCGTACATAAATATACCCCTGGGCACAGACAAAGGGAAAAAATAAATCATTTTATGCATTTTTCTATGCTTCCCTGCTATGCCTGTTACCAATCAATGTCAAGAAATATCTTACATATCTTATGTATTGTTAGCACTATAGAATATATATAACATATATAATTTTATTTTTGTTTTTACACATGCTAATGTTTCCAATATGACAAATGTCTTTTTGAACCCTGCATTTCTTGTCACACTGTAGATCCACTTCTGTTTGACAGTGACTCCTGGACATACATGTCAAGACAAAAATAAATACTGCTGTGATGGCAAACCTTTTAAAACTCTTAGGACACTAATACAGTGGCACTTAAAAAGACTTTTTAAATACAACAAAAAAGACAATAGTTAAATAGAAACCTGCTCTGACACAGCCATAAAACCTGCACTACACTCGTGAGATCTCTACTTGATTTTGTGAGAGCAGCCCCTGTCTTTGAACACATCAAATGTTGCACTCCAGCCCTCCACTCATACCCTTTAAAAAGTCCATGTCGCTATTTTAAGCAAGCATCCCTTCCAGCTGTACATAAGCAACACTGTAATTCCCAAACAATTGAGGTAATTATAAAAATGAATATCATTTATTATTTTCTTTTATTACTATCATGTCTGAACATTTGCTTTCATACAAAAGTCTGATTTTCAGCATTATATTTTCCAAGGGCATCCCCTCCGCACCAAGGGAGATAAAGATGGGTTAGGAATTGTGCAAGAGTTTTTGTTACCATCTTCAAACCCACAAGAACTTCATAAACAAGATTTTGGTACAGAATAACTGCCTGGCGCTTTTAGAGAACGAGAAAGGGGCTTTACACATATTTTCGGTTCCACTTGATTTTTTTTCAAATCGCATCTAACCCAATGAAAGGGGAGGGTAATTAAAAAAAAAAAAAAGAAATCATCACATTACTGTATGTTACCCTTCAGCAGTCTTTGGAGGAAATCAGAAACCAGGCTGCTTTTCCCGGCTCCCTCCCTCACTCAAAGCAGCCGGAGCGGCTCCTCTGCCCGCAGGGCTCAGCCACCCCCGGGGCGCTCGGCACAGCCCGTCACAGCCGCGGCTTCCTGAGCAACGTTCTGCTGAGGTCCTTCACCTCCTCGGGGCTGCCGACCCTCTCGTAGCCCAGCAGGGCCATGGGCTGGTGGCAGTACTCCTCGACCTGCTTGATCTGCTGGTAGCTGAGCGCAGTCCTCCAGGCGCTCAGCGCCTGGGTCGCGTTCCTGGCCGACACCACGAAGGGCTTGGAGGAGTAGCCGGGGCCACTGGTCATGTTGAGGGCGAACTTCTCCATCTCTGGGCTGACCGCCAGGTTGACGAAGCCGTACACCTGCCGCAGGGTCTTGATGGGCTCGACCACCAGGTCCTCGTAGCGCACGGCCATGTAGTTGCCCTGGAGCCAGTCAGGGGGGTGCAGGGCAGTCTGCAGGGTCTTGGCCATGCTGCTGCAGATCACTTCCATGGCACCCAGGGCATGGTAGTCCGAGCCGCCCCCCCCCTCCTTCTTCCCGCCCAGCTTGTGGCCAGCATCAAGGAAGGGCATGCGGTGGATGTGGGGGTCCCGGCTCCTCACCACCTGCAGGCTCTCCCGGATGAGGCCGTGCCGGGACTTGATGCGGGAGCTGGCGACGGCCCGGGGGTCCCGCACCAGATGGATGACTTTGAGGTCCAGGGTCGGGTCCCGCATGAGCGGGGCGAGGACCGCCAGGTCGAACACGCGCACGCCCTTGATGACCAGCGTGCGGTACTTGTGGCATTCCTCTTGGAAGCGGCTGAGGCGCTGCGGGGGGCACTTTTTGCACACCCGATCGTCCACCATGCCCACCACCTCCTTGCGGTAGGCCGGGCAGAGGGGCGAGGAGCAGATGACCTTGTTGGTGGCCGCCCCGAAGATGCCGAGCGTGGTGAGGTTCTTGCCGGCGCCCCCCGTGCTGTAGAGCTGGAAGACGGAGAGGTCGCAGCGGTACAGGGAGCTCAGCATGTCGCGGGCCGCCCCTTGCAGCGAGACCGCGTCCCCGGGGTACAGCTTCTGCCAGACGTGCCACACCGGCTCGTAGAGGAAGAAGACCTCGGGGTTCTGGTTGAAGAGCTCCCCGAAGAAGGACGAGCCCGAGCGCCAGGTGGTGAAGACATAGACCAGCTGCCGCCGGGCACCCGCCGGGCCGCGGCTCCCGGCCGGCGGCGGCGGGGGCGGCGGCGGCGGCTGGTGGCGGGGGGCGCCCGGGGTGTCCCCGCAGCGCCGCGGCTCCCGCCGCCACTTGTACTCCAGCAGGTTGAGGGCGGCGAGCAGCACCAGCAGCGCGTAGCCCAGGCACAGCGCCAGCGCCTTCCGCCGGCACACTTTCATGCTGGGCGGCGGCGGGGCCAACTGTTGCTCAGAGCCCCGGCGCCCCGGGGCCCGCGGCGGGCAGGGCGCGCCGCCCCCGGCGCCGTGTCCCGGCCGGCCCCCCGCGCCCGGCCCGCATAGCGCAGCCGCCGCGACGGCCCCGCCGCCCCCGCCCCCGCCGCTGCCCTACTTAGCAGCGGCGCGGCCGCCCGCCCGCCCCGCGCTTCTCCCGCGCCGCCATCGCCGAGCGGCCGCGGGCGCCGCCGCAGCGCAGCTTCACGGCGGCCGCCGGGCCGAGGCGGCGCCGCGCTCCGCTCCGCCCCGCAGCGCAGGACGGGCGGGAGCGAGGGGCGGGCAGGGGCTGCTCCGCGCCCCCGCCGTGCGGCGGGACAGCCCCGGTGCCGGTGACGCCGCCGCGGAGGGGTGGCCCGGGCTGGCGGCGCCCGCCCCGCGCTCCCCATTGGCGGCCCCGCGGCCCCGCCGGGCACGGACCGCCCCGCCGGGCCGGGGAGGGGGAGGCGCCTCGGGGTAGCCGCGGCACTGCCCGCTGTCGGGGCGCGGGGGTGCCCCCGCTCCGCTCGTCCGCCGCCAGGGAGAGCCCGGCCCGACCAGCACCGGCACCGCCCGGGCGCTGTTGGAAGCGGTTCCCTGCCGGGGGTTTCCGTCAGCCCTGCCCCGGGTACAGGCCGCTCACCGGGGACCCCCGCACAGCAGAGCTGCGCCGGTAGCGGGAAGAATAAAAGGGGAGGGGGAAACCCGAAAGGCCTGAGAGGGGCCCTTAGCTCGGTGTGTGCAGAAACTCGGCGGTCTCGAGGGTCCTCCAAAAACATCAAAAAAACCCACCCCACAGTGGATCTTCCTGGCGGAGCTCGGGCACAAATCGCTCCGCCCGCAGTTTTTTACGATGTTTTTATAACAGGTCGTCGGACAGCCCCTCTGCCCCTTGGGTAGGTGACAGGGCAGAGCGCGGCGCGGCCCTGGGTGCGGGGAGAGAGCCCAGAGAGCCCCGGCCCTGCCCCAGCTCCTCCCCGGCCCGCAGCTGGCCGGGTGGACCCCGAAACTCCCCACCCCAGAGCGGGTACCGAAGCGGGAAGGGCTCTCTCCTGACTTCTGTGCTCTAGAGCGCTGTATGCAGTGCAATGTAAGCAGTGGAGCAGCTCCAGGCAGCACACATCCCCAAAACGCACCTGAAAATGGCACTGAGGGGCAGGTCCCGTGTGGACAGGACACTTGTAGGGCACAGGCTTCCCCATGCCACCGGGCTCCGGGCAATGCCCAGTGACTGTTTCATCAAGGCATTTTCTCAGAGGTTTCCTCCCTTTCCTCGGCAGAGCTCAGAGCAGTGTGAGAGGTGCTCACGAGTTACAGGAGCATTTGGTGACACTTCTGTGTCCTGCTTTCTGTCAGCAGCAGTGTGGCCTTTCCTGCTGTGCACACAATGTACGAGGCCCACACTCCAGGGCAGCCGGGAGGCTGGAGCTGCTGGAGAGTTGTACCTTGGCCTAAACATACTTCGATCCCTCCACAACGGAGAGCACTGACTTTTCCCTGGAACGTTTATTTTCCAAACAGCACAGATCCAACACTACAGCAAACACTTTTACACGCAGCAGATAAACCACAAATTGACGTGGTGTGTGTCTTGCCTGGTAGCACACTATTTAAAAAGAGCAAGAAAACAGTACAATAGGGTGAAGGAGGCTAAATGTGTAAGCAGTCTTCATATCCCTAACCAAAACAATATCTAGACTTCTCCCACATTTTCTACAGGGATATAAACAGCCAAGCTGTCTCTGGAAAAGCTTGTAGGCCCCTTCGAGCCCCAAAGTAAAGGGTAACATCCATAGAAGGAGGGCTCCACTCTTCCCTTCTCACTCCTTCAAGGCAAAAGTCTTGGCAGCGAGTGGTAGCGCAAGGGGAGCGGGAGTGACCCTGGTCTGAGACACCACTGCCACCCACACCCTGCTGTCCCCCCTGGGATGCAGCGATCAATCCACGCGGGACAAGTCAGGAGAACCGTTTCACAAGCTGCCAGTGACGCTGGTGGCACTATTAAAATGTCACTGCGACTTTTCATGTAGAAATAACTTGTTAACGGCAGAATTTAAACAACAACTAAATATTGGAGGAAAAGTGTCTATTTCATCAAACAGTGAGGGGAAGGGGAAGCCATTTTTTTTACCTACAGCGCTCCAGCAGAAGCCTTCAAAGCCACATTCTGTAAAAATTATTTGTATCTAGTTGGCAAAATAAATGCCTTTAAACCTGATGAGCTTAAAAAAAATTGACTTGTAACTTTTGAAGCATAGTATATAATGAAAAAGGATAAACCTCTGAAGCATCTCGTCACATAAAATTCTTGCAGTTATTTTATTCTTTAGTTCTAATCCATGAGTTCTTCACATATAACAAGAAGACTGCTTATATCCTTTTTACAAAGGTACACATCAAATATTTATTTGGCTTTCCATGCTCACTACAGATGAAGTGACCATCACCCAGCTAAAGCAGAAATGTTTATTTTTCACTTTGGAATGGCCTGGAATAGCATCGATTAGTCTATATTAGATGATGAATTACAACAGCAGTACCGAGACACTGTAGTTCATAAAGCAATATCTCCCGCCAATATTGCACTGCAGCACTAATGCAATAAAGGACAGAGACTACAGGGAGCAAAGCCAATTCATAGCAGTGAAAATTCATTAAAATACCATGAAGTTCAAATTAATCTCTCCTTTCCATTTCACTTGGTTGAAGAGAGAGACAAAATTTTCTGAAAAAACCCAGAATGCCAGCTCCAGTTCTTACACTTAATTTAGTTCTTACTTAAAATTTAGCAAGTAACAAATAAAGATAAGCAAACACGAACTGCAGGTATAACATTTGAAACGGTAAAACTAGTCAGTAAACCCAAACATTAAGAGCTGTGACTGGATTCTGCACCTTCCCTGCTGTTATGCAATGGTAACATTTCTGAATCAGTGAGTGCACGAGTACTGACAGCAGTGCTGCCTTCATCAGACTGCTCCACCTTTACTGGGAAAACTCGGGTCCAAGAAGCTCTTTAATTTGACCTACCCACTGCAAAATAGAATCTTATTTTTCAAAACTGGAGCTATGTCTGTATTTATGCTGTGCAGGTGGATTCAAATACCCATGCAGAACACGACTGCAATCCATCAGGTTCAGTGCAGCTGCTGTATTAGGTCCTCCCAGAAGTTTCAGTCCTGGTAGTCAAGTTATCACTTTAAATAACTCAATATCATGAATATTGAATAAGTTTATATGGAAAATATTTATACAGCCAACATCGAATTCACAACTTTTTTTAATCATCTACACATCTGTTGCAAAGTATTAAAAATATATAGGGCAAAGGAACCCAAAAGAATAAAAACTTAAGTGGTAAGAGGCATGGAAAGTGTGTGAAAGAGGAACAGTCTGCAGTTGAACAGATATAGCCCTTCACAAAATTATTCAGACACTTCGGTGCACTTTTTCCATCCTCTATTTTACTTCATGTCAATCTATTTTAGGCTTATTAATTTCTAAACTAGATCACCTATGTCAAATAATAAAAAGTTTCCTTTCTGCGAGAAGTAAAATTCACGATTAAAAAAATAAAATTCAAGACCCCAACACTTACTTCTAGATCAGCTTCAGTTTGTGAACATTACATCTAGTTTCTCTTGATAGAGCAGAAAAGAATGCACCTTTTCCAGTGCAGACAGTTCCACACTACAGACCTCAGATATAAGTAAGGTGTCTGTATTTACCTCAGACTCTGCAGCCAGCAATGTATAAAGTGAGGGGTAAGTAACTGCAATAAAAACTCCCCAATTTAAAATACGAGGGGAAAGAAATATTTTTTTCATCTAATGCTTAAATATTTTATGTTACTGTTTAATATTTTATATTTAGTAACTATATTTATGAATTTTACATGTAATATTTAGGCAACCCAAATCCTGACTACTTGAATTTCTTCCCCCCTGCCTCAGTCAGAATTCTCCAAGATTCCCCCCACAACATCCCTTCATTTAAGTGATGGGGCTGAAAGAGATTTCATCCTTACTGGAACACTTCCTGACTTGATTTTTTTTTCATGCTTTAAGACTTGCCTGTCTCCTGCTCACAGGGGTGGAATGGGTTTTTCCTGAAGTCAAACTTCAGAAAGACTTTATCTTTTAAAACAAATTGGGTTTGGATGAAAGATGGAGAATTATGCTGTTATATACCTAGTGTGAGATAAGTTCTGGGTGCTGATTAATATTCCTGTATCTAGCCTAATCTGTCCAGGATAAATACAGATGCTGAATTCCTCAAACACTGCACAAAAGTGACATTCTTAAAACTACGGCAAAAGTTATAGACCACAAAATATGAACAAAATTTATATAAAATTGAGTAGTTCTCCAAATTTGGGAAACCTGTGAATTTCCTTAAGACTGTATTTCAGTATCACCACTAGAGGTGGGTAAGAACCTGCAGAGTAGCATTTGGGATTGCAGATGTTTATATTTTGCACCCTTCCTTTTAGTGCTGTGCATGAAGTCTAACAGCGTATTGAACATGTTTTGCAGCAGTGGCACCTGATTTCCCTCAGAACACACTTTTTTCTAGTGATGTTGAATCCTTCAGCAGCCATTTGATTAAGCCATGGGTGCAGCAGTCTGCCTTCTAAAGGATCCATTTCCTCCTTGGATGTTCCTTCTGAACTGTGCCACTGTCCTTCTGCTGTGCAGGAGCAGCTGGCAGGGACCAAAATCAAAGCAGCTAATCATAAACTAGAAATACAAAGCCAAGTGGACAACCTACCTGTAGCAAGCTCCCCTACCCATCCCCATGCCCCCCACACAGTTTCTCTTTTATATTCACTTCCAGCTGCACAGGTGACATTTTCAATAAACTTAATTTCAAAAAATATTTATAAATTCTTGTTTGTGCAGCTGAAGGAATTCCAGAACTTTGTAAATGTCCTGGGGACACTGCAGTGTAGATCAGTCTCTATTTGACTTTTATTAAAATTAGAAATCTTTTTTTTCAGCTGTTGTGTAACTGTTGTTTAAGTTCTAAAGGAAATTAAGAGATTTTATAACCATGTACCTTTAAAACAACAGGCAATACACTGTTTCACACCAAAGGCTTCCAAAACCTTTAGCGGGTCACACATAAGAGCTACCTCAGCCCCGCACATCAGGGCATCTCTGAACTCCCTACAGCCAAACCCATGGGCCTGGGTTGATGACTGTCCTGGGACACTCCACCCCCGTGTTTGGGGTGCCCAGGAACGTCCCCTCAGCTGCTCAGTGCAGCCCTGTCCCTGGGTAACATCCCTGTCCCTGGATAACATCCCTGTGCGGGGGGCTCTGCCTGGCACCGCTGTCCCCCCACACCTCCTGCTGCACAGCAGGGTCATGGGGGCCTCACTCACCTCCTGCCTCCCCAAGGACAGCAGGCAGCCCTGGATCTGAGCATTCAGATGATGGAGCAAAATAGCCGACCCTTATTTGACTACAGATTGGACAAATTTAAATCCCAGGGAGAGAGACGCCTCTAATCCTTGTCTAAAAATTCAGACAGAGCTTTGGACAAAAGAGTGAGAATTCAGTTTCTCTCATAACTAACATGCAGCGTGCTACAAATGACTGTCTAGGAAACTTCTTGAAATTAATGCATTGCATCTCTCAGAGTACTCACAGAGTAACATAAATCATTCACTATTAACTCTTAAAAATCCTCAGGATTCGAGAAATAGGGACTCCCTGTCTCTAACATTATTAAATTTCTACTCCATACCACAGTGAAACCTTCCTGCAGGCTGGGATGAAAGATGAGCTTCCCCAGTGAAACAGAACTGCCTAGAAATCAGGCTTTACTGCAAATTCTTCTCTTTTTTCAGTTATCTAATTACCCTCTGCAAAAACAGAGGATGAGAATCCACAGCCCCTCTGTTCACACAATGGACAGAATTCAATCCCAGCCTCACATCTTAAATTTTACAGCCAATTCTTTTATAGAGTTTGCCCAAGGCAATATTCTCCATCCAGTTAATCAGCAGACGGTTCTTTTCCCATAGCCCAGGGAAAATAACCTAAAATGCCAGGAAAAAAATAAATCACCAGCAACCCAAGAGATGCAGATTTTATGATGAAAATGACCAGTATCAGCTGTAATGAAAACCTCTATACAATAATAAGTTGAGAAGATTCATCTCCAGCCTCCTGAGTTTCTGTTTGCAACAGTGCAGTGTTTGCTCTGGCAGTATTAGCAGGTGAAAATGTCTGGCTAAATCATTACTGAAACATCAGAGGTGGTTTTTAGCATGGCTAAAAAAAGATGAAAACTGGTTTCAACTCTCAATGATGACTTTGGTGATGATTCTGATTGCTGGTAATGATCCTGAAGTTCAATCCTGAGCACAAGCTGATCCATCTTCCATAAATCCAAACTACATGCATGAATTTCACCCTCCTCTTCCCATGTCAGCTAAATTTTATAACAAGAACAGTTTGTCACAGAGAATTAAGCTATTCTGCTAGGTTAAGTCTCTCCTTGGAAGATTTCTGAGAGCTTTACACAGACCATACACTTACCCTGTCTCTGTGCTCACCTCTCCACAGGCACAGTTACCATGTACAAGCTCTAATGACCCAAGTCTCAGACCCAGGTCCAGCCTCAAGAGCCCAAGAAGCAGAATCAAGAAACAGGTTCCACACTTGCCTGCAGGCAACCTATTAACAAGGTCTTGAAGAGTAAAACTGGTGGTCTGTAGTTAAGGGAAACAGCTACAGGAAGTTCCCCAGTCCACACAAAAGTAAAAATAGAGCAAGATCACAACATACCATGTGTTCCTGAACTCTGAGCTCCAAGCAGAGACTGTTAGTGTCTGGGACTTGTAATCTATCCCAAAGGAATACTCTGGCCTCTAACAACATCAGCCTTTCCCATCTTGTGGGGGCATCTGAGGTCTCTCTTTTTTGGCTTTCACAGATCTTGCAGAACCTAAATTATCTTGGAGGCACTGGCTCCTTTCAACTTTGATGGGTTCAAGTTGGAGAAAAGGAGAGAGGCACAGCCGGGGTAACAGCTCACTGCTGCCATGAGATGGTCCCACTTCCACATGTCCTGCCTCCCATGCACTTCATCCCACGGACCTGCCCACCCTGTGCCTGCCCTACCTTTCCAAGAGGAAAGCTGTCAAACAAGGCAGCAGAAAGGACAGAAAAGTAAGAGAACAAGAGGCACAGGGAAGGTAGGAACAGGACCTGCAACCACACATAAGCACCAAGGTGCAACACTGGCTCAGGCATAGCAACAACTTCCCACTACAGCACGACATGGGCTCTGTTCCCTTCACCTGCAGTTCCCACAAACCACTGTGAGTACTGGAAAACTGCTCATCCTCTCTGAATCTGAGCAGCAGTTTCGAGTGGGAGTTTTCTTGGTTCAAGAGAGAATTATACAGACAACTACAGAGTGAGCAACCCATGCCTCATTAATGAGTTTGAGGAGCACAGAGGTCACTGTTGACAGAGGAACAGCGGCAGCCACTACAGTTCAACAGCACAGGCAGAACCAGCATCAACCAGCAGAAGAGCAGATGAGGCCAAGAAACTGCTCGTGCGTAACAGGCACAAACATCGCTCTCTTCCAGGATAAAAATAAAACCATTTCTGGATATCAGCAAACTGACAATTTTATTGTCGCCGTGTCATTTGGAAAAATTTCTGCATAGAATACAAACCCAAAAGCAAGTAAGACAAAAAAGGCCATGTGAAACTACCATTTCCCCTCTAAATAACTACAAACAGAAAACTTTACAGCTTATGACAGAGTTATACATAGAACATCCCAGCACAAGATTAGACATCAGAAGTGACAAATGGCAGAGGCTTACCCATGAAAACTGACTGTGCTGACAGAAGCAGGTGGAGGAAAAAATAGTATGCAATTGTTTATGACTTCTGCATCCTACATGGGAAAGAGATTTGGACAAAATTAAATTAGCATTTTAGTTATGATTCTTACCAGAGTGGTTGAACTGAGGAGCAGCAGCTACAGCAGCGGCATGAACCAGCAAAGAATTGAAAGTCTTGCAACAGCTCATGCAGCAATGAGAACAAAAAGAAATTTTAAAATACTATTATGAGCTTCTTTAATAAAATACATGAATTCAACAGCCTTATTCAGAAAAGTAAACTCTGATACAATTTGCAGGGTTTGACTGTCAATATTAGGTTTGTAATTTGATAAATCTCATAATGCTGAGCAGCTGATTTTAAGAGAGGATGACTGTAGAATTCTCATCTAGGTTATCCCACTGCTGCTGTCTCAGCTGTAGAGCATTTACGTTAAGTGTTCAGTGCAGACCCGCAATGGCTGGGAAATGTCCCTCCCCAAACTCCTCACACAGCTGTATGAAAGCACAGCAAGCCACCTATCTAAAAATTAGATACCAAGTTCAGACCCTAATCCACCTGCAGCAATACAACCATGCTTCTAATTTTTATTTATTAAAAGCATTAATTCCACTAAAGCACTGTACCTGCCTGTGGAGGAAAACCCCACAAGCAACCTGCCTGAAGTGGTCAAAGATGGTCAGAACAGATTTGCCATTTTTGGCTGATCTTGCTTTTGTCATCACAAGATCCTGCCTTTTAAGTCATGTTACATAAACTTGTCACTCTCATGTCACTGGGACAGGTGAACTCACAATAGCAATCATTGCTAGTTTAAATAGATGCTTTGGAAAACATATTCTGTTACCATTGCTCCCAAGTGGTTGATTCTCACACCTCAAAGCCTGCAAAGAGGAGGTGGGGGGAGACCACATTGCACGTGCCTAGTGCCCAAACAATAGTCTGACACTGACCTTCAGAAACCAACTCTTCCTCAAATAGCACAAAAAATATATGCAGCTGGTGTGCACAGAAGTCAAAGGAAGTCAGAGTTTAAAAAAGGCAGTTCAACTACAAACACTTCTGTAACACTGGTGAGGAAATACTTTTAATTGTTGGAAGGAGACTCTATGCCCCAAGCAGTTTTTCCGCACTGGGACAGGGCCCACAGTCAGGGCCGAGCCTGAGCAAGCCTTATGGACACACTCTCAGCTCAGAAGAGAGTACCTGTAACCACGGGCCAAGAAGGCCTTTCCATAAACATCGGGATGTCCTGGAGTGTGGAGTAGGGTTCACCAAAACATGTCAGACACATGTCTGGGAACACACCATGGATATTCCCTTTTCCAAGGTGACCCCACTCCAAGATGGGCCTTTCAGGTGGCAGGGGGGTTCTCAGCCGCACCAGAACTCAGCTGTAGCAACTTGCTTCCTCTGCTTTGGCTAAACCTAGTGCATGAATATTTACCTCTCCTATCATCCATAGGGCAGGAGAGGACAGAGAAGCCTGTTACCCACTCAGGCCTCCTCCCCTTCCCAAAGCAAAGGGCTGGACGCTCACAGACTGAGGGGTCTCACAGCATAATGGGCTCTCTTCCTCTACAACCATAGAAACCACTGGGACCACAACTCCCCAGGTCAGAACTTTATTTCACAAGGATTCATCTGAATGCTACTTCCTGAATCCCAGGATCAGTATTTACATTACCCTGTTCACCATTTCACCCCAAAAGGCTGCAGGAACACAAGTTACATAGTAATGGCATACTGTGACTGTACCTTGTCACTGCAACATGACCTAAAGAAAAATAAATTGCACAAGCAGCCTAATTTTAAGTCTTCAGTATTAACTTGCATATTTTACAAAATATTTGTTACCAGATGCTGTCTCCTTCACGCTCTTCTTTGCGGAAAAGCCAAGCTATAAACAAAACTATAAAAGCAAGGAAGAAATCAACAGAGTAAGGAGGATCAAAAGATGCTCTTTTCTACAGGACAAAAAACCAGGCATCCAGCTAGGGATACAGATTCTTAATTGCTCTTAAGAGACTATTAGGTGAAGAAACAGCTGTTCTAGAGCCCAGGATATGAAGCAAAGAACAAGAGGTACGAGAATAGTATTTAGAAAATAGATACTGAAAAAAGGTCTTGCATAATAAAGTGATTACCAAATAAAATCTACTGGGTGTGCTCCTTTAGCTCTCTTGCTACTTGGCTTAAGTCTTTTATAATCACTGATGAGAATTTTATAAAAGCTGAAATAAAAATTAATTATTGAAAAGTACCTGAAATGCTAAGTGATTTTCTACCCTGAGGGTTTTTAGCTATTAAATGAAATATACAATTGATTCTGCACATAGAATATTCCTGTGGCAAACCATCTTTAGTCTCACTTGACCCAGAACACTGACATTTATCACTCCTCCACTTATAAACAGCTACAAGATGAAAGTAATAAAGAAGTTAATTGGATCTGAAGTGATTGACTTCCCACTGCAGCCAGGATTCTCCCTGTTCCCAACTGATTTTAGTACCTACGTTTTGCTCCAGAAAGCCTCATCTAGTCTGTGCCAGGTGCAAATACACAGAATTTAGGAAAAAAAAATTCTGTTTCTAACAGTTTAGCTACCAAAATCTGTGCATCTGAAACACCTTATGTTACAGCAGAAAGAAAAATATAAAAAATAAACTCTGCATATTTCTGAAACAGTCTTTATAATGCAATACAAACCAATAAAAGGGGTATTAATTTCTCATTATCAGTGCATCTATTCAATACCCATTCTATGAAAGTCTTCACAGTACACATGCATTCTCCACATTTTCAGTGCTCCAGATCATCTCAAGGTTCTCATTAGCAAAGAGAATTCTCATTAAATTCTCACATTTGCAACAATTTATATAATCTTATAACTATGTCTCCCATCAGAAAAAAAAACAGAGAAAATATATTTTTTTTCCCAAAGACCTTTCAGATCCTGCTTCTGAAAGTGCTGCAATGAAGTTATATACAAGTACAAGGCAAGATTTTCCCCAGCACATTTACAAATCTCTATGTAAAGCCCGTGGACACTCCAGTGTAAGAGCAGGCCCTCATCCAGCACTCTGTGCCTGCAGTGAAGCACAGCTTCTGCTTTTACAAACAGTTCACGAGAGGCCAGATCCCTTTAATTTTATGTTTTTATTACAATATCCCCACACCTCCACATATAAACACTGAACCCTCCCCGTTCCTCATCCCTCCCCCTCTCCCACCCACGGAAAGGTTGCATGGCAAGAGACCAGGGTGGAGTAATTTAAAGCCACATCAATGCCTAACACACACAACAGGTTTGGAGAAGGGAAAGCCTTTCTCATGAAAAGAAAAAAAATTAAACAGCCTCTTGATTCAAAATATTAATAAATATGTAATAAAAAAGTTAATTTTTCCTATTTTGAAGAATTTCCACAACAGAGGAATAAATTCAATAAAATAATGTAAAAGCTGTCCTTTTGGAGTAAAAATCAGTTTTAGCAAACAAGAGTGTCCTGTAGGTTGCAATTATTGTATCTATACCTAGGAAGTCAGAGAGCCTCAGGGTTGCTGTCCTTTCAGTGTTCCCCATGGGTGCCACGAACTAGGCCTGTTCCTGAGCCGTGGTGGATGTGCTGTACATGCACAGCCATGGGAGGTGTCTCTGCAGAGGCCCTTTGTGAAAAACGAACAAAAACATTACTCTGGTGTTACAAATATTCCCTGCAATTAAAACAGAGAAATAGGAAGCAAAGATTTACTTGTAAAGCTTATCAGAGTAAGTACCAGACTGTTCAACTGCTCTTAGAATACAATCTCACAGCAGGAGAGAAAACCCATCCACTGGATTCAGAAGGTGCTTTTATCTGGATAGTCAAACTAGTGAAAACAGGAACTGCACTACACTCAAAGGTCCAAGCACCATAGTCTGTCTGAAATACACGGTACTTCCAAACAAACTCTGCATTCCCTTAGAGATCTGTATCACCAGTGGGGCAAGAAAACAACATCTTCATTTTCTGTTCAGATTTTATTTGAAATCTAATTCGTATTGTCAAAGCTACAAAAAGGGGAACATTTGAGTTATTTCTGCTATGTCACAACATTCTAAAACAAAATATCACTACTGCCAGCAGATCAGTTACACACATTTCTGATGAAACTTCTAAACACAAAAATGTTTCTTTTGGGAAATAGTCACAATGAAGATATTTGTACAATATAAAACAATGACAGGTCTACAGATGCCGATACTCATGAGTATACACGTGCATTCACAAAAAAAAAAATAATCAGGAATGCTTTTTTGTTTTTTAACAGACTGTTCAGGCACAAAAACAAAACCGCATTTCCAGTAAGTGACAGCATCATAAAAAATATTAACATTGTCAGTGTTTGCTTTTCTTTGACTTCTTGTGAGATCTGTGAGGAGAACGGGACTGAGACCTGGATTTTTTCCCTGACTTTTTAGGGGATCTGGATCGTGATCTTCTCGATCTTTTGGGTGTCCTGGAGCCAGATGGTGACCTGCAAAAAAAATAAGGTTTTATGTCAAACACTAATTGAGAACAGCATCTTCTTCTGCAGTTATTTGGCATTCACTTATTGAGCCAAACAAGCTAGAAAATATTTTTCCCTAGTAAGGGAAAGTAATAGAATGATATTTTGTTTTTGAGAAAAAGGCAATCTTTGTCTTGTAAGTTTTTAGAATATTTTGAGCTTAACAGTGCTTAGAATCCACAAGAAAAATAACACCAATTCGTGCCTTTAAACCCACATCAGGAATTCCCAACTTTCCACACATGCCTCAACTACCTTGGCTCTTGTAATAATGGCAGCCTATGTCCATATAGAAATGAAAAATTATGTTGAATTGTGTGGAAAGTTAAATACTTTTGATTCTCATCAAACACATTCAGTTTGTGATGTTACCCCATAGAAAAAGAATAGACACTGGATAAACTTACTGTCATCTAACCCAAACCTAACACACTGATCTAATATAATCAAAATTGAATGACATTGTATTAACTCTAATGAAAAACCTCCAATGCTTTTCTACTTCTATTTGAATTCCTTACTTATATAAGCACAAGAATCTGATTACTGTCAATATGTACTATGATTTTCTCAATAGCAAAGGCACTTTCCTCAGCATGACTGAGGAATTTTATATCAACAAGACATTCTACACCTCTAAAACAAGTGGAAGCTGAACTTTCAAGTTTCAAGTTACAGCAGCATTGATACATTAGTAAAATTTCACCTCAAGTTTAACATTAACTAGAGACAAATATTTGTGTCAGTTTGGAGATTAGGAAATACCTAGTTCAGAAACCCCGTAAGAAGTATCTAATCTAGACTTTTTTCCCTTAAAAAACAAACTAGGGGAGAGAGGAGCTTCATGTAAGCTCCTCAGTGTAAAAGACTGCATGCTCACTGTAATGTAAGTGGTTTTATAGTAGGAGTACAGAAATTTTAGAAGGGCTACAGAAGACTTGTCCTTTGAAAATAAAAAGCTGAGAAAGCAGCAAGGTGCTGTGGTTTAAAGCAGTATTTCTCAAAATGATCACTAAACAGTTAAACAAAACCATCATGAGAGAAAGTACTTGAGTATCAAATGTGCTCTGCTAAAACACACACAACACAAACCCCACCCAACACACACCTGTGTGCTTCCCAAAACAGAGAAGATACCAGCTTACCTCTTGCCTTTTTTACTGACATCTCTGGGAGAATCTTTGTGTGATGACCGGGACCGGGAGCTCTCTTTGTGGGACCGTTCCGAGCGCTCCGAGCGCTCCGACTTGGGGGACGGGGATTTGGCTCTGCGGCTGCCGCTGCTGCGGGACGGGCTGGGGGACGTGCTGTGCCGCCTCTTCCTGCAGGCAGGGTGTCCACACACACACAGGGGAAAACGGGGGTTAAGAAAATTTATCCCTTTCTCTACAGCTTTTCCTTTGCCAATGTAATGCTGTAACAGTTATGCAAATAAAGCGCAGTATTTTATTATTAAAAAAAAAAATCAAGTCCAACGTGTGCAACAGATTTTGTGGGGAAAAAAATGAGGGCCTGTGAGTCACCTTACAGTGTAAAAACATTCTGTCATAGTTTCCTGAAAAGCAGAGCCTTTTACTGTATCTACACTTAAAACCCTGGCAGAGTTTGGTTACACAAGTATTAGATGATCAAAGTGTACAATCAACTACCCCAAAACCAGCTGTTCAGAAGGATTTGCACTATGAGATGAATAACATTTAAGCCACTACAATTCACTTGTAGTCTGTCCTCAGGACAGTTTTCTGACTTTATAAAGCACTGCAGACAATTCACTGCTACAAGAGTTAACAGACCCTGTTTTCAACTGGTCATCATTTTACATTTCCTCCAAAAGGGGACTCCATTCAAAGGGGTACAGTACCTGACTTGGGGCAGCATAAAAATGACCATTCCTTTACAATCTTTAAGCATGTTTTAATAGCCAAAGCATGTTTATTGTTGTTGGGTGTTTGTTGTTTTGCTTGGGTGCTTTTGTGGTTTTCTTTTAAAATAAGACACATGATACAATGTAATGTCAAGGGTGCCATTGCATACAAAGACACTATGAGGTTTTTCCTCTCATCCATTTTATTCCAAGGAAAGCCATACCTCTCTTTTCGTGTGGGTGTACATTCCTCCTTTTCCTTCTTATCCTTGGACCTGGTCTCAGACTTTTCCTTGTCCTTTTTGTCTCTGTCCCGTTCTCTTTCCATCTCTTTTTCTTTTTCCTAAATTATTAGAAGCATTCATGATTTCAGATGAGGTGTGACTCATTATTAAAGGCAACCAAGCTGATCACAAACAGCACAAAAGCCCTGAGCACTGAGGGAACACAGCACATGACCTGAACTAATGGTCACACCATCCCTGCTCTTCCAACCTTTCCTCCTGCTTTGGACACAGCACAAACATTCACTGGAACACAAACACTAACAAAAACGTGAAAGAAGTCACCCTGTGTGAGAAAATCTGAGTATCTAATTGGAAATGAACATTCCTGAATTTTACAAATTTCAGGGAAATGTTAGAGCTGTCAAAAACAACTATAAGTCCATTTCTATGTATAATAGGTCCATTTTGTAAGAAAATACATACCCTGAGTACACCTCATCTGTCACAAATAGAAAATTAACTATAGAAAAATAAACCTAAACCATCAGCAAGTCTGAACACAGATATCGAGAGATGTGTTTTTAAGTATCAGCATTAAAAAAAATGCCTTCCATGGCAAAAAATAAACAGATATTCCCTGCATACTCCATTAAGAAGATAAAGAAGGGGTGATTTAGCTAAGTGAAAGAAAGGAGGGAGGGGAAAAAAACAAAACAAAACAAAACAAACAAAACAAAAAAACCAAAACAAACAAACAAAAAACCCACACCAAACAGAAAACAGTAGAGGGAGAGGAAATAACACAAGTGCAGGAAATACCAGAACAGCTACATTCATCTACTCTCACATTTTCTTTACACAGAAGAACCAGTATTACATTACTGTTATAAAAACTAACTTTATTAGGGCATTAAAGCAAAAGAAAGTTATTCTCTTAACAACAGGGTTATTACTGTTTTAAAGAACTATTATGATTATCATTAAATATTTCTTAACTATATATTACCTTCATAATTGAAAGTGAAAGAGGTAATTATTAAAAATCTGAAATATTGTTAGCTGGCTGAACTACTTCAACACAAGGCATCTAAAAATTTATCAGGATTACAATTTCTGCTTGTTTAAGCTACTGTCTCACTAAAAATTCTGTGCTTACTGTATAAATCATTTTTTTACAGAAAATACTGAGGAAGTCGAAAGCTTTAAGATACAACTACATTTAAAAGGGAAAATACTTATAAAAATTAAAGTCTTAACTGCTAATATCAACCTCCAAGGTATACATCTCCTTCAGGGATCAGCTTGCCTAATTTTTACAAGTCTCCTTCTTCAAGGTACTATGGAAAATTGCTTTAGTGAATTAGTGAGATATTGAACCCCAAATAATGCAAATAACAAGCGACAAACACTTGGTGGAAACTGCTTATTTGTACTTAGCTTCCAAGAAACTGCAGGGGTATCTATGTCATCTCTGATCTGTCAGGCTGTGAAAGCCACTGTCCCTTACCCTCCCTCACTAAACACACTGTCCAAAGAGGTTCTGTGTTCTTTTGTTGTGTTTCAGTGATTTGAGATCACATGATATCTTATATATGATGATAATTTTTAAAGCCACTGTGACTTCATAGTCCAGAGAGGACTACTATTAGAACCAGTCACATTTGGATGAATGTATGAGCTGGAATTGTCCAGGAAACTTAGACACTGGAGAATCAGAAACGCACATGCTGTACTTAATACTGTTCTTTCTCTTCCTTGGGAAGCCTTTAGCACAACAGATCAATTATTAAAAGTAAAATGGAAAGTCTGATGAACATTTTCAATGGACAGCTCTCTCTTTCCTTTCCCACATCTCAGAGTTTCCTTCATGCAGTAGATCTAGAAGTGATCTCTAAGGTTCCTACACACTCTATGATACCCAACTGTACAGTGTGAAATACTACAGTATTTTGATTAAAAAAAGGGAGATTATATGTATTCTGCAGAAAGCACTTGGACTTAAACATGCAGTTTGACATTACAGTAGTATTTTAACAAGAACCATGTGTTATTATACTTAATGCCACCTTACATTTGATAAACTCAATAAAAGCCTATCACAGAATCAGAACCAAACATAAAGAACAGTTCTTACCCTCTGGAGCAGCTTGTCTCTATAGTGTTCAACCTGTTCCTGAAAACTCTGGCCTGGTTTCTTGGGTCTTTTCCCAGACTCTAACTCATCCTGAAACTTCATCACCTTAAGCTGTGAAAATAATACTGACCATTAGGTTATTGGGCTTATTATTATCCAGTTAGGCAGGTGGTTGAAAATGAAATTTCCATGACTTATAATCTGTGTTCTTCATTCTTTCTAGACAAGCTTGTGCACAGAGATACTAAATTTATTTGAACTGGATCAAAGTAACAAAACCCCACACTTATCCGCAGGCACCTGCAGTTGTTCACAGGCGTGGAAAAAACCAAAAATAGAGGGATTTTTTTCTGTTATTCTACTACATTCTGTCCCCACCGTTAGAACACTGCACCCTTGTATTTCTTTGGTCATTATCTGGTTTTTTGCTTTCAAAATGAAATCATTTCCTGCAGGTGTCAATAATTCTTTCAACTTCTCTTGTCTACTCCAAGGTTCCCTTCAGAAATTGTCTTTTTTTCCATTTAACTCTAAATATTAAAATCAAATGACTGACATAATTAGGACAAAAAACAAACGCATCTCTTCAGGGCTATTTGCACAGAGTGGCTGATTTGAAAGAACTGATTTTTACTAACATAGTACTCTTTCATGTGCTGTCAAGCTTAGCAACAAAATTCAGTTCACAAGTGCTGCTAAATGTAACACTAAATTTACTGCAGTATCCCAGCAGAGTCACAAAGTTAAGTAAATGTCAGAATTTTTCCCTGTGTTGTTTTCAGGGTTTTTTTGGTTTTTTTGTTGGTTTTTTTTTTTTTGGTCTGGATGCACTAAAACCTTTCTCCAAGTTGATTCACATCATGAAACTTCACTCACATCTCTTGTCAATCCTTCATTCCTAGTGACATGTCCTTGTACAAACAATCCTTCAATTTTTTTGGAGAAGTTGTCTCTTTTGGGGGTGGATGGGGAGGAACTTGGTAATAAGTCAGGTTGTATTTGTCAGCCCTCTTCCAAATGCTTATGCTCTGACCCTCTTGCATTTTCTGTTTCAATACTGACCTGCAGAGTTATATATGAGTAGATTTTTCCAGTGCTCAAGGTTTTATTTTTAGTGAACACACAGAATTGGTTTCTTTTTAGAAACATTTAATTTTTCCACATTGAAAACACACAAAGGAAAAGACTTTGCAATTGTGTCCATTTTGATTATCTGAAAGGATCTTATTCTCTATTTCCTAATATGAAGTAAGCACAAAATCAAACCCCAAAGGTTTTTTCTTCCCTCTCAAAAATAGCAGGCCAGACTGGATACCATATATTCCAATCAGCCCTTCCAATTAATGACAGAAAGGTATCACAAAAAACAAACTAATCACAGGAACAAATATGTTAAGAAGCATAAAACCCAAGCAAGGATAACACTATTTTGAGCAAGATCCCCTTCCCCTTCAGTTACAGAGCTTATGCCAGAAACACCTTTTTCATTTTAGTCTCAAATATAATGGAGCCACTCATTTTGGGGGAAAAAATTTTAAAGACAAAAACCCACCACCACTGTTATCTGATACCACAGTAAATTTCTGTCAACTGTTCTGCTTCCTTCCCTCCCTCCCAGAGCAGGCTCTACCTGCCCTTGAGCATTTTTCCTTACAATTTAGCCAAATAAATTGTCAGCAGCCAATGGAAAACTGACACCACCATTTGTCACATACCACCTTCCATAAAGGCATTTTTTCTTCTTGTCCCCTTCAAATTCACAAATTTCAAAGGCAGGAAAACCTTTTGGAACCATCTACTCAGTGTCCCCATGTACCCCCTGTTCTGGTAAGAAGTGAGGATTGCATTCCCTACCACCATGTACACTCCAAGGTCATCAGTACTGAACAGGAGCACACAGGAGGCTCAGCTGATCCAGAAAGCCTCTTGGGCTGTCGTGGTATGAACATGCCCATAGCACCTGAACTTTGTTTCCCCAAGTAAATCACCCAGATAATTTAAAACACAAAACAAACAAAAAAACCAAACCAGCAAAAGCCCACAAAAAACCCATCCTTATAAGATTTTATTCCTTTACATATTTAGCCAACAAAGCTGTGACACTGTTTAACCATACTTTGAAAGCAAGGAAGCCTAAGCCTATAGGCAAAACTAACCTGAGATGAAAATAAACGAGGTGTCCAAACAAGAGGCTTTATTTGATTTAATAAGCTAAAGTGGACACAAAAAAATGCTGCCATGCACAGCACACAACCCACTGCTGGCATGACATTCTGAATGGCAAAAGGAACTATTTGGATGTAACTTCTCCAGTCACTGTGGGTGGAGGGGGCAGGCTGAAGGTGGTCACTGGCAGGTGCACAGAGGAAGAGAGAACATAGGAAAAGCCTGTACTACAGTAAGTACTCACTCAACACCTCCCCGGACTCCAACTATGGTGAGATCATATGGTTTCCTGAGACAGCTGTGGTCTGTTACAGACCCACCATCAATGGATCTCTCCTCCACACACTCTCTGTATCTCCCTTTAAACTGTAAACTGACTCCTTTCAGAAAGATGCTGTGGGCACAGGAAATCAGCTCGAGCACATCCCCTGGAAAAGGCGACTGAGTGTTCCAAAATGCTGAGATGGTATCAACAGCTCACTATAGAAAGGTCAGGTTCTTTCACCTTCCTTCTCTATTACTGCACTCCAAGCTCAGGGTTTCCCTTCCACCCTGCCCTTGCAGCAGCTGCAGTTTTCCATAGACCAGATCAATTCACTATCCCAGCAGAAGCCCACCCTTACCCCTGGCTTCAATCTTCCCTCCAGTAGTGAGATGTACTGGGTCAGGGGAAGAATGAGCTCACAGGATCAGGATGTTCCCTCACCCAGAGGTCAGTAGTCAAATAGATCAGCTCATCCTACACCTTCATGTATAAAGCCTTTTGTTATTTTCTCTTAACACACCACCACTGTAACTATGTTTTAAAAGGAATTACTTAGGTCCCAAAATCTACAGAATTCTCTAAAGAATTGCACCCAGAACTACTATATGAACTTAGATACTTGGTTACCTCCTTTCACTATTTCACTATTCGTTGTACCCTGGCCAGAGTGAACAACCTTCTTACAGTCTTTTCCTGCAGAGGACATGATGCTCTTATTCCTATCACACAGTTCCAGATACTCCCCCAGGAGAATGAGATCCTTAATACTTAGGCTTAAATCTCCCAATTCATCTAATCAATGAATTTTGTAAGCATTTCACTTTGTAAACCTGCATTTAGAAAGAACTAATGTATTCTCATTGCACTGGCTATTCTTTAACTATTCTTGTCCAACAGACAGGAACTGTTAAGCCTGTTCATTCTTAGGAATAAATACATTGACTTTTATCTGAACTCTCTCCAAACTCAGCAGGAAAAAATGGAAGGGGAAAATTTTTCAAAACTCTGTGCCAAAACTTTTCAGTACTAGTTCTTTAGACAGAGCAGCCTCCCACAGCAGTTTATAGTCTTCAGAGACTGCAATGAAGAAGTGTCATATATCCATGAAGTTCCTATGAGCAACCACTACCAAATACTCCCATGCAGGGATCACATTTCCTACTAACAAGAGGAGGTCCCTCATAAGGTCCAGATAAACAGCTCCACAACATGACTCTTCTCTATTGGTTCTCATCTTGAAACTTCTCCCCTCTCTCCTCAAACTCATTTGAGGAGAGTTTAAAAGGTTCAGGCATTCCTGGAAGGTGAGGCCTTGATTACAGCCCACCCAGGAAGCAAGCAAGCAAAGGAAAGGGTGACACCTTGCTGCCACGGCCCAGGGAAACCACAGACTGCTGCAAACTCAAGCTCTGCTTTGTGTACTTTCACAGCAACAGGTGTGATGTTTCCTTACTTAAAACTAATATGCTTTCAAAAACTGCTCTTGGTTTTCTAATCTGCCGCTGATACTGTCTGAGCCCATACACAGGGTCTTTTCCACAAGAGGTCACTCCACAGTTACACAGTTACACAGCCTCAGACCTGACGGGCCCGGTTCAAAATAACTAGTTCAAGGTCAATTAACTGCATACTGCATATTAGCATGAACTAGGAAGTTTATCATCAGATACTTTATGAAAAGACAGGAATTTCTACTTGATAAGAAGTTGCACTCAAATGTAGACTAATTACAGACAGGACAGACATCCAAGCAGACCAAAGTGTTTTGATTTTCCTTAGAACAGCCTTGCCCCAGCAATGGCTGTCACAAGTCCGAGACTTTGCAGGAGCAGAGAAAAATATTTCTTTGAAAGCTTAATTTTTCCAGCAAGTCTACGAACAGTGGAATTTCTGCAGCTACAGTATTATCAACAACAGATGACAGATATACTGATGTACACATGTGAAATACCTCCTCTGCCATAACAGCCCTCTGGCATGCTCAGTCACACTCACAGGTTGCCAAGTGTCTTGGAGCCAAGCAATTCCTTGCTTTTGGCTTTGTGTAAAACAGAAATACATTCAAAGATTTAAAATAGATCAAAATCTTCTGAATAGTCATCATCTTCTAAGAACAACTGCTATAAATAGCAAAACTATCAGTTAAGTAAGAGCCAATTTGTCTCATCTGTTATTATTAAATCAGTAAGATATTTAATAGGGTATCTTTTTGTCATTTTGCAGTAGCCTCAAATGAACCAGGTACAGAAACCTCCACAGACCAAAGGGTTATATTGTTCTAGTGAGGATTACAAGCCTCACACAGCTCCTATGATCTGATAAACAAATACAGAGAAGTTGAGTATTCTTCACACTAAGTACCATAATCCAGAGAAAGAAATAATGGAAACTGTATGGAGCTTCAGTTTCTTGACAAAGGCAGCCACCTTTCCCTTGTGACATCCACTTGGGCTCTTTGGCTCTTGGTAGAAAAATAAATTGGACCTCAAATACCATGACACATTTGGGGCGGGGGGTGTTTGGTGTGGAACATCTCAGTTTGTGCACTGGGCAGGGGGCACTGACAGAGCACAGACACAGGATGGTGTAACAGGATCCTCCCTGCAGCTCCCGGAGCTCAGTGGTTCCCAGCAGAAAGGATGAACAGGATGACTCAAGACCATTAGTTTTCTACCTCAGTCAAATACTACTTTGAGGTCTCAGGTGGCCAACACAAAGGTGAGTAAAGGCAGCTACTAAAGAGGACTAAAACCCTGTTTGACCCTTCTGGAAGCATGGATATCTCTGGATTTGTGAAGAGCCTGCCTCCTGCTGCAGGTGAACCCTGTGCTGTGCTTTCTGTTTGGAGTAGGGTTATAAAATCCTGTGCAGCAAGGCGGAGACAGAAGTGAAGTACCTCAGAGAAAGGTCCAAGGAGGACAATGCTGCTTTATTTTGTCTGAGTTTCTGACCACTCTGAGGAGACAAAATGACCAATTTAAACAACAAAATTCCCATTTTTCTACCACTTCACAGCACTGAGGTCTCTTTACAAAGAGGAATACACCTTTCTTTTATATGTCACAGGATGGGGGAAGAAAGACACATACTTATACTGTAAAGACCATTCTGAAATTTGAGTTATAAATGCTGTAAAGTGCCAATCTTTCCACGTTTAAAACAGGTGAGAAATCACTGTTCTTCGGTGTTATAGGAAAGCCTCTGCTCTTGCTAAGTTCTGGAAAGAATTCACACTTCAGAAGGATTAAGAGGGGTAGCAGGGAAGGCAAACAAAAGGTTACTAACTTGCCCCCTCTGATTGCTGTGGCCAAAGTTTGTTTCTTACTGCACTTTCCCCTCCCGGCTGACAAGCTTAATTTACTGACGGTGCCAAGAGAAAGAATTCTTGTTTGTATCCATGAATTTCCAAAAACTGTATGAAAAAATCTGTTTCAGCTTCCCTGGTAGTCACTGTGTAGGACTGTTAGAGAATCAGACTGCCAATTTTTTTGCCAAATACTGTACACATTTTTTACAGTTTTTATTAGATGGCATAGCTGTTAAAGCTGGTAATTGGCTGTTTTTTCCTCAGTTCCTTCCCTCAAATTTAATAATGGATGTGGGTTTTGGCAGGGATTGGGTACATACTAAGAAGAAACTTTGAGTGTGAATGCTTTAAAGTAGTACAAGGAGTACTTTCCTGCCAATGACAAACTTGAGCAGAAATTTTAAGTACTCCTACATAGTGTCTGAAATGTTCTGAAAATGAAAAAGAATTGCTCTACTCTACTTTCCTGGCAATTCTGAAAGTCGGACACCAAGATGGTAATTTACTCACCAAAAAAAATTAAATGCAAGCCTGTGCTTGAAAACCTCAAATATTTGCCACCTAAAACTGTTCCTGAGAGGATACATTGAGGAAAGAACTTAAATCACTCAAGCAGTGTAAAACTGCCAATGGTTAAAGTAAATCACTTCCTAAACTGCCTCCACAAGTGCCAGGATAACATCTCTAAAACAGATACACAATCTGAGAGGAGCCCTTTCCATAACTGCTACGATCAATATTACAGCAACGTGAAAATTAGTTTCACTTGTACTTTCATTAGTCTAACACGTATTTTCTACAAAAATACTGCCACCATGAGTCAGGTCAGACATAAATCCCATTCAGCTTTTCTCAAATGCAGACTTTACTAACTTAGTATGGCTACAGATCACAAACTTTCAAACTGCTATGCAAAGCAAGAGATTTCTAAGTGCTTAGTTATAGTCTATTAATTCCAAAATCTGAATTATTAAACAGAGACATATTTGAGAGAAACAATAGTTGTGACATTTTAAAATATTACTGCCTGAGCATCTTAATATAATATTACAAGGTTTTCCTAATGTCTGATTTCAACTAACTAGCACGTTATAGCATAAACAGGTAGGCGGCCACAATTCCACCTTCAAAACATTACCCAAGTTGTAACCTGCCACTTGGAGATGCTACAATTGCAATCAGTAGTTTAGCAGCTTCTTAATATCATTTAAATGCACTGAGCAGAAGGTACAAGAATTTCAGTATTAAAACCCAGGCTACACTGAATAGAGAGTACAAGCTGGAAAGCCACATACAGTTTTAAACTGGTTTTGTTTTTTGTGTGGCACAGTGGGTCAGAAGGGCTTCACTGCTAGACAAGGGTCATGCTAAATTCCAGTTCTAGTTCCATTCTCAGTAAAACACGAGCTCAGAAACCAGCACAAAGCCATAACAACCTGTGCTACACTGACACCTATGCTTGGAGAAAGAGAGAAGAGCCAGTGAGCCCTACAAACAGCATACAGGCCTTCAATTGAAGTACCACATTTCCAGGACTACCTGGGTTAGTTGCATCTACTTCTTTGTTTGATGGCTGACACAGTGAAAAGAAACACTTTTAAATGCAATAAAATACAGACACCTGGAGGCAAGAAACAGAAAGAATGAGAAAGGTATAGGACTAAGGTCACATCCAAAAGTCACTCCCATTTGCCAAGAGGAGGAAAGTGTACAGGGACCAAGCAATCTAAGGCTACCAGTGGTACTGAAACAGGACACTGAAAAGGAACAGTAATTCTCAACATGCAATATCCCCTGACTCGGTTTTTCAGTTTTTTCCCGTGTTATTCTGAAAGTCAAAACCAAGCAAGGCAAGGCTGTGAATGAATACACCTGCACAAAAATACACTGGACTGAAAAAAAGAACCACTATATAACAGACTATGATTATTTCAATTAAAATAACCCCCTATCATATGTAGAGAACTCAGGGTGGGGTAAGGATTGGAAAGGTCCAGAAGGGTGGCACAGAACACCACCTGCTCACCTCTATCTCTCGGAGTTTGGCACGCTTCTCTTCACTCATTTCCGAGTATTTGACCGATGACTTGGATTCAGGCATTTCTTCTTTAATAGGATTGGAATACATGTGTTGCTCTTCTGACTTAGAACTCTGAGTGTCTTCCTCATCTTCACTTTCTTCTTCTTGACTTTATAGGAAACATAGAGAATTAAGATGTAACAGATAAATAAGTGTATGTAAAATTTACTATTTCTCCTACGTAGTTTCTATGATTAGTTACTAGTTTTGAAATCTCTTAAGTAAGATTAAGTTATGTAAAAAGTCTGCACCTACGAATCAGTCTCCATCTGTGAGATTTAGTATTTTAATTAAATTGTTAGTTTTTATAATGTACACTGCTCTCAGCATGCAGGAGAATTCAGGAAATTCATGGTCATCAAATACGAACCTACCTCAGCTACAAAACAAACCCACTGCCTCCACAAAATCTCTTAAAGTGCTGTAATTGTGCTCTTCAGGTATAGTAAGTTTAATAAAAGAAAAAAAACTGCAACACTTTTGCTTTTGGGAGATAAAGCTGGGACACGGCAGATACCCAAAATGATATTCCCAGACTGGCCACTAGAGTGCTGCAGGACTACACACAATGCAGGCATGTTTTTACAGCACTAACAGATGCTCTCAGTTGCCTGAAGAGCAAAGTAAAAGACTACTCAAAACCAACTTCTGTTGGCAGGATCCTACCAGCATCCAACATACACATACCTCAGAATATTATTCACTGCGTTTGTCTCAAAAGCAAAAAGCAGACGTTTAGATACATTCCTATACACCTAATAACAAGATTTCCACACTACTGCCTTAGCTCTTGCCATTTGATATTAAATTATCAAATCAGCATCAATTTAAAGATTATAGTTAACAACTCTACCAAAAGGTGTAAATTATCATGTTAGGAAAAAACTACGGGAGCTGAAAGCATGCTGCACTAAAAGCCTGATCCTTCTCCATCTTATTTTCCTACTTTCAAAATTTCATGTTTGTTCTGCTCTTGCAATACATATCTATCTTATAGAGAGTTCCAAAGACACTCAATTCATAAAATGAGTATGTTTTCATCAGAATGAAGTATTTACTTTTGAATTTCCTCCTCCTCAGATTCTTCATGTTGGTCAAAAAGCTCCCACTTTGAAGTAGTAACAGCTAGAAGAGACAGTAAGATAATTTTAACAACAAAAAACCCCACCAATTAATCAGAAAATTAGTATTTGTAGACATAATAAGAACTACAATGTGGTAAAATTCACTTAATGCACTTAATACAGACTTTCTATTTCACAGGAATATTTACTATTCACAGAGCTATTCACTTACAATGCATATCATGTTTTGGTAAATCCTTTAAAAGCAGACAAGTATTTGTCAGCTTGTAAAATATTATTTTCCAAATCAAGATGTGAAAAGACTGCCAACCACATACCCAGATTTTTTTTTTGCTTTCAATATTTATTCTTAATGAACTGGGAATTATTTTTAAAGGTTGGTAGGTTATTGAAGTAGAACAACCAAAAAAGAAAACAGTATCTCCCTTTTTTGGTTAAAGCTTCCGTGAACAAGTTACAGCTAAAAATTTTACTGTGTTAGCACAGAAAAGCTGAAAATAATCATTACATAGGTGACATTATGCTTTCAGTTTACTTAGAAAAGTAATCAAAACTAACCTTGAGCTTCCAGTTCTGATTCATCCACTGCTTCCCACTTTGAAGGGGCAACTTTAAATATAGGCTCATTCTTTTTTGAGTCTTCAGTTGTATCCACTGTTGGAGAAAGACACAGAAAAATAATTTCCAAAGCTCATCAAAAGCTGAAACCAAAAAACACTAAGGTAACAATCAGAATGAAATACTGAAACAGATACCATCTTATTAGTTGCAAAGAAAAGAAACCAGGGTTTGGAACCTGATGTGTATTCTGAAGCAATTATGAACTTAAAGCAGGAGGGCAAACTGAAGTTAATCAGTTCAACATCTCACAAAGCTACATGCCACATCAATTCTTGGTTGTATTTGTAAAAACTACTCAGGAAAAAAAGATCAAAGACTGAAGATTCAAATTGAAAGTAAAGCTGAAACATTTCGTACAAGGAACTCCATCAAGATCATCATCCAGCGATTTAATTGGGACTCCATCCAGATCATCAATAGGAGCAGCATCAATAGGAATTCCATCCACATCTTCTAGTGGAGCACCATCAAGCTCTTCCTCAATGGGAGCACCATCAAGGTCATCTGGTACTTCCTGAAAGCAAACAATAATTAATTATTTCAAGTGCAAATCTACATTGCTTTTCTTTAGTTCTCCAATTATCAAATCATTCCTTTTAAAAAAAGTACTTTTAAAAATACCAAAACCTCAAAAACCTCAACTTTAACAATTTTTGCTAACAAGTTTATTGTAGAGAAAATAATACAACAATATCCTCTTTTAAAAATTATAGGCAGGAACTTGGAATTTGTCCACAATGTACCGGAAGCTTTGCAATACCTATATTCAAAAGAAAAGATGTTAAATGGGAGTTTAGCTCAAAATGAGCCAATTAGACAAATTATACTTACTAGATATGAAGGATTCAGTAAAATGAAAAACTGACAGAAATCAACTCCTTAGCAGGAATACACACAAATTATGAACACAGCTACATATTCGAACTTATTGGGCCCAGGCACCGCCCTTCGTATACACACATTAACCCTGCTCCTCTGCTAAGGGAAATAAGTTACCCTTCCAGTTATACTGGGGGTGTCCCTCCTGCTGTTCTGAAAGGCATGTTTCCACACAGTTACAATGCCTGAAATGCCACTCAAAATTCAGATATTACAGAGTATTTCCAATACAAAGGAAATACCTGTCATTCTGCACTAGTCTTTGCTCTGAAATGGTTTCACAATACAGCTACACCACAGCACTTAACCTACAAGCAAGAAATTAATAAACAGGTTAAACAACATTTGCATTTGAATACACCTGTATTTAAGAGCAAGGACTTGGAGGAAGGAAAGGTTTACTCACCCTAAAAGAGACAGTAAAATAACCCTTGCCAGCCCTGCTTTATATTTACACATCTTTTCCCTGCCACCCCCAAGCATCACCACTGAGCTCACTCACCTCTGTTTCTTTATCTTCCATGATGTTTACAAGCCCCAAGAAAATATTCTGTAGTTTGATCAGAAATGGCTCTGGATAGATTGCCCAGTCCTCCCATGCTCGGAAGCATGTCATTACCCGTTGCTAGAAGCAAGGGGAAAAAAAAAAAAGCTAATAAATTTGTATTGAGAAATTTTAAGTGATGGGAAATAGACCACAGAGACCTATTGCAGAGCTGCTCCTAAGTAGTTCCACACTAAAGTATATTACAGTGATACCATGCTGGGCAAGACTAGTAATTTTACAAAAATACATATATAGGAACTACTTTTTATAAAATCTCACTTGGATTTCATTTCCCCTTTAAATTCCTGTTATATTATCCATTTCAGCTGTTCACAGTTCTCTCCTGACAGTAAGTTTCATTCTGCCCCAATGTTCAAAGCAGGTGCCTCTACTAAAAGTAAGAGAAAACTTTCTCTAAAAATAAAAGAGAAATCTTTCTCTTCATAAAATAAAATAACTAAAATTAACATTGGCTTATACATATTACTGAATGTTGGAGAAGAGAATGTTCTGGGGAGACCTTACTGCCCCTTCAGCACCTAAAGGGCCTACAAGAAAGCTGGAAAGGGACTTCTTATGAGGGCATATGGTGACAGGACAAGGGATAATGGCTTTAAACTGAAAGGTTTAGATCAGACATTAGCAAGAAATTTTTCAGGTGAAGGTGGTGAGACTCTGGAACAGGTTGTCCAGAGAAGCTGTGGCTGTCCCATCCCTGAAAGTGTTCAAGGCCAGGCTGGCTGGGACTCTGAGCAACCTGCTCTAGTGAAAGGTGTCCCTGCCCATGGCAGGGCGTTGGAACGAGAAGATCTTTAAGGTCCCTTCCAACCCAAATCATTCTATTGTAGAAGTGAAGCATATTTGAAATGATGGGTTTCAGTTCAAGTTTGAAACATTAAATGTAACTGAAGATGCAGATATAAAAAAGTTATCTACTGCCTCTCTTATAATTTAACAAATAGTTTTAAAATAGCATTTAAGAAATTGATTCTCAATCTAGAGCAACTGAGAGCAAAGAAAGCAGGACAACCAGGATAAAGACCTTAATACAGAAAAAACTAACTACCCTGTCAGCTTTGTATTTAAAGTTTCTGACTGAAAAACAAAGAAGAATAAAGAAGTGCAGAGGTATCTTGGAAACAGGAGAATGAAAGGTAGGCCAAGCATGAGAACCGTGAGAAGCAGAGCACTTTATCTCAAAAATCATTCTCAACTACCCATGGTCAGACTGGTTATCAGAAATCTAAAAATAAAGCCTATCACAAAAACGTTTAAAAGTAACTTTATGCTGTTCTGTCCAGGAGTTTCTTTCCACACTGAGCACCCAAGTTTATTTTTGAAATTGAAATAGAGGTGGTCCAAAAATAATAAGAAAGCTAGAAGGCCCTGTCTGTAATTTAAGTATTAGATAGATATCCTCTCAACTGCACAACTGTACATCTACCTGTACACTTCAGGTGGAAGATGTTAATTTTCTTCCTTAATTTCAAGGCTATCCTTGCAAAAGAGAAAACTCTTTTTTTTTCAAAGCCTGATTAGGAACCTCGATGTCTAAGCCACTTATCATAGTATGCAATCGCTTGTGCAGGAACATCTATTTATATGACTTCTATGTCATGTAAATAACAATGAAATACATACCTTGAAATTTTCAGACTGTAAATGGCCTTGTATTGTACGGTAAGTAGCATTGAGATCAGAGAATATCTGACATAATTTTGTTTCAAAACTAGAATTAAACATATACATTTCTTTAGTTAAACTTTGTAATATATGTTTTCTGGACATACATAATTCATGAAAATACCTGGGACACAGGACTCAAAAGCACAAGGTTCTGATCCCTACTGTAGCCATGAACTGAACTATAAAGCAAATATGATTACTATATTTCAAATCACCTTGGACAACAACAGAACTGTGAAGGGAGATCTTCACATCTGCTGCAGTCTCTTTATACACCCTGGAAAGACTGGAGGATAATAAAAGGAGTTTTACAACCTTAAATACAATGAAAGAATTGTCTCAAAATGCAATTTGTATTTTATTTTTTTTTAAATCTTAGTTATGTTTCTATTCTAGTTTACTCAGTGAGGCTCTCAGTGAAAGCACAGTGAGCAACAGCTGCCTAACTTCCCTTGAGCTTCTCTCAATGTGCAAAAAATAGACCGGCACAGCACAGACACACTGCAACAGGAAACATCAACTGCAACCTCTGGAGTTCCATAACATGCTGAATATTTCCCATCATGCTGCCATAGCATCTGAGAGACTCCAGGAGTAGACACAAACATCTAGTAAGACAAAGATACAGTCCCTCGGACATATGTCCTAAATTCTGCTCAGCACCTTAGAAATTAAGTACATAATCCCCTCATACCTTCTGCAAAGTTCATGGGGAGTTGAAACACCTACACTTTAATAAAAATAAATCTGTTTCAAAATTTTACTTCTTTGCATGAATTCTTTGCTATACCACATCTTGAATATTAGCGACAGGCTCTTTCTGTAAAGAGGCACATGCATTATTCTCACCTTTATGGAGTTCCATGCAAGTGCTCCCTTACATAGGGCATTACCAACATGCTACATCTTATACATTTTCATGCAAACAGATATAAATAATATCAGTCTGTAATAACAGCATCATAGAAAAGTGTGAATTTCTCTACAACCACGTTTATCCAGAGATGTACATACAGAGATGAATATAAGAATGTTTTTTTAACTGCCAATTGCCTAAAATATTATACTTACAATTTTCTATAGTAGGAAGCATTGGCAACTTTAGCTGAAGAGTTGTATAACACATCTGACACCAGATACAATCTTGCAATCTGCAATAAAGAACCTTCAAATTAACTCCAGTTTTAATTATCCTGAGAACATGTGCATGTTTCCAGAAAGGATACGAGACAGCTTTAACTGTCTAGAAGTACCTAATTAGAACTAAGTGTAGCACAGCTATATTATTAATACACATGCTAAGAGGAAATTAGCCCCCTGTTATGCTTGAGGGTACTAACTAACATATTAACACAGTATTACAAAGGAGGAATCACAACATTCTAATTTTAACTGCCTTGTTTGAACAGATCATTATGCTGTTTTCAACTTCACAGTAAGGCAGAACATTGTTTACAAGCAAGTCCAGAAAAATTAAAAATATGTAACAAAATTCCAGGAAGAAGCATATTTAAATCCAAGCCCATGTTTTAGTACCAAACCTCAACATTATCTGAAACTCATGAAATAATGCTTACAAATTACATGCTCATGCTGCTAAGTGAGCTCTTCCCCCCAAAAAACAAGAATGTAGAAAATCTACACACCTTCTTAGGAAGAGGAGTCTTGAGAATGGACAGTGATTCTGTGATGCAGTCAACAATTTCTTCAGCAGCTTCCGCATTATTTAGACAGAAAACCATTGCATCACCAATATCATTCTTCCGAGGGGTTAATCCCCGGAGAATTTCCTCTAGTTTGTCCCTCTGTCTGAAATAGCAGGAATTTTAACACTTTCAATATAAAGTTAAAGGTACTTTTGGGAATTTTCATTTAATGACGTTTTTTAATTTTCCATCTTTAGAAGAAAAGCAATTTTAAATGTTTTTATATTCCATTACCTCAGTTCTTTCAGTGGCTCATGAATTTATGCATCAACGTTACATAAAGTGCAAAAAATTCCCACTCAAGTCTTGACTACATAGAGAAATCAAGGAAAAATAACTGAGAAATACTTAATGCAACACATCAGTTTCTCTAAGAAGGTAATTATCTTTTTGGATTTAGTTTAAGCCTAAACCAAACTGGCTAAATCTAAAGCATTAAAGTAATTTCTGCTACAGAGTAAGAAACATTAGATTCAGAAAGCCAGTAAAAAACAATTACATCACATTTTCCCTGATCTCCATATTTAGAGAACATTCTCAAAAAAGTATCTTTTTGAGACTTTCCAAAAGAAGGTATAAGAAATAAATTGTGAATTAAAACCTTCAAAACTATGACTGGTGTAGTAACTATGCTGAGAAGAATAAAACAAGAAAAAAAAATCCATATGCTAATAACAGTTGGAACAACTGTTGGAGCAGCACAATTAAGAAAACCAGGTCTCTATTTCCACTAGCACAGCCACCCCCAGCACACTGACAATTCACAGCAAAGAACTCTGGTGATCTGGCTCTTCCTGCTTATTAACAACTGTTCCCAATTTTAATTCCTGATCAACAGCATCAATAAGTTTAAAATTATAATAACTGTTTAGCTCATGAAGTGTTGGGAAAGGTGCTGTATATCCTCACCTACAGACAGCAACAGAAAGTGAGGAAAAGCTCTCTCATCTTCCCAATCCCCTTCAAATTAAGGGTTAGTAAAAACTGGAATGAAAGGACTTGTTGTTCAGTGATGACAAATCTAACCAAATCCAGAACATATTTAGCAACAAGTATGATCAAAACAGACTAACTGAAAAGCACTGAGTTTAAGAGACACTCAGACACATAAATAATACTATGACAAGTATGACAACATTTTAGGGATGATATATTAAAAAAATATACAAAAATATACAATATATATATAAAATATAAAAAAAAAAACCATACAAAAATACACAAGAACCACAAGAGGAAAACCAAGCAGATTAGCAACTAAAACATCACTATAAATGGATGGTGGTACATACTCTTCCTTAAGTGCACCCTTCTTGTTCGGTTCCTCCACAAACGCTTCCGTTTCTTGCTCTTCAGACATCCCATGCAAGTATGGATTCAGTGGGGGTGGCCTCCAAAACGACCCGTTTTTGAACATACGGAAGTCTTCTGTCCTCCACTTGGTTGGAGCATCTCCCTACAAAAAAAAAACCCAATTTTTATTTTTGTCTTCTTCTAATTCACTATGCTTGAAGTTATGAATTGTCACTAAAATTCTACTTGCCTGAAGAATTGAATAAAGCTTCCACCTATAATACACATGGGCTGGAGTCTGGTTTTCAAATAAAAACCTAAAGCAAACCGCAAAGAAAAGAGATAAAACATATTACAAATCATTGAATGGAAGCAAATTCAAAGGAAGCAATAAAAACAAATAACCAAATCCTGTTCAGAATCCTACCTTAGCCCCCAAGTGAACACCAGACAGCTAAAAACACCAGCACCCACAGCACAGCTGGGCAGAGCATGTGCAACTGTTACACACACACACAGTCTGCAAAGCAGAGAGCACAGCTCCACAAAGGCACACCGTTTCTCAAAAGTTAAAAGCAGAACAGGGTCAGCAAGAACAACTGTGCAACCTCACAGCAAAGCAGAGGAATCATCAGTGCCAGGAGTCACTACAAGAGCAACTGCAACCTCAGCACAAGCAGTGCAGGAGCTTGTAGTTACACAGTTTGGTGACTCAGATCAAATACTAAATAACTTGAAGCTTTCCATCAGTTAAGTTGTCTGTCAGAACACTGGCAATATCTGTTGGGGGTATGGGGAGCAAGCAGCCCATTTTTAATGGCCAGGATATTTTGACCTGCATATTTTCTCATTTTATATATAACAATCATAGTGATGCACTTCAAACTTTTTGCAAATAAAGCATTGCTAAAAGGACATTTAGCATTTCCTTGAAAATGTTTTTCAGAGACTGCATTTCACAAGAAAGTTGGAAATTGATCCTTTTTTATTCTATTAATGACAAGAGCTGGAAATTCCCACAACTTCCCTATGTCAGCTAAAGTTTAATCCTATTTGCATTGACATCAAAGAAAAATTACTCCCAGCTCTTGCTAAAGGTTAGAAATCAGGCTCCAGGAAGAGCAGACTTCACATGGAGTTAAGACTGGATGTTTCGGGGGGGATTTTTTTCTTTTTCTAAAATGTATGCTACTGCTTCCACTGACTTTTCCCTGAGAAAAGTATGTGTTAAATGTCACTTATTTTATATATACAGAAATGTATTTTATGTTGTGTGTATAGTATTTTATTTATTTATATGTACACACTAGTAACAACTGGAATAAAAACGCATTCTCCTTTATAAATGGACAGCATAACCACTTGTACAGCCTAAATCTGCTCATAAAGATAGACACAGTAAAAGCAACTCTTATTAGTATTTTAAAAATGCCAAATCCTAACACCAGTGAAAACAGTTAGTGCTATTTCAAATGAAGCAATGTAATAAGCACCTGAACATGGGGTTGTTGATTTCTCGGTTCATGATCATGGCTTCGAACATGGGCCCTTCCCGAACCACAAACTCTATCATTCGATGGATCAAAGCGAGCAAATTCCTACAACAACAACACAGTTAAAGAAAAATTGATTCAGACCTAACACTATATAAAACTACACTCCACCTAAGATACTACAACTCTGCAGGAGATTATTTTGCTGTATTGTTAGGAAATCTGTATAAAAGATAAGGTAACATGGAACATATTATAGCTTTGCATCACAGACACGGGCATTCTAAGAATTCAAACATACCTAGCACTGGTGGAGTAAGAATTTAAGAGGAGACCTCTTTCCTGAATTTCCACAGCCTACAACCATCTCTTGCTTAGCAGAAGCCTGATACACACAAAAATGGGCAACTGAACACCAAAGTATAATTAACTATCAAAAACTAAGCCCTCATCTACATTGTCTACAAATAAGATTGAAGTGTCAGCTAAAGTTCTACAGGGGAACAAGTGGCTGAACATTATGCTCAAAATAAAACACACATACTTTTGAATATTCAATAGAAAGTGCATTCAGCTTTCAAACTATTCAAGTATGAAAGCAAAAGCAAATAGCCTTCTTGATGCCAAGCAAGGCAGCAGTTTTATAAAATTTAGATAATTTCCTTTTGGTCAAGACTCAACTATTGGCATAGACCAAAACTGTATCATTTCGTGTCATACCATCCCATGTTTCCTCCCTCATACAACCAAGTGAATCAAATCACAATTAAAAAAAATAAAAATCTGCATCATTTCATTCAGCACTGCATCCTGAGACAGGCAAGGAGCAGATGTGAAGTGCACATTTTTCAAGCCCCATCTAAAAATGAAGAGTCCCTTCTAAGCATGGTAAGAGCAGACACTCATGTAAGCTTTATCAAAAATAATGATAACCAGTTTCCACTCCTTTGGGTTTTTCAGAAACAGGGTCCTGAATTTTCAAAATAGGTTACCTACAAATATCAAAAGCTTCATAGCTCGTGTCCTTTGAATGTGATGCAAACAAAAAAAAATATACAGATTTTTACATTTTTTAATTTATTTTCTTAAATGCCACAAATGGATTTGGTTTTTTACATTTCTCTAGATTTCTTTTTAGCACTTTTTTAATTATTGAAGTTCAATAACTGCTACATTGAAAAGCTGAAGAATTTTTTATCACTTCTTAGTAATGTGACTATTTTCTACCATGAGTATTCCAAGTTCTGCCACAGATATAATGCACTAGATCAAAAAAAATTCAGCTTAAAAATGTTGTAATAGAAACCTGTCCCTGTCATCTGCAAACTTAGTAAATGTTGTTTTAGACCATCTAGCATTGAATCTGCTTTTACCTCAAATATTACACACACAAAAAAAATATCAAACAGCTTTCAGTTGATTTTTCCTCTCTGCTTTTTATAATCCCAGAAACATTGTAAAGAGGACAAAGTCTCCACAATTCTGTAGCCATTTTATTTAAAGCAGTGTTCTCAAAGTTTAGTGTTATATGAACTGTATTTGAAAACATCAGTAAGAAACAAATCTACAATTAGCTTTGAGCTATTACACCATCCATTTATTTTTAGGCAAGTCCAACGTGATCTTTTCTGGCTTCCGCAGAAAGATGTCACTGGTAATCATCTAATTTGTCTTTCATCCAGTAAAAAAAAAGTTGTGTAAGAGCAGCTTATGCTTGAACAAGAACATCTGCTTTGTGATGACCTCAGATGTATGAAAACAGATCCAGTACATCCGATATCTGAAAGAGGTTGTTAAATGCGTTTCAGTGACTACTTGGAAGCGAATTTCTCAGAAAAACCTCTGATTGTATATACTCAAGGTTTTATGCTTAAAATACTAGGAAGTAAAAAATGTTAAAAATGGTATTGAAAATTTTTAACTAAAGGAGAATAAACGCATTATCCCACTGAAGTCAGCTGACATTTTTGCATGATGTGATGCACTGTGTAATAGCCTTAGCAACTCTGAAAGTCATTAGGAAAAGAATAATTAAAAGTATCTTCAAATACAATTCATTTAACATGAGTTCTTATCACACTTTATCATATTTTGAAATGCTACAGTAAATAAAATGGACACATCTTTTTCTCTGAAAGCTAATTACTCTGTGAGCACTGCACAGTTTCACAAGTACTTGTTCTATACTCAATGTTTCTCAAATCAAGACTCCTCCTGGCCACACTAATTATTCAAGTCTCTATCCAACAAAAACTGTCTTGTCCTATAATTTCATCAAAAATACTAGTGCATTTGAGCATCTATTGGCAAGTATGTTAATGCACTATAACTAGTTCACAAATCTCTTTCTGCCCCCCCCACACACGCAAAAAAAAGAAAAAAGGGACTTTGTGACAATTAAAACAGTGTAGTAAAAAAACGACAGTTTAAAGTGCATTATTTTAAAATGTCATTTAGCATAAGTTGGCCAACAAAAAAAAAGGTTTTCAGTTATAATAAAACCACATTTATTGGAGCCGATCGTACCAATGTCTGGTCAAAAACTGTATACTTTCCCAATCCATCCCATGATGTTTTCCTGGTCCCCCGCTGCCGCAGACAGTTCAGCTGGTGTTGCTCACCAAGGCCAATGTCAAAGAGAATTTGGTAATCTTTTGTGCTTCTTTACTTTTAAAACAGTGTTGTGTTCCTATGTTTGGGAAAGGGTTTTAGCTTAACTGAGCAAGAGTATTCCTAGACTAGTGTGAAGGCAGGAGCAGCGCTGGGGACCAAAATAATTCCTTGCAATAATACAAAACTACGTTTTCAGGTGACCAAAATTATTAACTGCTGCACATTTTAAAAAAACAGGAGAAATCAAAAGTGATTTTTAATTGAACTGGTTATAAAACATATAAGTGAGAAAAAGAAAAAAAAATTAAAAAGCCCCACAGCTGCATCCCAGTCCTCAGAGGTTTATGCCAGGACTTATGTAGTGTCTGTAAGACAAGCTATTTCACCCTAGTGTTCACTCACAAAATTACCCTGCAACTATCTCTAGTGCTCAAATTAAATGCAAAAGATAGTTACTTAAATCTACCCTCACTAAAGAAGAGTTATTAAGATAAGAAGAGTAAGACTGTAAATCACACACATTCCTTTCAGGTGTCATGAAAGAACCATTGCTCAGTCAAGCCATTACCTTTTCCTCAACATCACCATTTTTCTTTAAAATTCCGAAGGGGAAATTTTCTATATTTAGATCAGTAATAATAAAGAAAAACATGTACCTTTCTGTTGGGATAACCACTTTGACTATGGCTTGCGACAGAGTCTGTATATGAAGTCACATCAGATAATAAACATAGAATATGTGAGTATTGTTAACAAGTAACAAGCAAAAATATACATATGCAATGAAAATACTACACATCTATCACAAGTTTGCAGGCAATCACTGCTGTGAAGTTATAACTAAGCAATTACACAAAATGCAAAGGTTGTGTCAGCGAACCATAAAGGTTCGCTAATTGCAAAGTATCAGAACATTCCTGTCAGAATGTACATTGAGGCACTGAATAGGAACTATGCTGAATATAATTAAGAAAGGAGTTCTTAAGTTTATGAGAAAATTCTAAACTATTTGACTTGGATCACGTTGGTATTACTTTATTCCCAAGTCTTATGGAAAACAGCCCTGACAATTAAGTGTCATTCAAAGAATCAATAAATTCTTACAAATGTAAATCAAGTTGGTTTGTGATTACAAGATACTTACCCTTTTATCAGCTAATATTCCAGAAAAAAAGTTTGAAAACTGACTCCATAAGTAGCATAAAATACTTACTCAATGTCCAGATTAATTACCTTATACACAACATACATCAACTCCTCTAGTGCAAAACTAATGCTACTCAAATTAAAATGTAGGATTTTCTCTAAATAGAACAATTTAGATACCGCAATTTGGCAGCCAAAAAAAGGGGGGGACGTAGGAGAAAAAAATCCAGGGAGCCTGGAGGGGGAAAATGATAGCCAGATTTTAAGCAGCACTAAAATTAATCAAGAGCCAATATACTGTCCCCTAACACAGACATGAATCAGAGCTTCAGGAATTAAGTAGGTTCCCTTGGGCTACAGCAGGGAGCCAGTGAGTTTGCAGACTAAGGGCCGCCAGAGTCAGGCTGAACAATGCAAATCTATGAAGCCATTGCAATACTGTCACAGATGTAGTATTTAACAATGAGATATGGCCCAGGGTACTGTAAGTTACCTTCTCAAAATCTTCCTTGTTTTTTGGTGGTGGTAACATTGGAGCATTAGGATTCTTCAATCTCTCCCTGGGCTGGGCGTTAAAAGGCAGTCCTGACGGAGGAGGTGGGAGGGTGTGCTCCATCATGGAAGGCGGAATGTATATTGGATGTGGTGGAATAGGTACAGCTTTGCCCCAACCCAGCTTCATTTCAAACGACATGATCATCTTGCCTGAAAAAGTGAAAGGAAAACAAACCCATCACGTTATAAACTGGCTCTGCATCACTCAAGGTTTCTCCACGTAAGTGCAGCATTTAGGTTTGCCTGCCATGGTTTACCTTTTGCTTACGTGTTTCGTGACTGTATCACATCTATCAGACTACAGCATGTGCAAATGAAGGCCTAGGACATGAAATGTTTTATTAATCTTCCCCCAGTATGTGTTCAGGACACTACAATACACTGTTACTCTAGTCTGACAACACTCAGCTGCCAGTAAAAAAGACAGTGTAAACTAAAGTCACTGCCAGCCTGGGATCTACTGGAGTTACAGAATATGTATCACTAGTCTGATAAAACGATCTGAAAATGAGCTTACAGTTCCTCCTCAATATTCCTACAAAGATTATTACAGCTCCAAACTGAGAAATCCATTTACCATTTAAATTCTTCAATGCTCTTTCAGCATCTCTCCTGTTCATAAAGGCAACAAAGCCACAATTTCTTTCTCTTGCTCTTTCTTCATCTGTTCTTGGCCACATAATTTTAACACTCGCTAATGGTCCAAAGCGTCCAAATTCTTGACATAACATCTCTTCATTCATCTACACAAAAAAAGGTAAAAATTTAGCATTTTGCTACTTTATTTCTATGACATTTGTTCATATTATTGTCCAGTTGTTGAAATTTTAATTTTTTCAGTTTCTTGAAACACAACACTTCATTGATACCTTCCCAATGCAATCTACTGCAAAAAATAAGAATTTAAATATTGCATTTTTAACTGAGCACACTCAAATTTTTGAGATATGATCCAACTTACCTGGGGATTAATGTTGCCAAGATATAAATTTGTTGTGCTTGGATCTCCAACATCATGTGAACCTGGTGCATAATCATCCAGTACTAAAATGACAGAGAAAAAAAAAAGAAAAAAAAAGAAGTCATAATCCCTGCTATGCATTTAAATGACAACATTAAATTCAGTAAGAAAAGAATCTATATTACCACCAGATGATCTGTTTCTTCTTGAAGGAGCATCCACTAAATAAAAGGAAGAAAAATATGTACCATTTAGTCCACAAATTTTGTAGCCCAAACTAACATCAAAAATAACATCTACTTACTTGAGCGACGCTGCCCATCTGAATCAGACTGGGGTGGTTCAAAACGACTCAATCTACCTTTTGTTTTGTGTCTTTCATCACGCTCCTCTTGTATTCTGCAAAACAAGTTGGATGTAAGTAACAACTCAAAACCATTTTGAATTTTTTTTTTCTAAAATTTTGATTTAAACAACTTTAGAATTATGAGAATTCTTAATATTAAACGACGGGTTTGTTAAAAATTTCCAATTGCCAATATGTTTGAACTTCTGTTTCATCAACTGGAATGATTCCAGCTGTATGTTTCCTCATTCATACTGTCAGGGTATTTTATCCTCAAACAGAATTGACTTGGTTTGAGAAGCAGTTTGCAAGACCAGAATAAGAACTGTGCTCTGAAAAAGTGACTCCAATTCCACATCCAACTGTCAGAGACCCACTGCCCATTGAGATGACTTTTCAAGATGCACACAACTCTTTAGTGTCTGTTCCTCCTGCTACCTTTTCTAAGGCCACATCCACGGGCACACACAAATGACTATTTCCAGAACATACAGGATTTTGTTTCAGTTTATACCTCTGAGGATAGTACTCAAAACAGTAACCATTTGGTTCTTCTGATATGAAGATATTGTGCACCAGGAATACAAGGTTGTCCATTCAACTCATTGATACCAACGAACAGGCAGCAGTGAAGCTCAGATATTACTGACAAAAGCCATGTATGGATTTAAAATGTTGCACTAATTGTTTTCTAATGCATGCAGATTATTTTGTTTTCCATCTTTAACATCAGGATAAATACATGGTACTCAGTTGCACTCAATATATGTGCTACTCTTTCTGTTGTATTACACATTCAAAAGTGAAAGAATCTGCTTTTTCAAGCATTATTCAGTTTGGTTTTAATGTTACACAAGTTGAAATGCATCTCTAGACTTCAACTACAACTCTTATTTCTGCATTACCACAAAAGCTCAACCTCATACTGGAATTCCTCTGGATATACTTTAGACACACTGACAAAACCTATTCTTTCCAAGTCTGACAGATATTTCAAATTCCCCCCAGTCTCTGCTCCCTCCTTGTACTGGGTTTGGGGGGCAGGTTTTGGTACTGGGGGGTTACAGGGGTGACCTCTGGCAGACACTGCCAGAAGCTTCCCCTGTGTCTGACAAAACCAAGCCCAGGCAGCTCCAAGGTGGACCCAGTGCTGGCCAAGGCCAAGTCCATCAGCAATGGGAGTGATTATGTGTTAATTAAGTTATTTCACAAGCATCTGGGGGGAAAACAAAATAAAAACCTTCAGGAAACAGCTCTGCACGAATGATCCCAAATACTGTCTGTAAAACAAGGCAAAAACCTTGGATCTTCTTTATTTACAGTAAAAACTAGTCAAACTTACTGCTTTAATTCTTCTTTAAAAAGTTCCAAATTACTCTTTTTCTTTTCCTTCTCTCCTTTCTTCAACGGCTAAAATTAAAGATATGTAAGACAACATTTCAGAAGACAAAATGAACAAAATTAAAAAGCATAAGTATATAACAAAACTTTAGATAATTTCCATGCATATTTTACCCACAGCTTTCAAACGAAGTAAACTACAGGAGAAAAAAAAAACCAAAACAAAACACCAACCAAACAGACTTGAAAACATTCAGACTGAGTGCTATCAAACACAAAGCTAGAAAATATAAAATTAAGGATAGTTTAAACTAAACTTTGTTACTTCTCATTCTTAAAATGCAGCATGTGTGATCAAACACTCTCTACAACATCCAAATTTTAAATAACTGAAGTATTTTGTCAGTTTGTTCCACTTGGAAGCTAAGATGCTAATTAGGCTCCTAGCAATCTGTCATGCTCTAATTAATTTGATAGATGTGTGTACATATATATGTAAATTATTTTACATATATATATATATATTCAATTATTTTATCCACAAACATTCTATTTGAAAAGAATTTCCTTCTCTTGCTTCCTTTTGGATGTAAATACAATCTGAATAAACAGTTACTCTAAATGGTTCAAGATCCTCAGAAAAAACTCTTGAATGACAAAGAATATGGATACTGCAATAGTACTTTTCTTTAACAGTAATATATGTTCCTGAACTAACTCATGTGAAATTTTATCTTCAACAACATTGCTTTCATATAACCAAATTTAAATGAAAACGTTTCCAATAGGCAGACATACAAAATATTTATTGTGTTACACACTACATCTTTGGAAAAACTGGACTTCCTACTCACCCCAGGCAAAGTTGTTTGTTTGTTTTTGTTTTTGGGGAGGGTCTGCCAAATAAATAAAATCATTTTTACCTCATTATCTTCAATCACCATTGGACAAGTGAGGGCAAGTGAGTAAACTGATTGCATTACTTCATAAGTATTTATGACAAGTTTGAAAAGCAGTAATATTCTTACAGTACAAACACTTGCATATGACAGAACAGAGCTCAGCATAATAAAAAAATGCTACAATTCATCCCTGTAACTGTAGAGCTTTACATACAATGAAAATCAAAACTGCCATCCAGTATTACCCCACTAGTCTAAAACTGAGAGTTGTTTAAAGCTGGAAGGAGGTTGGGATGAAACTGCCCACAATTATCACATTACATCTCATTTCCCACCCTAACAGGCAGCATGGTACATGTTTCACTTAAGCTTTAAAATTGTAGTAAGCTCTATCAAAAGACTTTAAGACATCCAAGAGACTCATTACACATCTACAGCAGTAACAGTAATCATATGTAATTATCACTTGACTCGAAGACCATGTTTGTTCATAATATTTCCATTATTTTTATGATGAAATCTTCATTTACAAGAAAAAAAAACTATCAAACCATGCAGAAGACAAACTAAATTAAATAAAAACAAGGTGTTCAGCTTAAAAACTGTGCAAGTTCTACAATTTATTTGTACAACTCAAAGAGAGACTTCTAAAGAGACTTCTCAAATTTCACCACAAAAAAAAAAAATAAATCAAAGAACCTCATCAAGAAAACCTTGGATTAATGCAAAGGTCAAATTATTTTTTGGGTTTAAGTTAAAAAACCTAAAACCAGATGGCAGTAAGAACTGCTTCTGAAACTTCAGAAATTCTCAGGACTGAAGATGCTGTTACTTTCCAACAGTCACTAATAAATTAGCATCCCTGAGAAGTCTGTCCCAGTTAACAGGAACACAGCACAAACCTGGAGCAGCCCCATGGCCGGGCAGTACCAGGTGCATCCTGCTGGACACAGGGCTCCTGGGCCTCTGCATTTCACCTCCTTCTTATCTGCCATGGCATTAGGCACAGCAAAATGTCCACCTTCTTTCCATAGGTGATAAATGCAGATAAAGCTACTCTGCAAGATCACACAGCCCTTTCTCTAAGCAATTCTAAATATGTCAGTGTGGGGTTAATATTCAAGCAACAAACTTACAGGCTTTTTGGTTTCGATCATGAGGAGGGATGGAGGCTTCTCGTTCGATGGCTGACTTGGTTGATTTTTTTGATCTGAAAATCGTGACGAAGGCTTATAGATTTTACCCCGTTTTTCATCTGTTTCATGCTCCTCTGAAATTAAAGGCAAATTAAAAGCAAATTTTACTAACGAATGCTGCACAACGCTGTTCATTAGAAAGAACACTGTTCTTTAGTCTCGGTCATTCAATTCAATATATAATTTTATTTAAAAAAGAGATAATAGGAACTTTACATAATTTAACATCTTTTAATATGAAGAAAAAGAGCAAAGATTAGGTATTTTAAAACAAAGCATTTTTTCCTCTTAAGTTTAAAAGACAAGTCACGTCACTGCCCACCTAAGTGAGTCAAAGCATAGAGCAGATTTTAGCACTAAGTTTTCTTTTCTGCTTCTGATGTAACATACCAATTTTAAAATGCAATTCAAAGCCAATCTCCATCTCTACTCAAAGCCAAATGACCCACCACCCCCAAAAAAGGATTAGTTATACCTTTAGATGCATTAACGATTCCTCCTCTTACAAATGTTTTCACTTTACCACCGTCACCTCCTTCAAAGGCAGCTAGGAATTCTTCATAAATTTCTGCAGCAGCCTTCTCATCCTCCTACACAGCAAATGTTCATCTATTTACTATCATTGCAGAACAACCTTCACTAGACAGTTACTCTTAAATTAGCTATGTGACAATCCTTTTTATTTTCTAGAATTCAAGCTACAAACGGCATCAAAGCAGGTTCAATTTTAGGCAATTCAAATTTCTGAGAAGTGTGGGAAGAACACGACACAGAAGACACAAAGCCAGTAAGGCCTCCAATATGACTGTTCCCTCACAAGAGTTTACACAGCAATTTAACATTCAAAAGATGCCAAATAGAAAAGCTCTTATCAAAGACCAGCATTATGAGCCCGGAGCTTTGCTGACCTCAGCATGAGAGAACAGTGCCCATTCCTTCCTACCCATCACAATCAACCCACGTGGCCGCAGAGCAACAACAGGATCACCTTTCTGTATTCCCCAGAGAACAAGTTACTTCAGTGACTTAAGCTGAGACACTGAATTTAGCACTGCCATGATCTTTAGGCCAGTATTTCCAACAACCTGGTAGGAGATAAGCCACTGAAATACAGTATGTGGTGTGTGTGTAAAGTTCAAAGCCCAGTATTTCCAAATTCACCTTAGCAACCACCAGCTACATATTTCTAAAATTTGGACATTCCTGAGTAATCTAAAATGCAGCATCAAATTTTAAGATTTGTATTAACTCTAAATGAAGCCATTACACAAAATTATGTTTTACAGAATAACAAGTATGTGTACTGAACCTATTTCAAAGATGACAGGTACTCTTTCAAATGACTGAAATTCAGTGACAGAAAGCAAATGAAGAACAGAGAATTATTCAAGGTGATGGTTGTCCCCATTTCTGAGCAATATAACAACCAAAAGATTATTGTAATTCCTATTTCAGGAAGCCAGAGAACTTGATTTCTCACACAGAAGGAAAGAGTAAGCCTCTCTCTATCTTAATGCCATGGATACCAGAAACAAATTAAACATGTAAAATACAATTCACTCTCATTCTTTGAGAGCTACAGTTAACAAAATAAAGGTATTTGGAGGTAAAGCTGGTTGCAACCTAAAAGCAAACTTATTTCAGTTCTGCATACAAAGTAAAATTTTCACTGTACACCATTACCTTCTTTTTCAATTCTTCTTGCTCCTTCTTGCTCAGAGTCCGTTTGGCTGCACTCATTTTGCCAATACTGAAGGCTTTAAGTTTACTTTCCATTAGAGGCTGCAAAAGAAGTCAGAAAACAGACATTAAACTGTTTACAAAACAGTTAAAATAATGATACTGTTGACCTTGATCTGGACCAGCAACTTAAATAAAACAAAGAAAAGGCTTCCTGTACTTATCTCTGAAGTTGTTATTACCTAATACAACTAAAACCAATTAAATCTATGTGGGTTTTTTTAAACAAATCATCCTTGGTTTAATAAGGAAGCTTCTGATAGACCCATTCAAACACAGCTGAAATCTGAAGGGCACTTGCTGTAAGAACCTGGAGATCTTATCCCTATGAAATGGAGTTAATAAACCTTCAGAAACACATGCTTTGCACGACAGTACCCTTTTGATCATTGCAGTTTCTGAAAAACAAAACCAAAAAGCCAATGAAAAAAGAAAAGTTCTAAAAGCATTACTGACTATTTTTGCCAGAATCATGTTTGTGCAAGGCTGAACAGGTGTAATGGAACAACAAACTGGATGCTAAATTTCAGTTGTACTTCAAGGTAAAATGCTTGAAGAAGAAAATGCATTCTAGAGGTTTTCAGCTACTAGGTAAATAAAACAAAAGACCTCCCATTCAACTCCTAGATTCTTTGGAATTTTTTTCCAAAACCCTGATGAAGGAGCACTATGTGTAACAGTAATTTCTGGAGTATGGAATTAAAATTCTTAAGATTTTATTCAGGGAGTTAACAGAACTCAACTGTCATATTACAAGAAAATTTCTGACACCAACTGCAAAGAGTTTCCTCGAGGAACAACTTTCTTTGTAAAGAGTTTTACTTCTAGTATCAGCTTCCTAGTCGAAATTTTTTTACAATAAAAAAAGCACAATGAAAAACAAACTGAAATATCTCCAGTTTATAATCCTTGCTTAGTATCACAAACACCTCTTAGATCTCTGCCAAGCATATTACCAAACAGCTCACATTTCTTTGAGAAGTGTTCCCTGCTTCATCACTGAAAGGAAAGCTATCAGTTACAAATGAATGCAGCCTTGTTTGTGAAGTTATCTGGTTTATGACACCATGTTTGTCAACATGAGCTGCTGAGACAGTTTTATCAGAAGCTTTTAATGCATCTGCGTGTTTTTAAATTTAATAAAATCCAGTTTTCCAGCTGTCTGAGAAACAGCTTATATTTCAGTCTGACAAACAATATACAACCTTGGCAAACGTGGGCATATGGCACAGCACTGCCGACAGAACAAATACCACACTCCTACCCAAGGCTTATCCTGGCATCAGAAAATAATCTCTGCCATTAATGTTACAGGATACCTGCAGGTCAGCCACGTGAGTGTATGTTCCAGTGACATAAGGGAAGCAGCTGTGAGATAAAAGAGTTCTGGCACTAAAGATCTCCTCGGTTTTGGAAGGGTCTCAGGAATAAAAAACAAACCAAGACCTTCGAAGTGGCTGGAGCAATAGGATTGAACTAATGTTAGTTAGATTCCAGCAGGCAATTGTAGCATTATTATTACCCATTTACAGCTTCACAGAACTCCTAACAATAGAACTATACAAAACTTGAAGGCCTTCCTCCTTCAAAAAATGGAAAAAAAAACAAGAAAAGGGTAAAGCAAATGACAGAAGCAAAGAAACAACTTGCAGCTGAGTAATCAAATATCTGTATGACAACAAACTCCTTAAACAGAACACTGCATTGACTGTGAAGTGGCACAAAGTACTGAAGTCCCAGTTCCTTCAACAACACAAAACATTCAAAAGAGATTTTAGGGTAATTTTCCAAATTGTAGCAAGTAAAGCAAATCAATAAAATGACCTACTTCTTTAGGAAAGATGTCTGCTATCACCACTTGAATAATGCTATCTTACAGGCAATTTAACAGCTGGTAATTGACTTTTGCATACACAAAATCAAACTGAAATGTTGAAGAAAATCCAAACCACAGAATGAATTGTCTGGTTTTAACTTTCTGTTTGGCTCCTCCTGCCTATTTTCATTTTAGCTCAGAAATAGATGGGTCTTCGTGCAAAAAGCCAACCCCACAACCAGGCATCTCTTATTTTCACCTATTCCTCAGTGTAAGAGACAAACCTACAGAGAGTCCTTACAGCTCCTTCCTGTCCAAGGATCTATTCTGAATGCAATACCCTGCAGCACAGCTTCCTACACTGCTGGTTGTTTTGAAAGTTTCAAGGAATATTTTTAAACATGAAAATCAATGGTTCATTTGCAAACACCTACAGGTTACATATCCAATGCACCAGGCTCTGCCTGCAGCAAGGAGTTTTCTTTAAAAACAGGCCTATTTTGAGTTTGTGGGTTTCACTGGAATTTTGGTTTTGGTTTTTTGTTTGTTTGTTTTAAAATATTTTGGACTTACATGTGAATCAGCAGATCCAGTGGTGTGTACTGCATCTGGCCCTCTGCCCTGAAGAGAGAATGAAGAGCAGGTGAGGCACAGAACAAGTAACAGACAAACAACCTCAGGGCTTTTTTATTCAGTTCCTTGAATGTGATTTTCATTTCAATTTCAACATCCAAATACACAAGAACAAAGATATATTTCATGTATTTTAATGATATATCTGAACAGGTCACATCAGGAACAATGTCAATATAAGGTAAATAAGGGATTAAAGATAGACTGTTCTTGTTACCACTAAAAACATCTAAATTTCCACAGCTGGATTTTATAAACACACCACTAACAGCACTATAAGGAAAAAAAAAAGTTTGTTACATTGCATCTGCAAGAACTGCCATTAAAGGTTGTTAAAGATTACATCAAGTGCTTGATTACTTTTTGCTTACTATAAATAATTTCCAAACTGATCTTAGTATATTGTGTGCAGATGGAAGCTGGCCACCTCAGGAACACTAATTTAAGTCCAATTTGTGAGTATGTACTAACTGACATTATTGCTTTAAACTGTAAACCAGCATACACAAAATCAGGTTTTTAAATGAGCTTAACTGATGGAGAACACACTTTTAAATTATGTAATGCCCAAATCCCAGAAAACCTCACTGATATAACAGCTACTATTAACACATTACTGCCTGATGCACAATTCATATCTCAATTGATTTTTAAGTCAAAATAAAAGATTTCCATTAGCTGAAATCTTTCATTAGTTACAGAACATTAGCAATTCTCCTTGTTACCAGGAATTTATAGTTTCTACAGAAATAATAACATATGATGCTCATCTCCAGTCTTCCAAAATGAACAAGCAGGAAATGCTACTCTAGAAGATAATCTACTAGACCTTGTTTTCATTTTGCATCCCTATTCATCAGCTCAGGCATTTCTCTTTCAACAAGTATATTCCTATGTTTTACAGTAAAATCAACTTAGAAAAAATGGTCTGCAACAAAAAGCACTTCAACAACAAGAACTAAGTCCACAAAGGTAAAGAGCAACACAAAGATACAGCCCTCATATGGGAGAAGGAAAAGTCTCCTAGGAATACCTCTGAAGGTCTTTTAAGAAAGAGAGAGGCAGGAAGAAGCAAACAGAAGAAAACAACTCTGTCTTACTCTCAAAGACCTCCCAAATCCACTTTCCTGCAACATCATACATGGCTCACAAAGCACATCTTTGCAGAGAATAAAAAGTTCACATGCACCAGTAGCAGTTCACTAAAATACACGTGGAAGCAAATATCACAAGCATCTTTTACTAACAAACACCACTTCCCACAAACTTTTCCTCTGTACTTGGTGCTGGATTTTTTTGTGATTCAAAACTGCCTGTGGCCCTCAGATCAGTAATCTGTTATGCACAGTTACATATATGGAGCTAACAGAAACCTGTCCTCCCCCGAGAGTTTATGAATGTATAGCACATCATCACACAGATAAAAGACACTGTGCAAAGGAATTTCAGAGCATGAAAACTGCATTCTTCCTGCTGCCACCCTGCGGCAACCAACACGGCAGCTACAACTCACCCTTACAAAAACAATTTCAGACCTGCAGGTAAAAATCCCAATCACAAAGGCAGAGTGATACAATGCTCTCTGCCTTGGTGCACCAACAGAGTGGAGACCGAGCACTGCTCAGGGAAAGGAGGTTCTTTGGCAACAGCAGAATGGAATGACCATTTCCTGATTCTCCACAGCTGTTTCGTTTACAGAAGTTTTGGAAAGCAACACCTCCCAACAGAGGTGGGTGCTGAAGGTGCTTTTAGGGAGGACAACAGACAAGGCATCACACAGAGTAACGACGAGTATCAATGCTCAGTACAATAGCACAATTCCTGAGGAAGAACATAGAAAAAAGTAACAGACACTAAATCTGCTTCTCCAGCAACAAGCAGATGATGCTACTCAGAAAGGCTTCAGTGCCTGGCAGCACACAGAGATTCTGCAGGAAAGCAGGCCAAAGATAAAAAAGTCTGGAAGTCACTGGGAGTGCAGTGATGCTTCCCAAGCCACCTGCAGGGACCAGGGCACTGTGGAGCCGCTCCAAACATCAGCTGAGCAGCAGAATTAAAGTGCATTCATAAAAATTCTAAAAGCTATTTTAGCTTTCAGACCAACTTTATCCCAAAGCAATTAGCAGCTTTGGAGAGCCACATTATTCTCCTCCTTCAACAGTTCTTATTTTTAAAGTCTTCTCTTCCCATCTATAAATTTAGTTCTACCTTTAATACTGCTGCTGACCATCCCAGCAACTGTACTGACAAAGCACAAGATGACAAGATTCTTCACAAAATTACACGTTGCTATCTGTCAGTTGCTAAATAGCAGTTATTAAAAAAACTCACAAATTCTCACAGCACTGCATTTTGTATCCATCTGCACCCTTGAGGAAAGGGGTGATTTTGTTTCCCTAAGAGCAACAGCAGCTGCACTGACTCAGCGGGATCAGTGTCTTCCTAACACTCCCCAAGAGTAGGATTTCAGATGACATTGCCCACCTGTGTTGAAATCTGGAACGGAATTGTTTTTTCTGTTCTGTTAAGTAGCTCAATTAAATTTAACTGCTGAAAGAAAGATATCCAAATTTCTGTCCTGCACCTGACGAGACGTGAGCACAGCTCCTCCATGTTCAGAATACCGACACAAAAGGGTGGCAACTCCACCATAAACAACTGGCAAAAGTCTTATTCCCACTTCACTGCATCTACCACTTTGCATGAAACCTATCCTTATTTAGTTTTTTTCCTAGACCAGACTATTTTACAGATAGATCACTTTTTCCATCACTTTCACTCTGCAGATTTCCCAAAGACTTGTGCCAGCAGAGCCAAAGTGCCATTTCACAGCCGGCACTGCTCCTGCAGGAACATACAGCCCTGTCCAATGCCAGTCCTGGAGCTCAGGTGGCCCAAAGTTCCATTCCTGAGCCCAGCCAACTTTACACAACCTCCAAGAGAATAAAAAAAAAAATCTTCAAAGAACAATATAGATGAAATTTATGAACTCCTACAAAAATGCCAAAGCAGAGTCTTCTCTCAGATTCTGATGTTTATATTTTCTTCCAGCTTCATGGAAGCTTCCAAAGAAAATAGAGAACTGCTCTCCCAAATCTTCCTTCCTGCCCACAAATCCAGCTCTTCACAGTTTCTCCAACTTCAACAACCTCTTGGTAAAGCTGGCATGATCCTGTTGTTACACAAATATTTAAAATATGCTGTGTAAAATAAATATTTTTAATTAATTAATACTGATGTCATTTAGTAAAACAACAGAGCACAAAAGCTGCCAATAAAACCCTAGAGACAATGTGTGGCCTTCCAAATGCTGAATGGTATTTTTGCAACTGTAATGGTTACAACTTAAATAAAAGCCCCTCCTTGCAAGAAGCAACAGCTTCAGGGTAAAGTTTTTAGAGAAACTGGTGTAAGACAGCCCTGCCCTGTTTCAACACCTTCCACTGATCCTGCCCCCAGCATGGGCAGCTGGTCACTGAACTGGATCGCTGTTCCTGATCTAACTGATCACCCAGGAAAGGGAGAGATGGGGAGGTTCAGCCAAACCAGTTTCCAACTCATAGCAGGCTCCCCTCCAAATCATGCCAAATCAACTAAAGAGGACATTAGGGAGAGGGAAAGTAGCTGAAGCTGGGACTGTGTCAGTACTGACAGCAAGGAAAAGCAAATGGAATCACAGCTTAAATTAAGATGTTAAAATCCAGCAAAAGGAGGTTTCCTTTCCCTAACTCTCTAGAAAACAAATGCCTGAAAACACCTGCAAATTACGTTATGGCTAATCTATTTAGTCTTTACAGTTACTGGAATAATGCATATCAGTGTTAGTCCCTATTTAAATAGCCCTAACTTGCAGACACAAAGGTAAACAGAAAATGGTTTTCTCCAAAGCACTTGCAAGGAATAGTATCCATCAGAACATTAAGCTCAGATGAACAGGTACATTTTTTAGAATGAAAGAGGCAAAAGTACAGCTTGGTCCAAGTGGATTATTTCTTCTGCACACGGCAGCCAATTTGAACAGCACTATATATAAGAGCAGTGGACATGCAATATAGTTTCTATTCTCAGAAGATAAAATAAGAAAATGGAAAAGTCACTGAGTAGCTAAAATGTCATTACATAAAGATAATAACTGAACATAATCTGTATCTGTCATTTGAAAATCATGTCCTACACTGACATTCTATGCAGTCTTCAGCAATCTCTATTTTCTCTCTAATTATTCTTCCTCCCTATTTAGACTTCTGGAAATCTCGAGTACGTATCCTGCTATTCTGATCTCAAAGTGCCAAAGGAAGAGATGATGCTTTCGCAGCATATTTCACACTGGAGACTCTCAAACTTATTTAGCAGCTGACAGGACCACACAAGGCAGCTGCCACCACAGCCACACAGGCAGTGGGGGATTCTGAACCTGCACCATCTCCAGGGATGTTTTTCAAACAGTGAATCAATCAGATAATGCCTGACTTAAAAAAACCTCGATTTTACACTATAAATCAAAGTAACTGGCTCAAATTCAGTACCTGAACACTAAGAGTGAAGAACAAAGACCAAGTGTTCTGAAGGGAAAAAACTCTATTTTATTTCAGGCACTAGGTCACAGTTCTTTGTAGAGCACAGAAAGTGAAAGGTCACTGTGTCTTCCCAGGAGGTAACTAGAAGCCAGCAAAGGCACATCTTGGAATTGCCACTGAAACACATCTATAGAATCTACAGAACATATTTGTTTTGCAAGTACAATTACTCTTACAACTTGCAAATACAATGCACCAAAAGAAACGAAGCCTACAACTTCAATATTGATAAGCCACTAAATGAAGTCTAAAATTATTTAAAAAAATCAAAATTTTTGATAAATAATTACTTTAAGAAATTGAGCAAAGTGGTTATTTGCTTAATTGTTAAACCATTTTCATACAAGCTCAACTAAAAATACACATTTTTATCCTTGTGTCAATAAATTAATTACCAAAAAAAAAAAAAGGATATTACTAATTCCAGTACTGTTATGTCATACTTCTTTCTGCAGACCTCTGAGAAGTATCTCTATGGATATACATATCCAGACACTCATTGAATGACAAAACAAAAGGTACCAACCCAGCATCCCACCCGCTGAGATTTCCCAAGATGTATTTTTCCAGAAATAAATCCCAAGAGCTAAGCATGTCTTATTTTATCTCACTTCTCAATAGAAACATTCTTATGGATCCAGGTATGTACTATCCCTATTTTCTTTGGCACATAAAATAATCTTGACAACAAGAAACAAGTAAGATCTAGAATGTAAAGCAGGGGGAAAATACTACTGAAACACAGCCTGGACATCTGGAGGAGTGGGAAACTGGGGTGAGGGGGAAGTGTATGAGGGTGGAAAGGCAGGGACAGCACACCCTTAACAGGCCCTGACTGATGAACACACGTCTGACCCCACATTCTCTCACTGCCCTGCTGAATTCTCTGGGATGGACAAGTTGGTATGAAAGGTTAAGTGCCTGCATGTACCCCTGCAGAACTGAGAAACAGGACAGAAAACAATTCCCATAAATTAATTATTACTGTATATTAAAAATTAGTATCATCAGTACAGAAATAGTAAATGACAAAAAAGTCTATGATGTAACTGTGAAAAGAAAGGGGTCACATCTGGGTTGGTTTTGTGCACCACCTCTTCAGTTGCATAAATAAATAATTAATTATTCTATGTCTAATTATACTTGAAATCCCAAAATGTCTTATTCCCTGAAAGCCACTGTCCATAAATTAAGACCTATTTACTACTCAAGTTTTCTGTTCAGCTCGTACTTGCAATTCCAAACCAAAAGCAAGATAAAAAAATGTTTCTTGGCAATATTTGGACCAGGTCATAAAGGGGATACAAAAATAAAACTCTCCTACTCTAATAACACCAAGTGAGCAAACATGCAAAGGCTTTTGGTAACTACATTTCATTACCAAGGCCAGGGGTAACTACAGAGTTTATAAGCAGCAAAATGAAAAACAAAATCCTATTCTTGCTTAATAAAAAAAAAATTGGCAAAAATTATTAATTTATATAGCACTGGAAATTTCTGAGCCAAAATGTGGCTTCCTCCTTAAATGATTTACACACTCACACACCAAAACCTGGAGAATTTCTACACTTCTGGCCTAAAATCTGAAACAAAAGCGAGTGAAAAGGAGTATCACTAATCCTCACACCGCCAGCGCATCCCCCAAACATGTCTTACCCTCTCCGCCCTCGGCAGGAGGGATGCTGAGGGCGCGGGCAGCTCTGGGATGGGAGCACCCACAGCCCGCCCGGCGCTGGCTACAGCACTGTCAAGTTTGCCAGAACTCCTGCACTACCTGGGCTCCTGCTCTGGAAATCCGCCCAACAAGAAACTACAGGAAGTACAATGAGTGCAGTGAAAAGCGCGGGCAACGCCACGGCGATTCTACGGAACTTGTAATTCCATCGCAAATCGAAAGCACACACTCGATCTCAAATTGTCCTTCACAACAGCAAGTCGCAAACTAACCCCGCGCAGGCTTCGGCCCACGAGGGAATCAGCAAAATTCCACCCGCAGGGGAGCTTGGGCATCACCGACCAACCCGCACCGAGCCGGGACTCGGCCGGCACAGTCCCCGCCGGGCCCCGCGGCTCCTCCCGCCGGGCAAGGGGACACGGCGGGCATAGATACAGGCCCGGGGCGACCCCGGGGAGCGGGAGTGTCCTGCAAGAGCCCTGGGCCCCTTCCCGCCCCCCACCCGGTGCCGGGGCCCGCAGTCACCCCGGGCACGGCGCGGGAGCGGACCAGGCCGCGCCGCCCGCGCCTCGCCGCCCTGCCGCCACCGGGCCCCGCCGCCACGGCAGCGGGCCGTAGCCCTGGGCGGAGCGGAGCGAAGCGAAGCGGGCCACAGGCCGTGCCCCCGCACCACGGGCCGTGCCCGGGCGGAGCGGCCTCACCTTCCCGGCGGGTTTCTGGGAGCCGCCGGGCGCCTTGTCCGCCATCTTGCCTCTGCCGAGCCCAGCCCTGGCGGCGGCGAGCCGAGCGCCGAGCACACCGAGCCCGCAGCGGAGGGCGCGCAGCCGATCGCCGAGCGGCCGATGGGCGCCCCTGCTGCCTCTCCGCAGCCAGAGCCGGGCCCCGCACAGCGGAAACGGGCACGGGGGAACACCGCGGGAACGGCGGGAACTGTTGCATCCAACGGAGAGAAGCCCTTGAATAAACAGGGAAAAGGCTGGCACAGCAAATCCTCCGTTACTGGGTTTGATACCACACTACAACTGTAACTCTATTGAACACCGTTGAACCGGAGATCATAGCCAGAGGTCACACACACTGCGTTTATCATGAGTCTCGCATTCCTGCGCTTTCATGGATTTTCAGCATAACGCGGGATATGCTGGGGTTGAGATAACGCTTAAGAGGAACAGATACACAGAAATTAGTGAAAGCTTTAATCCACCACCTGCCGACACCCGCTGCCCTGTGTGCGGAGCAGGGCCCGCGCTGAAAACCACCTCGGCCAGCGGGGAACGGGGGCGGGAGCTTCCAGAGGAGGGGGGAAAAGGCAAAAGGAGAGGGGGGAAAGGGCAGGGGCAACTGCAGAGGACTGGAAGTTTAGAGAGGGCAAAGCCCCCGGGAAACCTCAGCGGCCGCAGGTGTGCAGGGATACGGTCTCAGGGCCAGGGCTCCGCTGGGAGCGGCTCCATAGCCGCTGTCCCCGCACGGTCCGGAGGCGGTACCGGGGCTGGGCAGGGCGGCAGCGGGACAGCGGGAACGAGCGCTCGCGGTGGGGCTGGAAAAAGAGAGGAAAGTCTCCCTCAAAGGCGGAGAACGCGGCTCAGTGCGCAAGGACAGCAGGGCGGGCAAAAGGAAAAACTACCGGGATTTCCTGTCCCTCCAGCACCGCGGGAAGCGGGATGCGGGCGCAGGGGGAAGCGGGAATCTGGGACCGGCGGGAAGCGCTGGCTCCGGCAGGGGGCAGGCCCGGCCCGCGCAGCCGGCTGAGGGCGCCGGAGCCGCACAAAAACCAGCAAAATAAATAACAGCGATCCCCAGCGTTCCCCGTGCGAGGGGCTTCGCGCCGCAGCCCAGCGAGCGGCCGGGCGGCACGGGCGGGGCCGGCGGGAGGCCGCGGGGCTGCAACACGCGGTCCTGGGGCTGCAACACGCGGTCCTCCGGCTGCCCGAGCCGCGAAACAACCTGCGGAATTCTCTGGTAATGGGTCGGCTGCCGAGGATCCAGAGGGAGCCGATGCGTGTATAAGGCACATAAGCAATAGAACGATGAGGGTGTGCTGTTCCCATGGCTGGGTCGCACCTCCGCGCTGGAGGAGCCACCCGCACGGCTCTCTTGGATAAATCCGAGGTGGAAGGAAGGAGGGAGAAATTAAACCTACGCCTTGACAGCAGGATTTGGGCACAATTCCATCAGTCTTTTGAGGATATTTTGAGGCCCAAGCTTGCCCATAGAGGAGCCCTTCCACATGAAGAATGGCTTTGGTCAAGGAGCTTTAGAGATGGATTAGGCAAGATTTACTGCTTCAGAATCCAAGTCAAGCCTTTCTCTTCCCCAGTCTTTCTCAGTGTCCACTTGAGAACCATTTCACTAGCTTGCAGAGACACAGGATAAGTGACATCTGTGACCTGCTTCTGGTTGGTTGGTTTTTTTTTTTTTATGTAGTAATGGAAACAAGTGCAGCAATGACTTGAAAGCAAACAAGCTGAGGAACTTGTACTGGATAGAAAGGGCATTTAGGGCCAGGAGAAGACACTCGATGCTGCTCAGCTCTCCTGGGACTGCACTAATAAACCTGCCGTGAAAGAATGACCGACATTTGTGGGTAAAAAACAAACATCTAGCTGGAAAGAGGAACATGCCCTTGGATGCTAGAGTTTTGGGGCCACTAATGTTTAGAAAATTTGTGCTCCATTTGGCCTCAATCCCTTTATTTAATCCACCTCATTAATCCTTTTTAATTATCCACCTCATTGTTTAAATCCTCTGCTTACTGCTCAGCTTCTATGCTCTTTTGTAATTAATAAACTACACCAGATTAAGAGCATCATGATCCAGAGCATGCTGTGAAAAATGGGAAAGATACAGTTAGAGTTTCAAAGGTCATCTCTAAAGATAATTTTTCAGAATGAACTGTACTCTTGAATCTGCACTATTTATAACACATTGCAATAGTACAGTAGCACTTGTGTACAGATAGTGAATGAGAACACATGTCACTGTCTTGAGCTGAATGGGAGAGGAAGGGAAGGAAGGAGAGAGGGAAGGAAAGGAAAGGAAGCAGCAAGAGGTAGAAATCCGTGGAGAAACAATGCTGGAAAGGGTAGGCTAATAATAATATTTAAAAGTAAAATGTAAACATTTTTCACTATAATGCAGTAGGTCTGGTTGCCTGCAGACCTGGGAATTGCTTATTAACTTGTTACAATGACAGATATCATTAGGCAATATACTAGGGAAAATCATGAATTATCATAAATAATTAACACTAAGCTACATTAAGTAAACCACACGAATTACCCTTGTCTTACTGGCTGCTTTTCTCTCTACTTTCAGACAAAAGCTCTCCATTGCTCTCATCCCAGGCCAGGGCACAGCAGAACTGCTGCAATCCTTTTGCAAAGGTATGTGAGGGCAGGGGAAAGGAAGAATTTAAAGGGCTTTGGAAGTTCCCTACCCTGTAGCCAAGGAAGCATGTTTGAGGACGTGGGGCAGGCAGATCAGGAGCAGGACAGAAGTGTAGCCGCTGAGTGAACAGGTTTGTAACTTTGTGTTGTTTCACACTCTCAGTAGTGGAACACTGGAATGTGTGTGTGTTCCCCATAGCTCAGACAGCAGTCTTCCAGCTTCTTCCCTTATTCTGCCCTCATCTCCTCCCACCCCTGAGACTGACAACCGCTAGGCAGGAATTCTCAGGATAGGTAAGTGCCCATTCCCCCATGTATCATGTGTTGCTGGGAAGCTCTGGCTGTGCAGTGCAGAGATGAGGAGAGCGTGTGCAGCTGGAGCATAAAGAGCCTGAGTTGAATGGAGATGCTTTAGCAGGAACCACTGGAATAACAAAAAAGAGCCAGAGGATCTGTCTGGGAGAGGGCAGTTTGGCTCTGAGGTGCCCAGCACCCTGGACTTGCTGCCACCGCTCTGTCTGCTCTCTGTCTCCTTGGCCGAAGCCATCTCAGTGTTACTCTGTCTCAGTGCTGGTGCTCTACCTTCCCTCAGCTGTGAGCCCTGCTCCACTCCTGCTTTCCCTTCCAGTACCCCACTGCTCTCCTGGGACACGTCTTATCAGGGAACCTGGTTCTTTCTCTGCCTGGGGTTCCTCAAGCAGTGAGACCAGTCACAGGAGCAACATCTGACTTGCACTGTTTGGCTGAGAAAGGCTGGTAGTTTGCAGTGCATTTTCCAGGCATTAGTGCAAGTATCACTTGAAGGCTTAATTGCGAAAGTCCTCCTGCAGCTTCTTGTCAGAGAGAATTAGCCTACATGTCTAGAATCCAGATGTGCACCTTTATCAGCTGCTTAAAAGCGTGGAAGTTCAAGATGAGTGCAATGCCTGTCATTCCTTTGTCCATACTGAGAGTCCCTCCTTTCAGGTTACTAACAGTGAGTAGCAATTTGTGCTCTGCAAAACACTCCCACTCAGCTCATACAAACAAAACAATTTCTTAACCATGCACTTTGTAAGTGAGGTTTCAATCCTGCAACTCTTGCAAAGGACAAGTTGTACTTTGCTCTTACCGTGAGCCACTGGAAGCTGAGACAGTGGTGGATTTTGACCATGGAAAACATGTGAAATGTGCATCTAGCAATATGCTATTCTCCATCACAGTGAAACTAATTTCACTGCAATACTTATTTTCAGATTTGCTACTGTCCAGAAAAACACAAGTTCTATCTCTAATCTTTCAAAACCAAGAACCTTAAAAAGACAACAACCATGCCTTCAGAGAAATTTTCTTAAAATATGAAGTATTTTCCCCAGTTTGCTGTGTTCAGTGTTTTTTTCAGATTTTTTCAGATGGGTTTTATTGCTGGTTTTTAAAGCATAAAGAGTACAAACCTAAAGCTATTCAACTTGAAGGTAAAGAGGGCAGAAAATAAGAAGCTTCTGGTGAATGAACATTCTTGTTCAACCATGATGGTGTTGGTTACTGTTACTCCCTTTTATCATATCTAGCTTTTCTCCCCTCCAGGTGAGGCTTCAAAATACAGGTATCACTTTCACTTTTCTTTATGTATTGAGGAATTAGGTTTATAAAGTATAATTGTCCCTAATTAGTTACTCAAGAAGGAGAAAATTATGCAAGGATTCCTGTTTATCCAGTCTTAAAAAGATAGTGGAGTACAATCTCTAAATGCAAGTTAATCTCTCAGTCAAAGCACTGTGTCTACTCAATTATTACAAACTATTATAATCACTGCAATAGAAAGTTACCCATTAAGACATTATTTTCAAGAAATTGATAAACACTCAAGAAAGGATAAAAAAAAATCACTTAAAACAAAAGGATGATTTTTGTATGTCTGTGTATCTCTTCAGTTGTTCTCCCAGAGAATCTGCAATCATGAGGTACAGGAAACAAAGTTAGATAAGGCTACAGCTTCTTGTTCTTTAACAGCTACTCTTTTCAAATGTAGCCAAATTCTACATTCACTCTTGGTCAGTGGGATTCCATGCAAGAATCGGATTTACTAAAGAGATTTCAGTGAAGAAGGATAAATATTTTTACTCAGATAAAACTTCTTACTGAGAAAGAAATCATGAAAATCTGTCTTGGCAGTGAAGATATAGAGAGAAAAAAGAGAGAGACACGGTTGTATGGTAGAGGATTATGTAAAGCAAGAGCTCTTAAGACTGTTGTTTGGCAGTGTGAGTGGGTTGAATTGGGTGGGGCTAAAGGTTTCTATTCAAAAGCATCAAATCTCCCAAATACCACCATTGCCTGTTCACATTAGGACTTCCTGGATTCCTGGAAGTTAGTGTATTTACTTACTCAGAAAAGCAGAAAAGCTGTGGATAATAGGAGGTCTAAGCACAACCTCTTCCCTAGTGTGCTGAATATGTTACAGTGCAAAACATGAATTTAGCTTTTTTTTTTTTTAAATTTCCTAACCAAAAGGCATAATTTCACTGGGGAGTAATTTAGAATATTTTTTACGATTTTTGGTATTTCAGACAAAATGGCACCTTGTGAAAGGGCTTCAACAATTATAAAACAAAGGTATAATATAGAAACAAATTCACATTCGGTATTTTAACACATCTTTTTTTTCTTTGAGTCTTTAGCCAGCACTGATTAAAATTATCTTTCATTACTTACCTCATTAGGCAGTACCTTCATCAGTGTTTTAAGAGTCTTCTCAAAGGTTATTTGGAGAGAAAGCCTGCAGAAAATTCTACACATGCTAGGAGAAACCCTGGTATATGCTGGCCATGCCCTTCTAAATATAAACTCTGGTTAGAGAAATGCAGAGGCCTCTTCATGCACTACATTACGTGGACTCTTCTCTGTGACCTCCAGATGTCCTGATTCTCCCTGGCTTACCACATAATAGTCCTGTAATACTAACCTTGATGGACTACATATGAATAAGAGGCTATTTTGAGGTTGTAAGTGCTTTAAATTGTAAGGTTCCCTGTACACTATTCCACAGCTGGCTTGGGAACAGAATACTTAACTCAATGTAAAATGTATGCAGTTGTCTTTATGAAACCCCAATCTGTCCTCAGAGATTATTCTCCCTGTGAGGAGTCTGCCTTGGAAATAAGCAAAAGACTCGGATCACTAGTGATGAGTTCCATAAATGTGGGTGCTAAAGCTACACTGCTGTCACTTGGCAGTGGTGTGAACTGTGATCTTTAGAAGCTCTAAGATCGCCCTGGCACTTTCTGGCCAGACAAGGAGACCAAGGTTATGCATGTGTGACATCAGCAGAGCACTTGGGGCAAACCAAAGCTGGATCCCCACACAGAGGGAGAGAAGAGAAAACGTATGTTTATTGTACACAGCTTGTATTTATTGTAAGACAGTTTAACAAGTAAATCTGCCAGCGACAGAATAAAGCCCAGGAGCTGGACTAGATGATCCTTGTGGTTCCCTTCCAACTTAGGATATTCCATGATTCTAAGAAAACTACCATGGGCCTGTGCTTCTGCCAGAGCAGCTGGTATTTTCAAGTCTCTTAAGTGATTCTCAGCTCTGCAAAAAGTCCCCATCCCCTAAATATTTTAAGACATCTTAAAATATTACAGGAAGACATCAGAAGTGGAGAGAAATTTCCAGACATTTATCTTCTCTGCAGTAGTGTGTATCTCCACCAGGACCCAGACAGTCCAGTGGCCACCAGAACTGTCAGTCTTGAATGGCAAGCAAACCCCATGTGCTCTTCTCAGCCTGGGATGCCTCCCATGAAAACATAAACCCTGGGTGTCTCCCCCAGGAGGCCAGGTGATACCCCAGTACTCCCTGAGGCAAAAGGGCTGAGTGCCTCCCACATCCCTGAAAATCTGGAGGTTGCAGGAAAGCCAGAACGTGTTGAACGAGCCCTGCTGCCACTGCTAGGCCAGCAGTTCCTAATCAGCAGTGGATGCTGTTGTTCTTTAGACACCATCTGTTGCAACAGCTGCTGGTGGCTTTCCAGCAGGCTCTTTAGCACAGGTCTAAAACCAAATTGCTCTCAGTCAACCACCTTTTCTTATCTAACCTTGGTGAGGGAGGCTGAAGATCATGGTCACTTTGGCCCTTTTATGTAGAGCCTGCGGTGGCACTGACCACCATAAATGAAAGTGTCACTTAGGGACTGGGAGAAAGGGTCACCAGAGCCTTACTGGGAGCGCCAGTGCGTGCTGTGGTAGGAGCAGGGCAGGGGAGGGGGAATTCTCTAGTCACCAGGTGAGCAAACAGCCCAGCATCCAGCTTATCTCTTCTTCAGGGGGGCCTCTCTAGTACAGAGCAGCCCCATGAGAAGCCTGACCTTTACCAGAGGCTGAGCAGTTTTTGTTAATCCCCAAGAGCCTTTTCTCTCCCTAAATCACACACTGCAGAGCCCGTGGGCAGCAGGGCCCTGCTTGTTCCTGAGGCTCACTCTAGGCAGGATCCCCACAGCCTCCTATTTCCTTCGGACGCATTAGGGTACAGTAACACCCGGGCAGCGCTTTCCCCTGTATTTTTACGTTCTGATTATGTAACTGTGCTGCTTGCATAACTGCAGCAACAATAAATGTAGGATTTGTCCAAGGATCAACCCAGGGCAGCTCCTGTCAGCCCGTTCCCGGGTGTCCCTCCCAGCCACCCCGCTTGGAATGTGGAGATAAGGTGGGTGCCGTGTGTATCAGTGAGACACACAGCTCGACGAGGAGTGTCCAGTTAGTTGTCCCTGCACCAGGGACCCCCTATAAAACACAAGGACATTGGAGCCTGTTATCTGAAAAATGTCTTATTTCATGTTTTACTCCTCACGTTGGCTTTTCAGCACTGTTCAGTTGTTTATTTTCCCAGCAAGTCTCCTGTGTAATTTTTATAAAGATTACAAGCAGTATCACCAGTCTGCCCTACTTTTTGACAGTTCCATAAAATCAGTATTTTTACTTCAATGAAAAATGCACTGAAAATCACTTTCAGCAACATACCTTTAAGACTTCTTTTGCGATAACTTAAAAAAAAAAAGTAATTCTGGTGGCCTCCTTTTTCAGAAGATTTTTCACATTGTCATGACTCACTATCAAACAGAAGATTTTTGTAAAAATCGTTGGGCAGAATGTCCTGATTACACTGGACCTCAGTTTATACCATGTGACCAAACATGTATCTCTGAATATCACCATGTAATACATACTTTTGGAAGCCTAGAACTATCACATGTTTAAGACCACCTGAAAACAAATAAAAAGGAAACACGCTGAAGCAGCGGAGAGCAATCCCTTACTCTGGCTCCTACCTGTGCCTGCATTAGTGACTTACCTTTGCCCACCGCCACCTATTTCCTTCAGACGTGTTAAGGTACAGTAACAACCGGGCAGCGCTTTCCCCTGTATTTTTATATTCTGATTATGTAACTGTGCTGCTTGCATAACTGCAACGACAATAAATGTAGGATTTGTGTAAGGGTCAACCCAGAGCAGCTCCTGTCAGCCCGTTCCCGGGTGTCCCTCCCAGCAGCCCCGCTCGGAGATAAGGTGGGTGCCGTGTGTGTATCAGTGCAGCCCGGCCGGGAACGTTTAGCCTGAAATAACGCTTGCATTCACTGCATGAGATAATGTCACCAGGTCTCACCGAAGCACACACGACACACAGCCACCCAGGTGCCAGCTGTCCCCTTTCTGGGGGTATTCCCGCGGGCTGTCCCGCAGCCCTGCCGGGTCACCTCCCCTTCCCCGGGGCTCCCGCCGCCTGCGCGGGCGCAGCCGCGTTCGGGGCCGGGCGGGCGCTCCGGAGCCCCCTTTGTGAGCGCCCGGGCGGGCAGGAGCCGTGCCGAGCGCTGCCGGGGCTGGTGCCGGTGCCAGCTGTCCCCGTCCCCGGGAGCGGGGCCCCGAGGGTCCGGCTCGGCCGCAAGTCCCGCCGCGGGGGCTCTGCCGGCCCGGGCCCCCCCCGCTGCGGCCGCATCAATCATTAACGGAGGCTCGGGTGTCCAGCGCCTCCCTCCTCGGGAAACCCTACCCGGGGTGGCGGGGGCGTCTCTTCCCGCTCCTCGGGAGCGCTGGATGCGCCACCGGTTTCCAGTTACCGCGATGCCGGGCGGCGGGGCGGGAGGAGCCGCGGCGGTGCCGCCACTGCCCCTGCTGCAATGAGTGATGCTGCCGGGGGCGGCGGCGGGGGCGGAGAGGCGCAGAGACACCGCGGATCCTCCGCCGGCGGTTGCGGGCGCAGCGGCTCTGCCTCGCCCGGGCGGCGGCGAGGCGGCGGGCCCGGGGCCGGCCGGGGCAGCGGCAGCAGCGGCACCATGCCGGCGGGCGAGGGGGACAAGGAGGAGGCGACGCCGCCGCCTCGCCCTGCCGCCCTGCTGCGGTGGGACGAGGTGCCCGAGGACTTCGTGGAGTGCTTCATCCTCTCGGGCTACCGGCGGCTGCACTGCTCGGCGCAGGAGTGCCTGGCCTCGGTGCTGCAGCCCACCAACGAGACCCTCAACTTCTGGACCCACTTCATCCCGCTGCTGCTCTTCCTCAGCCGCTTCGGGCGGCTGCTGCTGCTGCGGGGCGCCGGGGACGTGCCCTTCCACCACCCGGCCCTGCTGCCCCTCTGGTGCTACGCCTCGGGGGTGCTGCTCACCTTCGCCATGAGCTGCACGGCCCATCTCTTCAGCTGCCTCTCCCCGCGCCTCCGCGCCACCTTCTTCTACCTGGACTACGCCTCCATCAGCTACTACGGCTTCGCCAGCACCGTGGCCTACTCTTACTACCTGCTGCCGGGGCTGAGCCTGCTGGACGCCGGTGCCATGAGCCACTACGTGCAGCAGCGGCTGGGCTGGCAGCTGGACTGCAGCCTGCCCATCGCGGCCTACCGCGTGCTCGTGCTGCCCGTGGCCCTGGCGCTGGCCGTGGGCTGCACGGCCGCCTGCTGCCGCAGCCGTGCCGCCTGCTGCGCCTACCCCTTCGCCGTGCGCACCTTCGTGTTCGCCATGCCGCTCAGCATGGCCTGCCCCATCATGCTGGAGAGCCTCCTCTTCGACCTCCGCACCCGCAACCCCACGCTCTTCGTCTACTTCTACCGGCGCTACTTCTGGCTGCTGGTGGCCGCCTTCTTCAACGTCAGCAAGATCCCCGAGCGAATCCAGCCGGGGCTCTTCGATATCGTGGGGCACAGCCACCAACTCTTCCACATCTTCACCTTCCTCAGCATCTACGACCAGGTGCACTACGTGGAGGACGGGCTGGCTGAGTTCCTCAAGGCGCCCCTGGCTGCCCCCACCTACCTGGGCACCGTGGGGTACATGCTGCTCCTGACAGTCTGCCTTGCCGTGGTCGTCAGGAGGTTCCTCAACGTCGCAGACCTCTGCAAGCAGGACTAGCCCGGCCAGCAACCCTCAAGACAGTGACCACTGTACCAGTGACCCTTGGGCTGGAGACCCTCGGGCTGACGACCTTCCGACCGGTGATCCTCAGACCAGTCCCACCATGTCCTGAAGAAGCTGTGAAACCTGGGGGAAACACACTTGTGGAAGAGCCAGGTCCCTTTCATGGAGGGTTGCTGGAGAAAATGACCATGGCAGAACTGCTCGTGCTCTTTAAACTACTAGGTTACCAGGGGAAGCAAGCAAATGCTTACTGGTATGTTGCTGCTTAGAGTATAAGCTGAAATAATTTAGCTCTGCTACTAGGAAGAATGCATGAATGGTGAATGCCACTTACTAATTTCATAACAATTAGGTTTGAACTAGCTCTGTATATACATATATATTTATATATCTAGCTATATATTTATTAGCTACATATATGTGTATATATATGTATACACTCGAAGACATTTGTGCAATGATTACTCATAGACTTTTGATCAACTCCTGTGTGAAATTTCCTAGCAGATTATGCACTGACATTTATCTTCCTCTGTGATGCTGTAACAGGCCTTTGCAGCCACATACTGAATTTTAAATGCAAACAAATCGATAGCTATCTATAGTTTCTAAGGTCTTGCAGCCTTTTCAGCCAGGGAACAATAGATTTAACAGAGAGAGGAAAAACAGCTGTGAATTATTACAGAATTACCAGTTGATGGAGAGACTTTAATTAGACAGGCAGTGAGTGGTTGGTGTAACCACTCGGATACTAAAATAAAATAGAAGGATATGTAAAATAACTGAACCAGAAAGGGGTCAATGGAATGGGGGCAGGGGAAGAAGAAGGACACTGCATAATGGCACGGCTCTTCCCTCAACACGTCAGGAACATCTGTTGTGTTAAGGGGGTTGCTAAGGGGCCCCTTTATCTTCCCTGGTAAATCACCCCCAAATCAGCCCTTCAGAGTCAAAGTCAGATGCCAGACTTTCTATAAACCCCTGCCAAGCTCGGTGGGAGTTCTGTGGACGTAAAGAGAGTAACTGATGCATGAGATCTCATTCTGGATCTTTTAGAGAACTACATGGAACTAGTTTTCTTTTGCTCTTAAATTAGAGCACTGTCAGATTTACCATCCTAAAATTAGTTGCGGAATAAGGTACTGCTGAATCTGAGTTCGGGACTTAAAATCTGGCTCCAGAAGTACTGGATACTGGCACTTTCTCATCATTCCCCACCTTTTCCTATTTTGACTCATTGTGGCTGCAGCTGGGTGTGTTGAAGTTCTCTTTCAGAAGCTTTGGGGGAGTTCAAAGACAAGAATTAAGAGATATTTTCCAAAGCAGTATCTTTTCAGAGCAACACAGATATTCTTGTCACACAACAAAGAGCTAACTATAGTTTGAACTTACCTCTGTACACAGAGACATTTTTGTAAGCTATATGCAGATTCTAAGCAGATGGGGTTTGATTTTGTCTGACAGAAGAAGTTATGCAATAATATTACACAAGGGGGTTACATATCGAACTTCAGGTGAGAAACTACTTGTATATGCCATTGTCAGAAGAAAGGTGGTACTGCCTTATGAAATGCTGGTGTCAGACTGCACAACAGTGTAGTGGCTCTTTTACTCAGCCCCTACTGTAGAAATATATTTCTGCTTGGGTCTTTCCCCTATTCATGGACATGGCATCTGAACCCCAAGAAAATGTTTTGAGTCCAATTCCATAGTCTTCAGTAAGACAAAGCCCCCGTTGTTTATAATGGGAATATAGGAAGAGCTATATCTGGGGATTATGAGGCCAAATCCTCAATATGAGTCAGAATCATCACTGAAACCAATAATTTATATGTCCTGTACCAATGTCAGCTTTGTGAAAACTTCTCTTTGAAAGTGCATAAGCTAACAGAAAATTACACTCAATTTTATCTCAACCCATTTTAAGTACAATGGTTTGAATATTTTAGATTCTCAGTGAATGATTAAAATGGCCCAACAAAAAATGTACTCTTTGCCAGCCACAATTCTCCTAGTACATAATTTCTGATAGGGTCACATGTGGTCTCTTAAAGAGATTGGCTACAATTTTCTGAAACAGCAGTTCTCAAACTGTGGCCCCTTGAGTTATTGCTGATGGGCCATAAAAAACAGCATGGCCCCGTGTGGCTGGCTGTGTTTGGTTATTATTTGCCAACCTCCATTAAAAGAAAATTAAAACTACATGAAGTATTTTTATTTCTACATATTTCCATTAACTTTTGTTACTCATAAATGTAGCATTGCTTTATTCAACCAACAAAGCAGAAAATGATCTGCACCACTGGGAGAGGAGGCTGGTTCACAACAGTTATTCTTTGAAATGTGCTTTATATTGTGAAAACCCTGAAAACTCACAATAGAAAGCCAGTGGATCAAGACCTGCAACGATGTCATCCTATGAATTTCCACAACTGCAAAAAGAGGCCAAAAATCTTTGAGGTGGGCTGTATTCAAATTAAAATAATAGTGGCATAGTAGTTAGAGCCCAATGACTCATTCAAGTTTCAAAACTAATTATGTAGAAAGGGTTTGCCTGGGAGATGCCACTAGCATGTCCAACTAGCAATTAAAAACTAAGAAATAAATCAAAAAGGCCAGGGACAGCAAATCTCAGCACTAGAAGACAGCTCAGAAACAAGCAACAGTAAAAGCCAAATGTAAGAGACCAGGCTTTTAAAGCATACTGTATAATGAATTATATTTGTGCTTGTCAGTCACAATGTAGAGGACATCTCGAGAGGCAATGTCAAAAATGGCTGTTGCTAACTTGTAAAAATACATTTGATATTTGCAGTTAGGCCATGCAGGGTCATCTATATATATCTCAAAGACAGATAACAGTGTAAAGTTTGGATTGCAACCAGCTGCAATTTTACTGGAATCTTACTGCTCTTACAAGAGTGCCTGTGAGCCCCAGTCACGCTGGAGATTTGGTACCTGGCTCTGAGACTAAGAATATTGCTTCATTTAGAAGCTTCCATTGGCAAATTGTTGGGGCACAGGTATAGGCCTGAGCACCTCACAGAATTATTTGTACACTCTGGTTGCAAGCACTGCACTCTGAGCCACTGTAAGCAGGCTGAGTGAATCCCAAGGGAATGGCCACAGGGAGATGTGATTAGAGTTTAAGAATTCTAATTAATGTTTTTTTGTTTGTCTGTTTGTTCAAAAAAATGTGGCTACAAATTAAAAAGGTACAGTAAGACGGAGAATATCTAGGGAAATGCTACCAAGTGTCTGTGTTTATCCAGTGAAGGACATGTGGGGAGATAATTGCTCCATTTGCTGTGTCCGATAGCCAGTCTTCATAAATATGGACAGAACAAAACAGAGTTAAAAGAAGTTAAAAGTGGAACAAGATATCTATAATTATAGTGCTTGAATTTGCTCACGTAGAAGTGAGTCAGCATTTGAGTGACTTATAAGGGTGCAGGATGTCTTCTTGGTGTGAAAGCACACATGACTGAACATGTGTAAGCATGTCCAGAGTTTACACAAGAGGTCTAACCTGCAGACCAGATGCATAAGGACATCCTAGAAAACGAACTTTTTTGCATAAGTACCTGTCATAAGGTTTTTATTGCCTGGGTACCTGCCATAAGGTGTACACTGTGGACTCATGCTTAAAACCAAAAAGGCTTTTTGGGCCTTTTGTGGTAGAATTTGTGTGGGGATGGGAGCCCAGGTGAACACTGGAGCTCAGCGGGATGGCCTGGACATGCCTGTGTGTCTTTCTGCCTTGGGCCAGCACTGAGCTCCAGACTGACAGGCCTGTGCCCATGGGAACTGACTGTTGATGGGGACAGTTCCCAGAGTGGTGGTGGCACAGACACCCCTCCTTGCAGTCAGCATGTGCCTAGAACTGCAGTCTACACACTGGCATATATTCAGCAAGCCCAGCTTCTGGGCACTTCCAAGTAGCCTGTGAGCTTTAGGCTGATACACCTGATCTGTAATAATTATCCGGTGTTCTGTGGTGATACCTGATTTCTTCTTCTGCAGCATATTCATTTGAAGGTCAGTATCCAGGGTATCTGTGAAGCTCTGAGCAGCTTTGTTAGCAAAACTGGAATGTGCAGTCTGGAAACACAGGGAAAGGTTTCATCTGCATGCTGCACCTGTAGAAATTTAGCAGTTAAAAGTAGAAACATGTTGGGTTTTTTTGCTAAAATGATAGTTCTGCTTAATTGTCCAAGTGTTGTGCTTATTATTTATTTGCTGAATCCAGCTACTTCGTCAGGTTTTTGTCAACAGTGTACCTGCAGAAAATGACAGTATGAAAGTTTTACTTCATGTTTAAGTAAACTCTGAGGCAGCACATGCATAAAGCATTATTGCACTAAACTCAGTTGATTACCATCCACATGCCTTACAGAAGCAAGTCATACCTGTAGTAATTGCCCAGATTAAACTGTTTTTCATTGCCTATGAGAGTCAAAATGACCAAGTGGCCAGTAAGAAGCTGAGGAGTCAGGCACTCCTGGGGGCTTGTCTCTGCTTTGCCACTGTCTGTTCTGTAATCTAGGGCAAGTTGTTTAAACTGTGTTCATTTTGAATGAATTTAATTCGTGTCAAACACTGGAATTGTACCAGGGTTGAATTTGACCCTCTGTGTCTCAGTTTCCACATCTGTAAGATGGGGAGAATATACCTTACCTACCTCGCAGGGTTGCTCTGAAGACTAGCTAATGTTTGTAAAGCACTTAAAAATGCAAAGACCCTCCTAGGTGCTAAGAAGAAATATTACTGAACTCCGGCAGAGAGAATGTTATTTTTTTCCTCATCTCACAGGGAGAGGAACATGAACGTTTCTAGACTGTGAACTCCTGGGACAAACCCTTGTCATTGCCGTGCTCCTAGGAAGTTCATGTCCTGTGTCCTTTGGAGCTGATGGCAAAATTTCCACTGGCTTCAAGTAGGGGGCAATCAAGACCTAAGCAGTCTTAAATAGGCTGACTAAATGCTTAAGGGTCAGGAGTAAAGAGAAAAGATACATGACTTACGTGTCTTTCTCTTCGGAAATTCTCACTGGTAACTCATACTGAGGGCATTGGAACACTGACAGGAGGCCTCGTCGTTCATTTAGCCATGGATTGTATTCTGGTTACCATGAAATAATGGAGCAAGATTTTCCATCAGTGTCTGTAAGCAATTTATAGAGTTCTCTAATTTGAGTCTCTCCTGATTATGTCTCAGTTGCCACTGGGAATTTCAAACTACATTAAGCTACTTCTTATCAGGGTAAAAAGACCTTAAATAAATGAAGCTTTTAAGTAAACATGTGTAATCACTTGGGAACATAAAATTATATTGATCAAACAACTTTCTCTTTTTCCCTCCTGTTCCCCAAAACCAACAACTTGGAGCCAATCCTGTTATTGAGTGAAAACTGAACTTGGATCTTCTGACCCCATACGTGTACACTTCCTTTGCCAAGGAGCCCTGAATAATAATAATCCTGCTAACCCACTCTGCCCATCTCCTGCAAGGGCTGATATAAACAGCACCACTGAGTAGAGGACCATGTTTTTAAGAGCTTTTCTAACTGGCAGCAGTAGCAGAGGGGAAAAAAAAGACATCAAAGGGTTTGAGTGGTTCATTAAGTCAAAGCCTCTACCATAGAAATTCTCCCTATCCAAGTATATTCCTAGCTTCTGTTAGACACATGTAAGTCAGGGCTACACAACCAACACCCAAATTACAGCTGAGACTTCACTCTCTTCTCCTCAGATGAGATGCAAGATGCGAGGCAGTGTCATATGCACTGAAAGACACTGGCCTCCATTCAAGACACTTGGTGTCTTGGAGCTGGGTGTGGAATAAACTGAAATCATTTTCACATCTTGCTTAGACAGATGCTGCTTCATTCCACTGAATTCAGTAATAAATTATTGACCAAGACAAAGGAAGCAGGCTTTTGCTTAAAGTTGCCTGTAAGGAAACACCACCAGCAGACTTCTGCTTTCAGGGCAATTGCTTCCTGGGCCATGCTCAGAACATGGAGGATTCTGAAGTAGGGCTTCGCTATTTCATGGGAATGCCTTAGGATTTGTGGTTGTAGCTGGGGGTTCATAGTATGGAGAAACAGCTTATAGCAAGTCAATTCTGTCTGCTAGAGGTTCAAGCACGCTTCAGTAGGAGGTAACACGTTTAAGGGTCTGTGCATGCAGTGAACAAAAAGTGTGAATTTCGTGTGGTTCTGTTGGGAGGGTTTGAAAATTTACTCTTTGTACACTTTTGGATGCTGACTACTGTCTATGTAATGACTATGCATTTTTAGCAAAAAAAAAGGTGTGAGCTATAAATAAAGTTAATTCCGAGTACATTTTTGCAGAAATTCATTTATAAAGTTTTTTGTCATTTCTTAGTACAACTTACTGGGATGCCTGTGGGATCAGAAATGTGATGAATGTAGTTATCTTCAAACACAGGTGTTGTTGGCATGAGTACAGGAACTACCAGTTCTTGTACAATGGTGTTGGGATCTCTGAAAACACTATAACAGCAAAAGTATCGTTGCCATTTTGTTGTCTTTTATATTTTAAAGCAATAAAATAGCATCATTGCCTTTTTAGTTCTCCAATATCTATGCTAACTAATTAATGATAGACATCCCTGTTATATTAAGATCAATAATATGTATAAGGAGATCACTGTTCAGCCTACAGAGCTCACGGAAAAATCATGAAATTGGTAGCAACAACGTCAAGAATCACAGCAAAATACTGACTGCAAAATGAAGAGTTCTATTTGGCATCAAATAAAGTTTCCCATTTGGCAGAGTAGGAATGTTTCATGTGGCAAAATACTGTTTTCAGTCCAAGTCAGGCACCAAAAAGCACTCAATGAACTGCAATTACATAAAGTATCTGCTTTAAGCCTTTTCTGTCAAAATTCAGCAGGACAAGATGTATCCCAACATAATTGCAGGCACCCCCTGATACTGTTAAAAGACTGAACACAATGGAAAACTATAGGATCTTCTAGTTGAGGTCTGTAGCATTCCTTCAAAAGTTTTAAAATTCTTGAGACTCTTATTTGCAGACTTTGTACATCCTATTTGAAATTACTTCAAGTATTTGATGATCCCAGCAAAAACATCCATTGCCCCCTCACAACCAGATGCTTCAAGAGACTACATCCTACAAATAAACAAATGCTTCACAAGACTGCATCCTGCTGTTAAGATTTAAGGCTTTTCAAAGGGTTATCAGTAGGCTCTGGATCTGACTGCTGAACGTGAACATGCTGGAAGAAAACCTCACAAAACTGACAGAGCCAGTGAAGATGGCAAAATACTGAGCAGAATGGTAGGCAACAGAAGTGACAGCTGCTGGGACAGGTAATTTAGTGAGGTCAGTACCTCAGCCTTCAGCTGAGGTGGCTCCATAGTTACTCATCATGATAACCTACTGGAAATCTGAAGGCAATCTATATTTTGTTACAGCGACATCACTTCTCTGACAAATGGCCCTAAAAGTCAGGACAGTGTATTTGTGGAGGAACAAAGGAACATCTGACACACAACAATAACCTTCAGATTTTATCTCATCACAGGATAATGTATGGTTAGTAGGATTTGTGAGTAGAGATGAAACTCATTAAAAATTAAAAAGATGGTAAAAATGTAGAGCAAATCAGTATTAATGCTAAGGCTAAATCTTGGTTTTAGTGACGAGAGTCTCTGGGCAGACACTACAGATGCACTTTCTGCATCAGAAAGCCCTCTATTACAAGGCAGATTTCTTATCAAGAGTGGCAATACCCTTCTGTTAGTGGGGAGCTGGAAATATTTCTCTTGCCAGGGAGCACAGCCTTTGGGTATATGATAGATGCTTTACAGAAGCATAACAACAACGTCACACAATCTTTTTGGAGAGGAAGCAATTTTATAGAGTTCTCTAATTTGAGTCTCTCCTGCCTCCAAGATCTAATCCTTTCATGTCCCTCCTGACTGATGAAACATGAAAATATAGGGGTTTTTAATTTCTGGTGTTAAGCACACTTCTCATCAATTATACTCTGTTTGCTAGGAAACATCTATTCTCTGTTGCTCTTCTCTGTTGTCCTGAGAAACTGGGCAATTCCACTTGTACAAGAAGAAAAACCCTGATTTTTTCCTCTCTCTTTATATGCTGGGCTCTCTGCATCCACAGTCCTGGGGCTATGGAATTCAATCACTGGCACTCAGTAGTGTTCCAAAATCTCAGCTTTTCTTTTCAGCAGCACTTGGAAAGACAACTATGAAATGTCAGTGGGGTGGATAACAAGCAGCAATATCCACAGCCTTAAGAAATAATATAAATAATAAGCAAAAGGTAAACAGGTCCCTGGGACAGCTTTTCTGATACCTTTGTACACCCAGGCATCATCTCTCATTATCCCAAATTTAGTGACGCTCATAAGCACATGCTTAACTTTAATATGAATATATGTTTATCTTTGTTCACTGACAGGGGTGAGCTTTTCCTTGAGTTTAAGTGTGCTATAGAAGCAGAGCCCTAATGAGCAGACAGTGCCAGGGAAATGCTGCCAGCAAGTCTGGCACAGCAATTCTGCCATTCAGCCCTAAGGCAGTGTCCTACCCCTGACACCCAAGACTCACATTCCCTACTCAGCCTTAGCACTTTAAAGCATTTTAATACAAAACAAAGAGCAAAATACATATGTAAAGCTAGAAATGCACCAACTTAGTAATGAATTAAAACTGCACGTTCTCTATCTGTACCAGTTACATTATCCCAACACTGTTTCTCATAGTCTGTAGGAAACCATAGCTCGGAGAAAAAAAGTTTGGAACAGTAACCAGAATCACTGAGCACTATCAAATACATTCACTAGCCAACCTAGTTAAAAAGAGTATTTATTTCTGTATTATATAGACTCAAAGATTAAACACAGAAGCTATATATTCTATGAAGAATACCTTTGTCCCTAACAAGAGAGCATATTCCTTCACACTATAGCTGTTCTGCTCCAACAGAAGCATGCCATCTCCTTCATTTTGAACTTCAGATGTACTTTGGAAAAAAAAAAATAATTTGACTTAACTGATTTCAGTGAAACATAGGGACTGAGGGTGTACAAGAATGGAAAGCCTGCTCAAATGCAATACGCAGGTTGTTAAATTAACATCACTTAAAGTCACAGCTAGCTCAGCACTCAGCAGCCCTAATACCTCAGAGGGAATATACAGCCAGGGTATGTTCAGATCTACTTCTACTGAGACCATCAGTAATCCAAAGGATATAGTGAATTGATATAATGAATGGAAAATAGTAGGTACCTCCATTAGAGTTAATCTGTGATTAGTAAATTCCTGCATTCAGACATAAGGCTGAATTACTTACCTGGTAAATATGTTCAGACAGCAACATTTATAAAAAAGTTGGCAGTGCCCCATATACTGGTTTGAGATCTCTAGCTGTTACCAACAAGACATTTTAGAAGTCTTCCTTATTAAAGGGGAAAAAGGGGAAAAATTAATCTCACAGAATTTAAAAGATTTGTTGATTTTGACTTTGCTGGCAGACTTGTTGCACAGGTTTGCACAAAGCAAATAAACTAGTGGACTTACAAATATTACAAAGTGTAGTAATCACTGTGTTCTCTTCTCAAAGTCACAGTGATTTTCTCCAAGCAGAGTTACTGAAGACCCACAGTGAATCTGGCCCTCTTCCCTTTACAGCAGCTGTGGCTTGGAGTGAGTCCTCTGTGGAAAGTACTAGATGTTCATCTAGTATCAAAAACAGCTTATTGCTACTTTTAAGTAACCCCAAAGAGTGTTACTCATTAGCCAAATATACACATATAGCTAAGAAATATTTATGATTTTCAGGCTCTGGAAGTGTCATGATTTCTAGCTTCAGTGTCATGGCAGAACTGCCAGATATGTCCCAGTCATGAACGACTTCCAGCTTATTACTCAATAATCTTTGTTTTAAAAGCCATTTCAGTCTCTCAATAGCTCATGAATGAAACAGTCTGCAACAAACAGGCTGGTCAATGAATTCTCTAAGGTGTCAACTTCCCATGTGCACCATAATAGGTCAGCAGTAGTGAGGTTCCCTTCACAAGTAATTCCTGAGCTAAATTCACAGACAAGCACCAGACTTAATTCTCTTCCCTTGGCATTTTGCCTGGAAGGCTCAAACAGGCTGGAGAATAATACTGACTTGTAAAAAGCTCTTTTACCCTACTATTCCTTCATCACATCCCTCCAGTGCCGGCACAGAGGATGCAGCAGGAACGCAGTGTGGCACAGGACAACGCAGTGTGGCACAGGACGTCTCTACGCTGCTCTAGTCCATACGTGGCACAGAGCCATCTGATCCCACCACAGCTGCCCCCATGCATGAGTCAAAGCAGCCTGAGAACCAGGCAGTTCCAGCCCTGCCTGCCTGCTGTGCCAAGTGAACCTTGGAATAAAGAGATTCAGGCCTGCTGTTCAGAGGAAGGTTCTGCAACGTTAGTCTGTGCCCAGCAGACCCATGAAGGACACTGAGGTCAACCAGCAGGAGTTTCCTAGACGAGGTTTGGTCTTACTCAGCTTTAAGAAAACCCCCAATCTTTAACTCAGCCGCCAGTGCTCTGCAGCCTCAGAGTTTGATTGCATCCTCAAATTTCACCAGCCTGAAATGAACAAAAAATGATAAAATAAATTATTCACATCTATTGAAAAATACCAGGTAATTCAGCCTTTTTTACCCTGCCCCAGGCAATGCACACAGCTGTGCGAAGGTGGGGCGCGGTGCCGGCAGCGCAGTGTCCGTGTCCAGCCCTGCCTGGCCGCAGCGGGGTTTGGGAGCCGCCAGGAGGAGCGCTCAGACCGCTCCCGCTGCCGGGGTGTCCCTCGGCCAGCCCGGGGAGCAGCGGGATGGCTCCAGCACGGACACAGTTTTTCCGTGGTAGCCGTCCCCTGTATTCCTCATCTGCGGCGCACAGAGGGGAGCACAGGAGTCCCCGCCCTGCCTGCCCTGGGTGCTGCACAGCTGGTGGCAGCGCTGCCCTTTGTGTCTCCCCTTCGCTGGGCACCTCTGCTGCCTCCGGGGCTTATTTGGAAGGGATGCCCCATCCATGTAACACTCTCAGGGAAAAGCTGGCACAGAGAGCCTGACCGTCTGGCAAAAATAATGCCTTAGAGGCAGCTGCTTGCTGATATAATCCCATATGAAAAGAAAAACTGTTTTGAAGGGGATGACGCTGCCTTCTTAGGCATTCCTGGAATATAAACTGAGCATGAGTCAGTCAGAGTGAGAGTATGCATCTTGTCATGTTGACAAAGAAACAAACCAGGCAATAAATAAAAAAAAAATCTGAAAGTATCCTCTTATGCAGGATTTCACCCTCCAGTACCTGGAAGGCTGCAAAGTTGAGCAAAGTCATCCATTCAGAAATGGCTGCTTCCTGGCCTAGAACATTCTGAGAGGATCTCTCAGGACAAATTCAGGGCAAGTGAGAGGGACCAGCCCTGATAAAGCCTGAGTCAACCATGAAGCACACATCTGGCTGGCACGATGCCATGTCCATCCTGCCACAGCTGACCTGTTGCCTACTGGATGTGAATGACTTTTTTAATCTGCCAGTTTTCAGATCTGTGTTCATACAGCCTACCTACCACATTCCCAGCTAGCATCAGACAATGCACATAAATTTCATGCTACAGTTTTCAACACCTAAAGCATTAAAAAGTACTTTCTGAAACATTGCAGTCCTCCTTTTGGGTCTAACATTGCAATGTTAATTGAAGTATTATAACAGTGCTATTATTCAGTCTCTGCTTGCTAGTTTACAGCAGGAGTTGTTGGACTAGCTCTGCTGCTTGTAAAGCAGAGCTGACACTCATCCTTCCTGCTCAGACACCAGCTCTTGGCTTGCCATGACCTTCGAGCTCTCCTGTAGAGCTCCGATTCATTTTGGCCAGTGACACTTCACTCCCCACCTGCAGCCCAAGATCACACAGCACCTCTGAGACAGCCATGCTTTACTGTCCACTGCTCAGCCTTCAAATAAGCCTGTTCTGGGTGCAGGCACAGTCCAGAGCTGCCCTGAGGCTGTCAGATGATCTCCACAGCCCTTGTAGAAGCTGGGATATGAATGAGCCTGGTCCACTCCTTTCTCATTTAACACCGACATATGGGAAAATGTTTCACAGTGTGAGTTCCTGTGCAAGCTGCCAGTGACCCCTACATCTTGTGCTGGCACAACCTGTGCAAGTCAGCAGCCTCACTGCATGGATGCAGATCTAGCATCTCATCAAAGTGTTTCCAAATCTCTTTACTATGCTATTTTCTTCCTTTCATTTATTTCTTCACTTTTTCTGACCCAACTTCACTCTCTTATCCTCTTCTCTTTACAAATTTGAAGCCTGAAGCCATATTTATTCAGATCAGAGTCCTTCAGTGCAAGCTGAGCACTGTCAACTGCCTGGAATGTGGGTGGAAGCTGTCTTAGAGAAACCAAGGTGGAGGAGACAGTGAGACTGTCCTTGCTGTATTCAGGGCACTGCTCACTGTGTCAGTGCCACACCAGTACCCTGACTGAGCCTTGTTTAACACTGTGTAGCCACAGCTACTGCTGTCACACAGGCAGGACAAACAACTGACTTCCCAACTACTTTCGGTAGTCTTCTCTTTCTGTCTTACACCACTGGTTGTGTTAGCACTAAAGAAGAGTAAATAAATAATTCTATGTCCCACCTGAGAAGTGGTCAAAATGCAATCATGCTTGTACATTCCATTAAATGGAGTAATAACATAATTTATTCTGACATACTGTTGAAAACGGAATGCATTTATTTCCTCACACAGTCCAGCTATAGGTAAAGCTTTTCCGGATATTTCAGACCCAATATATAAACTAACTCTACACACAAGCTATCTAGATACAAAATATCCTTGAGGGTGAAATTCTACACTCTGAAGAATTTGCTTTGGCAATAGCAAGATTTACTATTTTCCTCGTCAGATTTTGTTCTCAGGACATTGGTCATCATTTCTTTGTAGACAGATTTTGCAGATCGCAACATGACTGATCAACTTGCAAATCCAATCAATGAGAACCCGGGGGTCTCACTATATTTTCTGATAACTGCTGGGATTACTCTCAGCTAAGAGTGTAAGAACTGTTCTGCAGTACGAGCCACATCTTTTATGCTCAGTGTCAAACATAATAGGCTTCTAATAATAGAACCACCACAGTCTGTCCGGCTATTCCAGTCCTGGATCTGCCACAGGAAGCATCTCATGAGGTCATAGCTAATACAGTAAACAGTGACCCTTGTTAGTGACATGGTAAGAACAGAAAGGCTTCAAGTGTTGGGGAGGTTTCTCATCTACAGCACTCTTCTAAAGGATTTAGCAGGGCGAGTATATTTACGGTTCCTCTTACACAAATTATCACAGTATGCACAGAACTCTGGGGTTTTATACAGCTCGTTATAAGTAGGAAGAACAACCATCTACAGGGTATGCTGATGCTAAATCTCTAATTTCAGACCTCACTTTTAATTGTGTATTGAAAGATTTTTATTTTATGATGGGAACATAGTAGAAGAAATAGAAATGTAATAGGGAAATAAAACTTTCCCCACATTATCCCTTAATTCAAAGAATTTTCTCGAAAATTCTCTCTTTCCCTTAAATTACTTCCATGAAGAGATCAACTGGCAGAAGTATCAGTTGCTTTGTGACTAGCTGTTAAAAAAATAAAATAAAATAGTTTTAATCTGTTTCTCAGCTTTGATTGCTGGGGGTAGTAATTCTCTGGTCCAGCTGGCATTACAGTGCCATGTTCTCACTGATGCTCAGTTGAATAGTTATCTTAAGCTTACAGAGAATCTGTGTGACACTACAGACTTAACGGGATGAAAAAAAAAAAGATGCAGAATTGCCAGGCTTCATGGAACTCTGAGCTACATGCAAAACCTTCATCCCTCCATATCCTGCTGCTGCACAGCCACAGCAGCAAAGCTGGACAGAGTTAGGAAGTCATGGTTTGAAACCCCAAATCAGAAACCCAAAGACAAGCAGCTACAAATTAAGCTCTGCAGAACTGCAGAGGTTTTACATCTGCACCACCTGCACATCAGAGACCTGGGCCAGGAGAGCAGCTTGTTTCCTGTGGGCACTTGGTCAGTGACAGCCAGGGGGAAGGACACCTCAACCTCAGCTGAGCAGCAGCTCACTGCACTCATTTCCCAAGCCCAGGGGCCTTCATCCCATTAGCCCAAAGTCTGCTTCCTGGGCTGGGCTGGGCTTCGTGGAAGGTGCTGTGGTGAACACAGCAGAGCAGTGAGTGGAACAGAGAAATGCTGCTTCCTCCAAAAGTACATGCATCCACAATGCTTCCTCGTGGTGTTTCTGTACACATTTTAATGCCTGCACTTACCTTTGTCCACATTCCAAACTGCAAATGTAAAATACACTATATTCAGAACACATGTATACAGTTATGCCTCCATTTCTTCCCTGTAGCACTGGGTAACTTGTGTGCCCCTGCCTCAAGGAATTGAGTAAGGGAGTGGAGAGGCACTGGAGCATATTTGAAAGACATCAGTTAGAGTCATGTACTGGTTTCACTCTGAATTTCAACAGGAATGTGGTGTTAGCATCTAGCTTTATGACCACTGCCATTGCCTCAGTCTCTGACAGAATTTGATTTCTGCCTAAAGAAAAAGGCCTGAAATGGTGACCTGCCCCCACACAGAAAAGATGCCAGCAGATTCAGTAATTCTGCTGTAATTTTAATTTGCTGTAATAATCTAAGTTTTGTTCATTTTTACCTCAAAATCTGGACAGACATATTGCTATACTCTGCAAGCTGTTTTTCCTGGTTGATATATTTCCACCACGCAGATCCTTTTGCCTAAATCTCAATAAAGATTCTGCAACAATTTGTACTTGCTCACTTGCTATATCAGCTACATATGCTAGGTTTAGTGCAGTACCTGCTGCTTGGTCATTCTCCTTCCATCTGCCAGAGCCTACGTAATATTTAATTCCTTAATTTTGAGTATTCATCACAATATCACTCGGTGGATTCTTACCTCTTGCTGACAACTGCTTGTTCTTCCATAGCTTTTACATAAGATGTGTAGATGCAGAAATCTGCTATGTCACTTCCATCTCTGTGTTTCAAGACTGAGACTTCTCTGATTTACAGCAGCTTTCCTTCAAAATTTTCTTTGAAAATCTTTTACCTGAAAATTGTTTTAAAGGTTACAGGTCATTTATTGCTCTGCAGTCAAGAATTTCTTTCCAGATGTCAGACACTACTGTGCTTTAATTATACAGTCCTCTGAAAGGCCTTCTACTATGAAATTTTCTTTGTTGTCTGAAAGTCATTTTATTGGCAAAACATATGACTAACAAAAGGGATATGACTCTATGCTTACTGTATTATGAATTATTACACTGTGTACAGCTGAGCTTTAAAAACAATTTTCAGACAGCTCTGATTTTGGTGACTAAAGCTTTAAACCGCTTAGGTTTTTTTACTCCTTTATTAAAGCCAGAGGTGGTGAATTTCTAATTTCTGATCCCATTTTTTGTCAGCTCAGGCCTGAGCATCTGTAGGTCAGACATATGTCCTGGAACTATCTGTGCCTTTTTGAGTTCTCCGATGGAAACTCATACGAACTGTAAGAAAATGTTAGAAAATTGTGATACATTGTCTAATTCACAAATTGAGAAAAAGTGAGAGCAGTTCTTCTCAGCCTGCACAGAGCTTAAATCTTGACCCCTTCTGCCTTAGCCCTGAAGGAGAATTTTTTGCCTGAAACATTGTCTGTCTTTTTAGTTGGTCCAGTGAAAACTCGTTTGTGCCTCAGAACCGTGCCTTGCATGATGCCTTTATGAAGCACCCTGTGAAAACATCCCTGCTGGAGCTCCATACAGCAGGGACTGTTCCACTGGCAGGGCTCAAGAGTTCTTTATTCCTGTCAGACACAAACCATTATAGAGCAGCATTCTCCAAGAGACAGATCTGCTTGTGGGACATATAAATACTGGTTTTCCTTCTATTGATGTCCATAGGAACAAGGATGGAGGTATGATATTATGAGATACTAAGTTCTTAAAATATGTTCTCAATGATTTCTATATTAAGAGCTGTTTTGCTTTGGAGGATGAAAGGTCTGTTCACTCAATATGAGGAACAAGGTCTGTCTCAGAAATGTGGAAGAACATCTATTCATCCAAAAGCTTAGCTATTTCAGGAATAATCTGTAAATTATTTTAAGAGTTTGTTTAAACCGTTGTTAACTATACCTGGCAGATTTCTGGCAAATGCATTATTGTTTCTCTAGACTTCTTCATTCCTTCAAGGAAACTTTTTGGGAGACAGGACTTGTCACTTCTCCTGTTGACACTGTTCTACTCTGTATAAATAATTACACATTCACTGGGACTGGGACTAACACCTCCACCCTCCCCAGGAGGGTTACTGAGCCATCAGACTAGAGCATTGTTTTTTCTCTCACCAGCTGGCTCCATGAATATGTAAATATATTTTACAAAGTGGGACTGTTCCAGTTGAAGGGGCTGGTGGTCAGGTCGCTGCTGTGAGGCAGAAACCTAACCTGAATTTGCAGAGGAGAGGAGAATTCCTCTCAAACACAGGTAGGAGTTATTTTGTGAGGTATGCACTGACTTCTTCAGGAGCACTGATGTGATCCTCACTTTCTCAGTGGGGTTTACACATCAATTTGTATCATTGTTTTGACAATCACTTCCATAAAAATACATTTTTATCATTAAATTGAATAATTTGCACCAAATGAAACAGAGTTTGAAAACTTAATTTCATTTAGAAATATGAAAAAATCATATTCAGCTCTTGAGTGCTGAGATTTTCGGTTTTGTCCAAGTGTTCAGCCAATTAGTAGCCCAAACTAACTTAGAAAGTCTTCCCAAATAATATCTTGTTTACCAGTATGGATTCCACAAATTCTATACCTTTTATCTTAGTCTAATCAAAGTTCAAGTAGGTGACTTTTGCTTTCTGCTTTGAAAACTGTGAAATGTGCCTATTGTCATAGAGTGAAGGGCTTCTGGGAAAGGCAGAGTAACTTGGGAATTCACAACCTGGAAAAACTTCATTTTCCTCCACTGAAAAACATTCAGCTTAACAAACAGACTTACATTTCAAGGGTAATTCAAACAGCAAACTAAACCAAAACTAGAATTAGGAGTGGAACAGACTGCTAAACTATCCAAAATTGAATGGCAGATTTAACCTCTCATTCTCATATTAATGCGAAGTAGCTGAAGAATTCTGAAATGGAGTCAAATTGTCCATCTTTGAACACTAAGAGGATGTAGTAAAATCAAAGGTCCTGTTGTGTTTGGATCAGACCTCTGATAATCTTTTATAGTTATAACCTTTTGGTTCTAAGTCCTGCATTAGAGCTTGGCTGGGAATCTATATAGGAGTCTTCTTCTACAATACAGAAAATGTAAAAGTAACATTACAGGTATAAATTAACACATTAACAATCCAGGGCAGGTCAGAGACACAGCACACTGAGTTTAGTATTTACTTAGTTTAATTAAATGTATTTGATTTCACTTACAGTTAAAGCAGATAATTGAATAACAGTACTTAAGAGGAGACTCTGGGGTTAATAATCATTAAGGAATCCACAGTAGCACACTTCCACCAAGTAGCACCTTGGTAAAAACTGCAACCATGAGAGGGGTGATAACCAAGAGACAGGTCAGCAAACTTTTGAGGTGCATTTGGGGTGGTGTCAAGGCAGAGAGAAGTGTCAGTAGTGTTTAAGAGCCTAAGAACCCAGAGCTTTGAAAACTTAGCTGAAAGCTGAATACAGAGATGTTGTACTGGATAGACAGTATAATAATCATGATCTACTGGCTGTACTTATAACTCAGGCTCCATATAAATCAGTTCCTCTCATTCCCTTTCAGGAATCTATATACCTAGCATCACGTATCTACATCTGCACCTCTTTACAGCAAAGAATTCCTTACTGTTTGACACTGTGCAGGATAATTATTATCAGTGCACTGCAGTACATCTGGAAAGATGAAGGAATGCTGGCTCAGCATACCTCAGGCAAAGCACTGCACCTCTTAAAGAATGAAAGCATACATAAAACAGGAGCACAAGAGCTGCATCAGTCTTTCATGCCTGAAAGCCAGGCATAATTGCTTTGAAGTGGAAGGAGTTACAGCACTGCAGCTCTCCAACTGCATAACAGGTAACAACAGGAATTTAAATAAATACTTACCAATCCTTGCAAATTCTTTGATTCCTTATTCAGAGATGCTACCCATCCACCAGAAAATGTTATGTGGTAGAGGCAGGCATTCCTCTGTCCTTTCCTGCCGGGATTAAAATGAAACTTGACTGTTATCTCAAGAATGAGCCCAAAGACCAGACTTAGATTCTGGAAAAACTTTTCTCCTCTCAAAGTACCCTTTTAATAAGTGAGTTGAAGGATTTAAACATAAAGACTCATTCAAAACAGTTGCCTGTGCTCAACTGTCTACGTCCAAACTGAAGTCAAGTATAGTTTAGGAACTGAAATTAAATTACAGTATTACTTACTCAGTCTGGCCTTTATTTTGTTTGGGGGATATGTGAAATTTTCTCAGAGACTGTTAAAACAAAAATAGTCTGAGGCTCTTGAAAGGACTAAACCAAGTAACTCCTGGAATACAAAAAGGATAAAGTGCTACTTAATTCTGGTCTTGCACTTTTGATTCCTTAAGTACTAAAGGACTGCTGCTGAGTTAGAACTGCATATTGTGCAACAGTTTTCATATAACACTAAAAACACTGAAGCATTCTTATACCAAGTATATATCTAATTTAAATCTATAATGCTATTTCTCTAATGCTTTTCCAGTGTTTAAGTTACTTTTGTGATACAGTTTGTAACCAAAACTGCTACTATCTTGAAGTCTCTCGTCTTGGCTCCTAAAATTTCCATGTAAGTTCCATCAATTTTTTTATAACTTTTCTCCTTAATTCTGTAGCATTTTAATGACCTACAATATTTTGCCCACAGCAAGAATACCATGCTGAGCCTGATATTGACAATGACATTTCTTTACACATTAAATAACGATGACTCTGTGAAAACCATTACCCAGCAACATAATAGATCACAGATGTGTTTAAAAAACATAGTATTAGGCTGGACTCTGAATTCTGGCCCAGAATGCATGTGTGCATCTCCCAGGGCAGTAATTCAGCACTTAGAAAAAGTAAACTCACCATTGTAATGCACATGGCAGATAGCTGAGTTCCAGCCACCAGTGAAATAATCTGGCCCCAGTTTTGCATTCCATGACCCCTGTGCTCTGATGGGAAGGAGGCCATAGGGACTGACTGTAATTCCTGTAGTCAGAACTGCCCAGCCCTGGTACAATTTATTGTTGTACAGGAACAGCAGTGATGCAACACCCACCTTCTTGCCAGGGACCCTACGCTGAATAAAGACAACTGAGGGCACAGCACAAACAACAAGGGGAATCCTTGTCTGTACCAGCAACATGATGCTGTACCTGGCAGAGAATGACTGTATCAACATACTCCCTCACAATTACTTCAGCTTTCTTCACTTGACCTAATCTGCCTGTTGAGGAAAGGATATTTTCCCTGTCCTGAATTTCCACCTTTGAGGAAGGAAGTCCTCCAGATGTGGGCTCCCCCAGTCTGTCTTTCAGACATAGATGTGGAGCTGCTAAGTCAAGTGAGGGGCTCCTTTTCAAGTCAGGAAAACCAGTGCAAGAATGATCACAGCTGATGGAAATTTCTTTGTATTCCCCCATCTCTTGTTGCACAGGCTGTCATATCATTTGCACATTTTGTAAAGAGTTTTTTCCTCATCGTCCCTTTTCTGGTAATTTGGAAGTGGAGAGAGAGTTTTCTTACCAGGAAAAGTAGGAAAACAGTATGTTTGTTGGCTGAACTAAAATTGCTCATAACACTTTTCTTCCTAAGAGCATTTGCAATAAATAAATTAGATCAAATTGTTCCCCCTTTCATGTATAGCCTTATAAATAATAGTAGAGGGAAATTCAGGAAAAGCAGTGAGAGCATTGGCAGGAAGCAGTTTCTCACAGGGCTTAATTCTGATTTCAGATCTGTGTTGCCAGTAACAGCAAACTAATTACATGTGAAACTACACCGTGAGTCTTGGGTCCCAGGTATCAGCTGTGCAATAGCAGTGTGACAGCCTCTCCCTGCACAGGCTGCTGAGAGCATTCACATGTGCCTCTGCCTCACACCTCCAGTGTCACCTGCAGCCAGCTCGAGGGGAAGGTGGCTGTGACCATCACCAGGCTGTTGACAACACCCAGTGTGTGAGGGAACACAGCAATGGCTCCACATCTCACTCTCTGCATTCAGGTCAGAGCTAACACTCTCTGGTGGAGGTGGTGCTTTTGGAGGGGAGAGGACGATGTTGTGCAGTAAATTGTTTGAAATATAGCTCTTTTCATTTCTCAGTCTACAAACCAGACTCTGATCTAAGTCTTCAGAAAGTCTTATACAGACATGAGTGAGTCTTGTCATTAAATGAGAACAATGGATCCAAGGATGATTATTTATATATATCCCTCATAAAAGTAATTCTATTTTGTATCCAGAAAAAGAAAGCCTATTTTTTCCATTTTAGAGACATTTTAGTGTCATTTATCATATCCATTTTAGTAATACAATTTTGTAGCTTCCCTCTTATTTCCTTCCCCAAGCACAAGCACAATTAAAGGTCTCATGTTTCTTTCCTGCATCCACCAAAGCAACAGGAATCTGCTTTGTAATTTTCTTTCATAATATTATCTACTTGAATACTTGCTGACTTAGATTACATCGAGCCTGGGATAATGACTGACTAGGCAGCTGATCTGTCTTTGCTTTTACAGCTCTCTAGGTAAGAACAGCATTTCCTGACCCTTGATGATGCCCTGCCCTGTGCCAGGGCTCAGAAGTTGTCCTGCACAGACTGAGGTGCTTTGCTCCTCTCTGTGCTGCTGGAAGACAAGGGGACTGCCTAATTCACAGGCACCTGCAGGCAACTCAGGGCTTCTGCCTCTTAAGTTTTATGGCCTTCTACTCCATGGTTTATGCTCCTGTTCCTTTTACATTCCTTGGACTGATGTGTTTAAAATGCACTATTAGGGACATTGCTCTTGCTTAAAAATATTCTTTTTAGAACATATTTATTTGATCAGCACTTCAGCCATTTCTACACCTTCTGTGTGATACTGTCATTGTGCCTGCTCCTGGTTAATGGACCCTGGCATGCTTCATTGGAAGTGTTGAAACAATCCTCTAGGAGTCTTGTACGATGATGAAGTATCTTTTCACAACATTATAAATGTTTTAAGGATCCTGCTTGATATCAGGCACTCTGGTTAAGAATTATTATATCCCTTTGGTTACAGGAATATTTGCAATTTAGCAGTAGTTGTCCAATTTATAATTTTTATATTATGATGAAAACCAATCCAACTAACGATAAATTCAGCACCATTGTCCATAATATTTTCTTATGCTGGCAAATAAGCAACTGACCTTGAACAATAGAGGGTAAAACATTTGGAAAAAAAAAAAGGAATTATTGGATACCAGCTTATATTCCTATAAACAGAAGAGACAAGTAGAAACTCATGTCAGAATTGCCCAAACTGACAAATAGAAGGACCAGAAGGTAATTTAGAAAAGCCATACTGAAAAACTGTACTGCTTTTATGATTAATGCATCACTTCTGGTCTCACTGCTAAATGATAATATGAAATATGAAATTTTGCAACTGTATTAAATATGTTATTACTTGAGGTAAAACCAGAAAAGAGACAAAAATGTTAATTAGAGAATGTAAGCTTAGTTCCTAATAAGTTCCTTAATTCCTAAGGTGTGGGAATACTGTCAATACTACATTTGCCCTTGGTATCTCAGTATCAAAATAAACCAGGGGAGGGGAGGTCTATGATTCATCACAGCTATTTTTTATATAAAGCCAGAAACCACATTGTCATTTGATAAATGAGCCGAGAGTGAAGCTTGAAACACAAAAAGAGAGAAGAGTGGGAATTCAAGCCTGGGGAAGGGTGGAGGCTCTGCAAGTTTTCCAGTGAAAACTCTTGTGTGGGTTTTTATTTCTATAAAGTAGCAGATTCAATTAAAGGCATGACATGGATAAATCCTTGGCTTGCAGACCAAAGAAAATTTGGGATTCCTAGGAACTGGGTGGGTACATCAGTTTGTAAGAGTCATTTTAGGTGCTAGGATTATCAAGAAAATAGGGATACATCCTCTCTATTGCATGTTGTTCAATGCTATTCTGAAAAGGCACAACTTGTAATTCCAGGAAATACCACAGTTCTTTTGGAAGTGAAAATATCAAGATTTTGGCACTTAAGACTGCATTGAGAGATTGGGGTTGTTAGCCTGGAGAAGAGAAGGCTCCAGGGTGACCTCATTGTGGCCTTTCAATAATTAAAGGGGACTTAGAAGAAAGATGGGGAAAAACTTTTTAATAGGGCCTATAGCAATAGGGTAATGGTTTTAAACTAAAAGAGTGTAAACTCAGACAAGATATAAGGAAGAAATTTTTTATTATGAGGGTGGCAACACACTGGAACAGGTTGCCCAGAGAGGTGGTGGATCCCCCATCTCTGGCAACATTCAAGGTTGGGTTGGATGGGGCTCTGAGCAACCTGGTCTAGTACCTGCTCAGTGCAGGGGTGTTGGACTAGATGACCTTTAAAGGTCCCTGCCAACCCAAACAACTCTATGATTCTGTGATTCAAATGAAATAAAGAGCTGTTGTTGATAGCATTTACATAAATTTAAATTCAAATAATTTCACAACATCAGCTGAACAGGACTTGTGCAGAAACACTAAGAGAGCACTGAGAGGTCTTTTGCCATGGTACAAGGTATTTTGTACAGATGACTTTCCACAGAGAAAAAGAAGATTTGGTGAGAAGCCTGAAAGCTGGAGCATAAACTAAGATTTTAGGGAGGGGGTTTCTTTTCAGTCAGATCATCAGGCCACTTTTGGTGCTGCACAGCAACATCATTATTAAATTTGTCACAGGCAAGATGGCAGGGATGCATGGAGGGACACGTGGTTTGCACCAACATTTACACAGTCTTTTCAAAGAACATCTCGGGGCCAATCTGTCACACAGGGCTACATTTCAGGAAGAGGTCTCCTCGTTCCACTTCAGCAGTTGTCTCATTTTCAGGCAGACAAGGTCACACTTGCCAGACATTCATTAGGAAATTTGTCCCTTGTTAGCTTTGTGTACCAGATATCTTTCTTCAGTGACTGACAGGGAGAAGCACTCATCCCTGATCACCAGCATCACTGGCTGAGCCCAGGACAGCTGGCAGCAGCTGATGGGAGAAGAGGGTTCACTCAGGCTGCACATTTCTGCCAGACCATTGCAGGAAGCAGTGACACCCTAGGACAGTGGGCATTTCTTATAATTACTATGGCAGTAGCTCTGTAGTTCATAAGTTAAATGCCTGTCACTAAAGATTCATCATTTCAGGCCTGAAGATGCCTCCCCTCAGGGACACGTAACAGAAAATAGTTTTTGTTCTACCTTCGAAAAGAAACTGCTGTAAAAAACTTGTGTTGCTAAGTCAGCTGTCAAAAGTTAGACACTTTTCGTCCACATTAATGCAGACACTTTGCTTATGCAACTCCATACTATTTTTGTCACATAACCTATGCATCATTTATACAAGGAATACATACACAAGGCAGCATAATTAAGATTGCATGAGACTGTAAATCTGCCATCTTTTGGTTTTGAACTTAAAACCTTTTTAGCTGAATTTATATGCATTACCTACAAACAATTCCTAACTGTGCATTCCATGGTTTTATCCCAAATAGATAGGGACTCTAACAGATGCTGATTGAGAAGCTCCCTGACTTCAAAAATGAAGTATCATCAGTATATGAAAGGGTTTATTTGATTTGGCTCCCTGCAAGAGTAGAAGACTGGGTTTTGTGAAGAAGAAAGGTCACTCCTGTTCCTGTGTTGCTAACAGATCATAATTTAGCTGAAGATTGATGTCAGTGCTAACACATTTATTTATGGGTAACTACTTGCCGGCCTTTTACTTTCTGTTCCTTCTGCAGCCATCAATGGAAAGAAGCCAAACATCTCTGGGTCAGTTCATGGGTGAATTCTCTCCAGCAACATCACTTACATTTGGTAAATATAATTTAATTTAAATTAGTGCCTTGTTTATAATTTACTATTTGTGGTATTCATAATCTATTTAATAGTGGGACACCAAAGAACACTTGAGCACATTAGATTTAGGGTGCTAAGGGAACACATGTTTAGGGTGTGTTACTGGGTAGGCAGTGCCAGGGAGTGATGCTGCTGTGTTCCCAGTGAGGTGCAGGTGCAGTAGCCTGGCTGCAGGAGCTGTGTACAGGTGGGGGGGCTTTTCCAGCAGCCTGTTCATTGCCTCCATTTGCCCAACAGGCCTGAATTGTCCTGTTGCTGCACAGATCTGTAGATATGCTTGGGTGGCACTGCAGAACCTGGTAATGCATTAACTGTTCAGAAGTTTAAAACTACCTTTACATGAGGTTTAAAAGTCTGCAGCAACCACATGTAAAAGAGTCCTTGAACATGTAATCCATGGGAACTAACACCTTTTATTGGTGGTTTTGCGTGGAGGCTCTTCAGTGGATATAAGGCCTGAAATACTTTCTCCTTTCCAGTGGGTCTTCTCTAGACTAAAAAATGTTGATAGAAAGGAGCAGCAGGGAACACGTGTGTCTGTGGTGTGAGGATTACACAACTCTCTGTCATATACATTGACTTCCAGATCTAACAATTTTTATTAATATTGTATTACCTTCATGACTAAATCCAGTATACCTACTGGTAGTGGTTAAACTTTTAGCTGCTAACCAGCATCATGTTGGTCATGGAGTAAGTAAATGTCTCCTTTGTAGCTTTCTTATTTCCCACTTCTGTGACTTAAAATCAGTTCAAAACACAGCTGCAAACATAATCTCTGCTCTGACCATGTTATGGTCTTCTCTGTTTCCACAGCCCCCTTTTTGTGAATGAGACTCCCTGCCCCAGTGCCTCACCAACCCTTTCCTAGATCCGTCCTTCTCCTTCCTCCGGTCCCACTGAGGGATGTGGGGCTGCCCCTCCTCAGGGCTGCAGGCCAGGCACTCCCACTGTCTGCCAACACTCACGGTCACTCCTACAAAACCTGGGCCTCTCCAAACCCCCTCACATCTCAGCCTCTGCCCTTCTGTTGTCTTCCATTGCCTCTGTGCACACAGGAGCACTGCTGGCACCCCTTACTCACCAGCAGTCTTGCAGGCTGCCGCCAAAGATCTGGGACGTTCCACTAGCAGCTCCACCTTTCCCACAAAAATCCTCTTGGAAATTTAGCAAGCGTGGATCCAGGTTAGTCTACTGCTTCCTTCATCCAGAACTGCAGAAAGGAAAGGTCAGATATTATGTCTACCAAACTGCAGCATCCACTTTCTGTTTAATCCTCAGAGCACCCTCTCTAATCCATAACACTTCTTTGAAGTTGTGGTAGTGGGACCACTCTTCTTTGTATTTTGCAAGAATAGGAATGTTAATAATAAATGAGCTAAAAATAAGGTAATAGGTTTATATTCTGCCTTGTATGCAGAAGAATTTCTGTTTAGTTACTCCAGTCTTTGCTTCAGTTGGCTGTGCCTAAGCACTTTAGTACAGACTTACCACTTTCTCCTGCAAAAAGGTGCACAGGGGAAGTACTTAAAACAATAAGAGGGACAGGCTCTTCTTAAAGCAATCCTCAGAAGATAAATTATTATTTATTGATGTGATAATCTGTATGTCATCGTTCAACAGCACTAAGAATGTGGGGTTTTTAAATGCCACGTTCAATAAGAATATTATGTTCAGTAAGAATACTGACTTAATCTTTCGTTTCTTTTCTCAGTCAAACAACTTTGGCCCAAACCCTACAAACACCCGAGTATTGAGTTCATTACTGTGTGCTCTGCCACAGCCCTTTAAAGAGTATCTTTCACAGCCAGAGCGAAAAGGCTACTAAATGGGTCAAGATCACCCATTGGTAAACAAAACGAAGCATTTCAAGTTTACTTTAGAATTTAAATAAAGAAGAAATTTCAAAGCAGCATTACTATTTTTCAAGCGCTGGCGAAGCCGTGCACGACTGCACAAACGGCAACACTGAGTTCATTCACGGCCGGGACGAGCCCCCGCCCTGTGCCACCTGAGGACAGAGCGGGTGTCGCGGGGGCTGCGGGCTCGGGGCGGGCCGGGGGTCCCTGCGCAAAGTCCGCGGGGCCGGGGGAGCCCCCGGGGCCGAGCCCGCGGCCCTGCCGGCCCCGGGAGGCACCGGGGCGGGGCCGGGCACACCCGGGGCAGGGGAGAGAGGGCGGCCCTGCCCGCGCCCCTGCCCTGCCCCGGGGGCGGGGGGCCGCGGGAGCCTTTGCCTCCTCCCCCGGCCCCGCACTCACACGAGGAGCCCGCGGCGATCGGAGCAGCGGCTCAGCGGCCGCAGCCCTGCCCCAGTCGCCGCCGCCGCCCCGAGATGCCGCCCGCGGCCCCGCGGCCGCCGCTGCCGCCGCTCCTGCTCCTGCTGCTGCCGGTACTGCTGCTGGCGACGGCGCGTCCCGCAGCCCCCCCGCACAGGTACCGCGCCCCCGCCGTCCCCTCCTCCCCGCACAGGTACCGCGCCCCTGCCATCCCTCCCTTTCTCCCTCCGTCCCTCGCAGGAGCAGCGCCCGCCGTGCGTCCTTGGGGTGTTTCCCTGCCCGTGGCTTTTCCCGTGGACCGGGGGCCGCTGCGAGCGCAGCCCCGTGCAGGGTGTGTGTAGCGTGTATAACACAGCGGCATAACACGGTATGGCACCCCCGTATCTAAAGCTCGGCAGGGCACTCGCTCACCCTCGTGTCCTCAGCAGGAACGCTGTGGTTCCACACGGAGGTTTTCCCGGGCTCCTCGTGTGTCCGTGCAGCGTGGCCGGAGCCGGCACCTGAGCTCACCTGAGCTGTGTCCTGAGCACAGACGGGCCGCGGGGATCGTGCACGGGGTGGATTGTGCTACTGGGGTACAGAAAACTACCGGAGAATTACTTGATTAAAACATCGAAATTCCAAGCATAGGAAGGAATGAAAAGTTATTTTTATTACTGTGCTACTTCAACTACTGTTATATGTATTATTATAAAAAGTCGTTACTAATGACTTTTTAATAACTATTTTTTCATTATAACAGCAATTTGCAATGATGTATCACACCTTGCTCTTATGAAGTAAAGAAGGAGGGAAGGATAACAGTCTGTGCAAACCCAGAATTAAGGCCCAAGGAGTTAATTTTTCCTACACTTAAGTTTGAGCGTTAAGTTGCACATTCTGTGTCAACAGTCAAATTATGTAAATAATGAAATATATGTTTAATGTTAGCAATATTTTTAAGTACTTAAATGTTTTTGAGATCGTTCGTGCCTCTTGACTATTATACAAAAAAATAAATGAAATACATTTAAAAATTAAGACTATTTTTCCTATTGTTCTCAGGCCTACATTTACATGTGGAGGAGTTGTATCTGGAGAGTCAGGGTTTATTGGGAGTGAAGGATTTCCTGGAGTCTACCCTCCAAACAGCAAATGTACTTGGAAAATCACAGTAAGAATTTTTAATATCACAAAATCAGAGCTGAAGACAATGAAGAGCTATTTGTTGTTAATGCCAGTGTTTTATATGGGGTAACATATGTGCAGTAATGAGAGCAGCTCAACTATCTAGAGCTTTTTAGGGTTGATGTAACACGATACTAGTGGCTGAAATAGAACGGGCCTTGCCTCATGTCAGAAGCAAATTTTCATTGACTTCCATAGATACACCTCTAATTGTTTTAAATTAACACACTTGCAAGCCAACATCTCCCCTTCCTGTCACTGCGGAAAGCAATAGTGAGTTCTATCGAAGTAGAGGTTTGGGGTGGAGGTAATGAAAAGAAAAGTTTTCTTGACAAGAAGACATAGAAAAAGTTTCTGTCAAATCCAAAAAATTCAGGCAGGTTTGCTCATAGTGTGCTATTAGCAATGTTCTGCCAGCAGGACATCTGGAGTCTGTCATCCAGCAACCTGACAGTAATAGGGAAGTGCTGTTACGTTTATAAATGACCATGTGAAATGAAAGCATGTGGTATGATGGATACTTGATGCTGAAATGAGACTGCAGGGCAGAGACATCATATTCATGGACAACAGATACCATGAAACAACTAGGACTAAACATTCAGTGCTTGATGTCCTTATCCACAGACTCAGAGAAGGGATGTAAGTGAAAGATTACTTTTCCTCACATCTGCACAAATTAAACCATCTGAAACTGCCCACAAAATTTCCTCTCTGTTTTTCAGGCCCAGTTCACTAAGACCTCTTATGATATTCAGGCCTATAGAAAAACATAAGAAAGCATAAAAAAAAAAGTCTGTGTGCTGACAGGCTCACTAAAGACAACTTCACTTCAAAGACTGCATCACAGCCTAGGTGTTGGCAGGAGAATAGGATGTCACAGGATAATTGTTTCCTGCTACTATAGAGATGCTGACGCAAAGCAGGAGACATTGATCTGTTTACAGTGTTCGGTTTAAAATGACTCTCGTGCCAAATGAGTGATGTAAATTGAATCATTTTATCTGAAGGATCCCAGTGAAGTTGCATAGTTGATTTCTGCACCTTTCTGTTGCATTACTGGGGCCAAGTTAGAGGTTACCTTTGATCTGTGACTGACTTCATCCAGAAGAGTATGATGTGAAACACAGGGTATGCTCATAAACCTGCTTCCTGCTGTGGAGGGGCTGAGGTGACAGCAATTAGCGTGGCCCACCTTACAGTCTGAAGAGCAGATGCAAATTGCATTTTGAATCATACACACGTGCCTTAAATGAAAGGGAAAAAATGTCCAAAGTTAGTTTACCCATATGACTCGATATTAGACCTTCAAAAGTCCAAAACTGATTCTGGAGGGAAATAATAATTTTGTTCATAACAGCATAAAGATTTTACCATTCAAAAACTTAGATTACAAATGGAGGCAGCACTGAAGAAGCAATTACTGAAGCACACCATGGATCTGCCCTTTATATTCCGGGGGTAGAGGGAGAAGAGAACAAATGATTGTACTTAAAAAGTCCATGCAGAGTGGCTTTGTTGCAGACTTCATGTGGCTGTTGTAAACAAGGTGCCAGCATCCAGGTTAGCCTGGGCATGGTGAGGAGCATTACTACAAAGCTGTAGCAGAGCTATGTCTGCACTTGAGCTTTCTTGGGGCATCTGGCATTTCATGATCATCCTGATCCCAGTTTTCTGCTGTGCTGCCATTTACTCCCACTCTTTGACTTGCTTACATTTCCTCTGTAACTCGTCCAAAGCCAGAGAAGGGCTGCACACCTGTAGTAGTCCAGGCTTGCTTGTGCCTTCACCTCATTTAACCCCTGTTAGACAATATCGTGCACTAAGCCAAGGCTGATTTCTTCCCCCATCAACTGTGTAGAACACCCTGTCTTCTAGTGTACAGGAAGGATGTAGGGAAAGCAAGGACTACAAAACTTGCAAGATTAAGCCTGTACCCTCTTTAAAAAGAGGATGGTTTATCAAACTGAGGGAAAGTGTTACAGTCGAGGGTCTGCTTAGCCTGAATTTAAACAACAAAATCCTTTCAGCAAATACTGCTGAGGCTCAGAATAGCTTGCAATAGCACCCAAGTAAGAGAGCCAGTTATACTGCCATGAAGAAATACTCTCTAGTTACTGTTAGGCTTCCACATTTAGCATCGTCTCAGAAAGTGACTGAGACTTTTTGCCTGTCCGTTTTAGCCAAGGGCTGTGAACACCCTCCTGAAATGCAGGATCTGACAAGTCTGCAAGGCTGAAAGAGACGTTGATTCACTTTGCATCTGGGTCACAAGAAGCATTAAGCTGTTGTTTTCTCAACTACAGGATCTCATCAGCTGCAGAAGAAATGCACAGAGGCAGAATGACAGCTAATTCATTCTTTAGAAGAAAATAGGTGTAGAAAATGTTATGAGTAATATAGATAAAGCAATGTAGCATTCAGGTATCAGCTGAAATCTTTCCAACTGGTTTGCTAAAGCTAGAAGAGTCTCTCTAGCTCAATTATGGTTCTGTTATTTCAAGAGACTGGGACTTTTTCAGCTGGCTAAAGAAAACAGCTTCTCTATTCTAAGAGCTCTAAGAAGTGTTCAGCACATGCTTGTGGTTATATTACAACCTTGGCAGACTACCCAGCAGCTTTTAGCTGGCTTTGCTAAGAAGTCATTTGTACAGCTATTTCCTTTCTTATAGTAATGTATATAGCTTTATCTCAAATATGTCATATACATTTACTTTTAATACACTGTAATCCTTCTTGGCCATCACTTCACATAAATGTGTCACATAGTCCAAAAATCTGGACCGCTCTCCTGTGTTTTTCTGGCAGACTGCTTAGTTCCCATAAAACTCCAACAACTTCATGTGCAACAATAATACTGAAAACTGTCAGAGTTATGTAAGGTTATGTTTTTATAGGTTCAGGAGCTGTGTTCCAGCAGGTTTGCTGACAATAAGCAAGGTTTGAAAAATTTACTTATCAGGGAAGTTGGGAATCTGCCCTGAGGGAGCGAAATATTTTAAATAATTTTTTCTATGTTTTAAGCATTCATTTGCCCATATAATTGTAAAACTGCCCTCCCAGTGGAGAACAGATCTTTACACATGATTGTATTGCCAAAAGAAAGAGATGAACAGAATCTAGTGTCTGTCAGGAAGAATAAGTTAATACAATTTTTTTAAAATTGCAGCTAGAGTATAAGCCCCTAGGCAGGAATTGTGGTTCCCCCCAGGATGTAACTCCAAAAAATTTCCACATTCATTCTCAGTGGGGAGAAATAATACCTTTGGTGTGCAGATAGCTGATGTATTTTTCAACTCTACCTAGGACTGCTATGGTAAAACATTTGGTATTGAACATGTATCAAAATATATTAAACCCATATACAGCACAGGTTTAAAAATTAGGCAAAATATATTTACAAAAGTTGGCATTTAAGAGTTTTTCCCCACCAAAGGATTATTTTTAAAGTAAATAATCTAAACCAAGTAATTTTGATGAAGAGGGCTTTGTGTTCAGAAAAACAGCTTCACTACTTCAAATGTAATTAAACTTCGATTAACATTATATGAAATACCTGCAATGAATGATAACCAAAGACACTCTAGCGACCTCAGTTTGAGGGGGGTTGTATATATGAAATAATCATGCCCTTTTGAAGAAGTTAGTAATCTACACAGGTGATTTTAGGGAATTATGCTCTAGAAAAACTCCCTCTAAAAGTCACTTAGCTTTCAATAGGAGTAAGGCATCCTTCACATGAGTTTAACATCGTAATTTTTGATGCTAAAGAAGTTTATAGAGTTAAACTAAGAAGGGAAGCAGAGAGTGAGTATGTGTCAGTCACCCTCTTTGTGACAAGGAGAGGCAGAAGCTAAAGTGCCTCTGTTGTTCAAAGATACCAACTGGATGGATAAAACAAAAATAAGGCACACCCTGCAGAGGAAGCATCACATCATTCTTCCTTTGACTTCTCCCTCTTTTTTCCCCCCCTTTCTTTTAAGAGCTGGAATTCCTTCCAGTTCTTCCTCTGAGGTATCCCATCATCTTACTGCATCAGGCTCGGACATGGCTCAAAGTAAACAGTACTGAGTCACGCTGGCCTTTGCTTTCTCCCCTGTGTTTCTCATGGAACAATATTTTAAATGTCCTAGGATAAACACTGGCAGATTTTAGCACATTACTTTTCAACATCTAAAAAAGCAAATGGTAGAAATGAAAGAAAAGTACTGTTTTGCAAAGACGCCTGTGTTTAGAGTGAGATTTCTCGGGAGTAGCTGCAGACTGGAGTGGCTGCTGCCAGAACATGGAACCACCATCCTCTGCACTCCTGATTGTCATCCAGTCAGACCACAGAATTTTAACTGATTTACCATACTGGAACAAATTTGTTATTTTTGTGAATGACAAATATTATTTTAATAAGCAGGTACATTATTTTATAAAGTAATGGCTGTAAGCAGTGACTGTGATTAAGGGCCCCACCCATTTCTCTAAATTACTTACCTCCCCAAATTCAGTTAAACATGACAAGGATTATTCTAACACTTAAAACCTGGAGTAGGCTCCTTGTTAAACATTCATGATCATGTGGCTGAGTTTTTCCTACACTTTTTTTTACAAACTGCCATGAAACAAAACTTAGAAAGTCAGTACATCTGTGGGAAACAGTCTTGACCAAGTTCAAATAGACTGAACTAACAGAAGCTACAGAGATTAAAAACTGTAATGAAATATAATTAGATAGTATATGTTGTATAGTAAAGCATAGCCAGTAGTGGAGGGAGGAGAAGGAAGCACACAACCCTGCACAGAATTACTTGTACCACGAAACAGAAAACCTAAGGCTTGAGTGAACAGCTGGCTGGCAGTTTGGAGTTGGCAGCTTTGCCAGCCCCCTCTCCCTCCTGGGCAGGGTCAATCCCATGTCCTGGTTCCCTCTGTCCCACTTGGGGCAGCATGAGGAGGTGGAATACCCAGGGGTAGGACTGAGTGCCTCAAGGCTGCTGAGAGCTGAGGAGCACTGGGTCAGTGCTGGAACAAAGCTGTCAGTGAGCACCATCAGCATTACTGAGGGGGAACCTCTTGGCTAAATCTGAGTGCGTTTCTACAAGGACAGCAAAAAGACCTTTTCTTACCCCAGAACCAGCCACCTCTCACATTTCCACTTCCTTCTTCAAACACTGGGAGGGAGCAGGTATATTCAAAGAAGCAATTCAAGCTGAGAAAGTAGGGGAAAATCTCTTTAGCATTGATAAAACTGTTTAATCTAATATGCCAGAGCAACTTCTGCTCAACCTCCAGAAACAGGAAGGAAAAGGGGAAATCTCTTAAAGATGGGTAACTTGTAGCCAAAGCTCAAGACACTGTAATGGAAAATGTTGGACAATCTCAACTGTAGGCATAACAGCTCAATCTGGTTTAGAACATGATAACCTTTAAAGGTCACCTCTTTTGCATCCTGTACGACCTTATGAATAATGAGTGTTCCACTCCAAAAGAGCATATGTTATTTTACATACAAACTGCTGGAAAAAAGGCTGCTGTAACTGAACTACCTAAATCTGACTAACTTTACAGTCAGCATTTCTGAACTGATTTGTACAGTCACACATAGTTCATAGTATAACCATAAATAATATTCAGGTCTTCCGACAGGAATACCAAATTCACTGTAGCTCGTTTTCTGTTAAACTGACCATGCCTTAATGCTCCTTAGTGATTCAGACCAGAAGACAAGTGAATGCAATGATAAGAGGTTTGGTTATGAGAGCAATGATTCAAGGAGTAGATTCAAGACGAGGGGAGTTCTGTGGTTTTGATGTAGTAATAGTGATGTATGTCAGCACAGGGGAACTGAATTTTTGAGAGAACTTTGAGCTTAAAGGAAAACACTCTGAAACCAGCCACAGGAACTGCAGTGGGGCTGGTCAGCAAGTGTGCAAGTGGGCCCCAGGCAGCTGAGAACAGCTCAAGCAAAAGTCTGTCCTGCTGCAGGATCAGTATCAGCACTGGATGTAAAAGCAGCTGCATGAATGAGTCACCTTAACATATCTACAGTACATTTTTCACTACATCTAGAACTGCTGCCTGTATCACTATCTGCTGTGGGTTAAGTGGTCACTTCCATCTACAGCAATTCCATCTACACCTGACCTGACAAGTAATTTTTAACTGTTGAGACTCACGATATTAAAACGCTGTTTGACAACTTCACATAAGAACAATTTAGTTGTAGTTTATCTCGAAG